CTACAGAGCGCACCCCGAGCCACATCGGACATTCAATTGCCCCCATTGGATTTCTCAAATGGCGGACCGCACCAGAAAAGAGGGATGCCTCACATGAAGCTTGCCTCTCACTGTTGCATAGGCCATTCAAGAGAAGGGTGAAAACATTGAAATACGGGATTGTCCGGTTCCGAGGAGTCTGCGCTGTGGTTGAAAAAGCAAGATATCAATGAGTATAGATAAGTAAGGACGAGTCACAGGTATAAGCATACAGGCACCAGATGGGTAGCAGCAGCTGCGAGAATCCTTTTTCTTCTTTGCCCCTTCGTCTGCTGGCAAGTTAGCCCATGTACAGCACAAGCCAACGGTAGCACTGTGTCAAGCGCTACAACGTACCGATAACGGCAAGAGACTTTGCAGTCAAAATCAACGAGACCTGCTTCCCAACTGTAAGAATCGAGCCCTTCCCCAATGCCGAACGGTGCAGTTGTTCTTCTTCAGACGATGAGTACCCGTCCGGGCACCGGTCGCAATCGAGCAAGCTGCCAATAGTCATTGTCACGTCGGCGTCTTAGACCATGGTGCGGAGTAAAGGACTCTGTGATATTTCTGGAGTGGGCGACGCCTTTCCCCGACCGCAAGCTGGGTTGCTGATAGAATTATGGAACAAGCTCTTTTGATGGAAAGAAAAGAATCGGGGGGATGGGGTCACATAGACAAGATCCGCTTGTGAAAAGGCCGGCTGGTGGGTCTGGAACCGAAAGTTCCGGCGCAGAATCTGGAGGCGGCCCTCAGTAACCACGAGCTGAAGTGTCCTGGAAAGCCGATTCGAAAGAGGAGGGAAAGGCTTAGGTTTATAAAGGAAGATCCGACGATATCGGGGCGTGAGCAAGTGAGGAACTGGCGCTGTTGAGGCTGCTGCTCTCGGTCACATGTGAAACCCACGATGTCCGCTGCAGGTCTTCCGTCCTCCCCTGCCCTCAAATCCCATCTGGATATCAACCATCCAAAGATCTTTTATTCCCTTTTCGCGTCAAGATATGCATTCTGAACATACAATGAAAAGGCCGGCAATTTCTTAAATCTTTTGCGACCTGTTCGTGTATCCTACTGCCCATCCAAGGTCGAACCTCCATATCGATCTTACTGGACTTCATATCATTACTCTGTACCTACTATATCCAAGACGATGCCTGGAAACTGCACACATTCAGAGGCCGCATGATTTACCAGTACCGTCCGGTCCCATTCAAGTCTAGCATTGATCAAACGGCCAGATGGTCTTCAGTTCTTCGAGGTCCTTGTCATTCTCTATACCCGCCATAATGGTCTCATAAAAATACTGATGGGCTTTCTGCACTCCTTCCCCCCGATCCTCTGACACCCAGCCATCACCTTCCGGCCCCCTTCATGCATGATTAGAAAGAGGGTGATAGGTTTGGTATTGGTTTTACCAGGTTGGACCACCACCAGGCCACTCGGGTGTGCACGACTCAACGCCCTCGAACAGCGTTGCCATCTGCTTGCGCTTGAACGGCCTGTACCCTCGACCACGAGGCCCAGTCTCCCCGTACGTCTTTACAAACCACCTGCCGAATGCTTGGGCCTGCGCCTTCACCCACCGATGCTTTGCCCGGTACGACTGCGCCATCCACTGCGGGTCCGTAGGCGAGCGAAGCAGGCCCACATACCGAAAAACATATATGAAAATAAAAGATTGCACAATTGCAATCTTCACAGTCGTGGTGCAGTCCTTGCAGGTGTACGGCTGAGAAGGCTGGATGTAGAGCTGGGTCACCGCTTGATCGCCGAGCCGGAGGTGCGGGCATAACGGAAGATTTACAGCCTGGGAATGCTGGATAAACGCTTGGAGCGTTGGAATATCGCGGGTACTAGCAATTTCGAAAATGTATGAAAATTGCCGCCTCTTGTCATGAAGCTTGGAACAGCCCCAGAACTGTACCCTCGATCTATCTTTGAGCACGATCTGGCCGGCTTCCAATTGTTGTGTGCGCGGGTTCGTGATGATGTGTCTCAGCTTGACAAAGCTCATTTCGCGACATAAGCCAAACCAAATATATCTCTTGGCCAGCTCACAAGAACGGCGGTTTCTTCTTCTAGGAAGGAAATCTGGCCTCGATTTCAATTTAACTCTTTTTCTGAGTTCCTTGGGGGAGAAGGCTTGCCGCTCGTGCACTCTCATGCACCCCCAGCAGCAGTATTTTCTTGGGCACCCCCTCTGGAGCAGGCCATCATACTCTAGCATTCTCAAAACATAGAAGCGCGCTGCCAGTTTGTTCAGGTCGTCCTCGATCGGCGAGGCCATCCGTTTCCATCTCTCAGCAAAAATCCCGATCTCTGTCCTGCTGCGCCAGAAACGTGTGCAGCTAAGCATCAGCATGACAACTTGTGCATCCGTCAGGTACCGGCAGACCATAAACATCAGATCCTCGGGTAGTTGATATAGGGATCCTGCACGGTGTCTCGAGTTGTGATGCAGGGCTGTATCTACCCTCGATGAGACAGTCGAAAGTTCCACCGCTCTGTTATCATATACTCTATCGTTTTTATTTTCGTATCGTTTGCGCCATCGGTTAAACCACCGCTTGAGCCTCCGCGAAGCCATTTGAATTGGATACCGTAATTAGCAGATAAATTGAAGCGTATTTCGAGACCACCAGGGAACAGGCCCAAAATATATCCGAGTCGGCTATAGATTTATATGACGACATGGCCTGGATAATGCAGGAGAAGCGGACAGGACAAAGTTTATGGTATCCCAGGAATTCCAGACCGTATTTACCCAAAATAAGAAACTGGTCAAGTTCTTAGATACGAATTAGGCGGTACAGCTTAATATTAATGTTCAATCTTTCCATTAAGCAAGCTACTTTTGTTGTTCATTTTCGGATCTAGATTTGGGGTTTCCAGCCGGAGTCCATACGAGGTTTAAGGAGTCTTAGTTGTGGTGTGCAGAACATGTAACTATTGGAGTGTAGAATGGCTATCGGTTTCAGGCCATTGGAGAAATTGACAGGACAAAGCGATTGTGGAATTGTGCAATCATGATTTCGTCTTTTTCCCCTTTGATTAGTCGAACATTAATGGGTGCTATTAATAGTCACCAGCAACTGGGAAGAAAGCCTAAAGGTGGACTTGACAGGTGTAGGTAGTTCGTTTAGCAGGGTCCAGGTTCAGCACTCCCTAAGCCATTATACTTGAACCTTTTCGGAGATCAGGGAATCTGATGCACCTCCTCGAAAGCAAATGCCAAAGAAAATTGCAATCGTGTTCAATATCAAGTCGTCCTCCAGTCGGATTTTGCGGTTAGGCTAGACCTATGAATAAAGCCAGTTGAAGGATAAATACATAGCATCCACCATTGCAATCATTTTGGGCCTTTCCCCTAGGGATACAGCTTCTAAAATGGGAATCAAAATAAGTCGTTACATTATGAAGAGTAGTGGCATCACAATCAAAACAGAAAGATATACAACTACCCCCTTGAACTAGTGGCACTGAACGTAGAATCAATCTCAAGTCACAACTACGCATTCGCTTTTAATCCTTTCAAAGATCCCAAGCTCAAGGCTAGACCTTGAGAGCGACTGCGTATCCTCACGAACCCGGTGATCGGGCCGTCTTCACCTTCCTTTTCAATGCTGACGTTTGCAAGGGCGTCCTCACCTGAAACATGGCTATTAGCAAAACATCCTGGCAATACAGGCAATGAAATGTATCCGCAATTGTCTACTTACCGAAGATACTCTTTGCGTAGAGGTTAGCACTTAGGAATTGGCAATCACCCTCAAGTGAAGCCTCCGGCGTCAGACAGCTCATGTTGGTGCGTTCCATAATCTGCTGTAAGAAGCCCCGTAGGCTCTTGCCCTTGGATTGAACATTGACCTTGTTTTCCCATTCGAATTCAGTCCACATCGTTCGGAACTGGGTTTCTGTGCAGTGGGCGGGTTGAATGTAATCCATGATATCGGCCTTGATGTCATTAAGAATGACAACATGCGTCTCGGTTGAGCTGGACCCATCATAAACAACGTTGCCAAAAATGACGCCTGTGTCCGTCGACGATACCTTGATCGTAGCTTGTACGTTCAGGAAATCGTGGGGACCAAGGTTTTGTGTAGTCGGCCGCTCAACAACTTTCAGATCACCGAGTGTTGCGAATTCCACAGAGAGATTTTGTAGCGTTTCCATCGTCTGGTTGACCAATAATACATCCAGGATGATATCAAATTGATGGACATTCACATAAGCTTCGGCATAGACGGCGTCAGAATATCCAGTAAGCTGAACCACTTTGCTCAGCTTCGAGGAGAGGTCCTCAACGGCGGAATCGCCACCAGTAGCCTTGGCCAAATCCAGTTCAATTTCGTCGCCATCGTCACCTGCAGATTTTCTCGTGAATTGTCTGATAGAAATCGCGTCGTCAACTTGTACAGCCGTTTTAGCCTTCTCCATAGCCTCCCGAGTAGCACGCTTTTTCTCTTCTACCTGAACCATAGCACGGAAAGCTTGGCGCGTATCTTCCAAAAATGTTGTCTCAAGCTCCTTCCGTTCAGTGAACTCCGCCAGCGACCGCAAACAAGACATAATGCGATCAACCGAATCTTCGTCGATGTTGGTCTTGACGAATGGGGACTGACCAACTCGAACAATCGAAATCATGATCAACATGGCTTCAGCGCGAAGAGCGTTGGTGCGAGCGGCATCCTGGGAAAGTTCAGAATGGCGCATAACCAATTTAGTCAAGGTTGATGAAAGGACAGTCGCAAGGAAGTAATCGCCGTCAAGTATGAGTTGACGGAGCGGAGGTTTCTGCGCGGCTTTGACTGCTTCCAGCTTTGCTGCCGCGGCGCTTTGGCTTGTGAGAGCGGTTTCCTGTGCGTACGTGCCGTCTGCCAGAACTTTAGGGCCAGATGACGCTTTGGGATGGCCATTAACTTGCTCTTTAGCCTCCTTGCTTTCATCCGAATCTTCATCTAATAGCCTTTGCTCCGAGGCCAATATCGGGATCTCTCCTAAGCTCGCTCTAATACGCTTCCAGGCTTCTCTGATGTCGTTTTGTTCCAGGGAGTATTCGCCGATAACCCACAGAACTCCGCGATACACTCTTCCAGCTCGTACTTCACTGAGCGTCGATACCAACCGCTCTAAAATGGAATGGCGTAATTTGGGGAACTTTTCAACAACTTCCTTGACAAATGTGATAACATCAATGGCAGAGTTGTTATTGAAATCAGCGATGAAATCCATAAGAAGATCGACCACGCTCGCAGCAATTTCTGAAAATTTAATGGCGCATTGATGGATTGATTGGATCAACAATTGTCGGTACTCGTTGTTCTAGGATATGGGTTAGTTTGGATTCATTCAGATCAGGATTCGCCCACTACCTTTTCATATTGCTCGTCAACCGTTTTCGCGAGCTCCTTCTTCAAAAGCAGGACGATTTCCTCGACATTCTTACTCGCCACCATCTCTAATGCGATGCCCAAAGCCTTCCGTCTCACGTCAATATCGGGGCTGGATAAGACTCGCAAGATTTCCATTGTGAGGTCCTCTAGAACTCCTTCATTACGGATCCGTAATTGGTCAACCCTATCCAGAACGATTAACTTGACATTGTTGTCCGGCTCTTTGATACTCAGTTCGATCAATTTTGCAGCGGCCGCTTTAACGGCGACCGGGTTCGATGTGAGGGCAGTTAGCGAAGTAGCGGCTTCGTATACGACCGTGCTGTCACCAGCATCTAGAAGATCAAATATTAAACGGAGGTATTTGGCCTATATCAAATTAGCAGACTTTATATTCCTGATTCACGGGGCCTGCCAACCTTGTTTTGTGTGTTCTGGACAGCATCCTTCCTAATGAATTCCAATTCTACGAGCTGAAGTAGCTCATCCGCATTTGGCACGCCGTCGAACGTCTTATTAAGGTACTCGAGGGCCCTTGGGTGGCTGATGGTAAGCAATGCGGCGAAAGCGTTCCGTTTGCAGGTTGGGTCGTTTTCCTCTTCAAGGAAGGAGTAGATAAGGTCGGGGGCATCGGGGATAAGAGATTCGGAATGTTGGAATATCGAAGCGACAGCCCAGACCGCACTTTTTCGTACGTATGCATGTCTATAGTCCAGACATAGTCGTGCTGATGAAAGTAGTGGCTCCAACAACTCGGGTTCTCGTAATTTACAAAGGAATCGAAGAGTATTTCCTCGCACATATTCATTAGGGTGTTGGAGATCATTCCGAATACCATTACTAAATATCATTAGCCAGTGTTGTACCGGAGGACTAGGCTTTACGCACCAAACCAAGATCATCTCCTGCTTCAACTTTCCATTGCTATCGAGTTTCGGGCAAATCTCGTAATAAAAATAGAGGAGCTTCTTCAAGGGCTTGCTTTTTGAAGGCATGACAAAACGGATAATGTGCATGAGTAATTGCGGCATCGGATCTCCGTTCAGCATTATTGTGAGGATCCTCCTCATAGTGTCCATTTTAGACTCATCTGTGCCCTTCTCCAGCTGTGTTTTCAGCTCCTGCAGTGTAGGCTGGTCGGCTGAATTGTCCTGGTGCACCAGGCTGTACGTATTTTCCAAGTATAATGCCATGATGGCGTCCGGGCACTTGGTAATGTGCCCTCTGGCGGTGGAATCGGAGGTCAGGGAGGTAGGGTTGCCAGCTGAGGTGGGATAGGCTAGCGAACAACGGTGACCAGGCGAAGGTGCGACAGTTTTCTGCCAGGAGAGAATATCGGCACAATCGCTTTAGGTATCTCTTTATTCAGAGCACCGTCTGTGCCATTTGCGAGACAATTGCGGAATCGATCGTGGTTGCTGCACACCTGGCCATTAGTTAGGGTGTGTCGCTCATCAACCACATGTCGACTGTGTGGATGACTAAGCACGAGTCAATCTCCTAGCTAACTAGCTAGTTACTTCTATCAAGCAAACTGAATTCGCGTTGAACCTTCTGGCAAAGAAGCAAATCAATTCTACGTGGAGGATTTGGACAGAATGTCGAACTTGAACACTCAAAACGAGCCTTTCTATCTACGTTACTAGTAAGATGTGACATCCTGCAGCAGCCCAGGCCTCTTCAGCTGCTGACTTCCTCGTCCAGCTCAGGGCATTCTGGGCGGTTTGGACATGAGTTTTTAGGTGAGAAATCACTGTCTGGGGATCAGGCACCCTTATCTTACTCTTTAAACTTACAGTGATTAGAATTCGACTTTCGAACTCTCGGCGATGGACGTAGCGCTGCCGTACGATATGCGAACAACTCGAATTACCGAAACGATTCGCTGATCCGCAAAGAGAGTGAGTCGGAAGGCCTGGGAACCCGGAGCATAATGCTAAAATTCTGGCAGTGTGCGTGAGCTCTCTCATGATCGCAGAGCTCAAGCGAATCATCAAAGATAGTGAAATCCTAAAGTACGTTGTGCGGCTGATGAACTGTGGGACTTGGATTCCTGACCATGCATTGAACAGAGAAGATGATTCAAAATGGCCACAGAAAAACAAGGACGGTCGCCAGGAATTGGAGATCAAACTTGGGAATGAACACATTTCGTTTGAGGTAAAGTGGCCGTCTCAAACATGTTGTGCACGGCCAAACGGTCAAACTGACAGCGGTTCGCAATTAGACTGCTAAAATCGGATCTCTTGTCGACGTGACCGAATCCGCTGATCCTGAGGGTCTACGAGTATTTTATTATCTCGTCCAAGATCTCAAAGCCTTCGTCTTTTCCTTAATCTCTTTGCACTTCAAGGTAAGCGTTGTTGCTGTTCCAGCTGGAGCTTCGCCGGCCTAATGTGTTCTTCGACAGATCAAGCCTATCTAAAAACGAACACGATGATAATGAGGGTGGCAAATTGGTATATGATCAAGGGCATCAATTTGGTCAAACGGAGTTATTGAGGGTTTCGAAAAACATAAATGTTTGGTATTACAGCATGTTAGGCAGGGCACATCAGTTTGGTCTCATCAAATCTAAACAAGTCCGACCTACTTTCAAACTGCCGAGTCACATAGTTACTGCTTGCAGCGATTTGCTTGTTTTGCGTAGTCCGTAGCAATCAGCACCAAGCGCCTTTTGATCTGCACAAGCCCAAAGCCCTTGGACCGGGTTGGCTTCCCCGCAAACATCGCATGACCGCGTTACTTTTTTAGGGTAACTCACTAGTCAACTTACGTGGGCCAACTCGATTAGTTCGTGAGCTAAAGCGTCAACCGGGGCGATTCTCGACCATCCTTGCCGGCTGCCATTGCTCTCTCGCTCCGAACTCGCCTCTTCCCAGAATTACGGCCTGAACAACCACCTGAATCACACAATGTCCTCCCGCGCGGTCGCTTTTCTTCATTGAATGCAGGCCCCTTTTCCTTCTTTTGCTTCTAGCAATTAGTCAATTTGCGCCCTTGGATTTTTCCGTTGCTGCTGTCCTTGTCGGATGTCCCGTGCTACTTTCGAACCACCTTACCGAGCTGCTGGTTGATTGCCTCTCATGCCGACTCCCAGTGTCTCTTCTCCACGCTTAACTCCCCTTTCTCTGGACGCGTTGTCCGCACGAGGGACCTGCCCCCCAGAGATTGCCGATAGGACGGACGGTTGGCCTGCCTCTGCAGACCAGCTTGCGCATGATGTATACCACAATGCACACTTGATTACGGCTTCACAAGTGCAGTCTGAGCTGGGCACAGTCGGTCCGCTGCGCAATGCCTCTACCACCATCGATCCCTCTCAAATCACCGAAAATAAGGACATCAAGGTGGACGATGCAATTGCTCCTGAGATTTTGAGTCCAGCAACCTCCGTATCGACCAATTCCACCGAAATCAAAGATGAGCCACCACTGTCACCAGCACGACCGTCAACTTCGCCGACACCCTCATATATGACTTCCCTTAGTCATGAATTTTCCAACGTGAGGGTAAGAAGCCGTAACACTTCGCATTCTGTGGAGACAAAATGGGGTATCTAATTGGACTTTTGGCAGCTGCTCCCTGATCATCCTAGTTCATTTTTACGTGCAGGTAGCAAATTTGTCGGAACTCAGAAATCTGAAAGCAATTGTTATAACGTGGACGTGGAAATCAAAGATGTCAATATGGAAGAATCCTTTCTCTGCGGTTATCTTCGCATTCAAGGTGTGTTGGGTCGCCTTTCGCCTTGTTCCACATATATTCTAACAAATCGGTTGCGTTATCAGAGCTCACCCATGACCATCCTACCCTTACTACATACTTTGAAGGCGAGATAATAGGCACCAAACATACATTCCAAACTAAAAACAAGTCATGGGGCGCCACGGACAAAACTGACATGCACTATTGGGCACGTTTCCCTGCCTGGCGTCCCTTGGCCAAAGTTGCAAAGAAGCCTGATTTCACTGAAAAGAACTTTGCTCAAAAGGAGCACATCTTCATGAGATGGAAGGAATACTTTCCTGGTGCCCGATCATCGTGTCAAGACCATTAACGGCGCGAGCTTCGAGGGCTTTTATTATATTTGCTTTAACCAGGTCAAGGGACTGTGAGTGGGATATACTTTCCATGCCAAAAGCGAGAAGTAAGTTTAGCTTGAACGTGGTATTTGGGGCGTCACTTACGATATCGAACTCTTAGTATCACACCTTAGCTCACACGTCGATAACCGTGAGTGTTTTGGTGCCATGGAGTTTCATCATCGGACTCCCTGTGCAGCCTATCTGATCTCCAGACGACAGATCGATATTACTACTCATGCATCTATGCTCTCACAGCGATTGACAGATGATATGAAACTCTCCCCTTACACTTTTCGTGCTCTTGAACAGCGCATTACATACGCATTGAACATGTGTCTGCCTATGGTTATCTTTTAACGAAGGATTTCGCCTTTCTCTCAACCACATTTATTTTCTTTTTCACCTAATGATATCCACGTTGTTCTTCTCCCAGTTGATTTATAACCGCCCAGTGCAGTTTCTCTCTCATCATTTCCTCGTCCTTCATGCATCAATTTTGATTTTAGCTTCCCTCTCATTTCATGGATGGTAAACAGGCTGCTTGGAGTTTCTTTTTTGTTCATTATGCATTACTGAGTATCCCCGACTTTCTGCACCTGCTTTGGCACCTCCCATTTCTCCTGTGAATTTCGGCATGCAAATTACATATGGAGTATGTCCTTGGTAAATTGTCTTGTCCCCCTACTTATGTCGTTGCATGGATAATGGATCATGATACATTCAAGTACTGCATAAGATACGATTTGGCAACATGCCTTTTGAAGTGAATAAAGGCGTACTTGCATTTGAAATAAACAATGGAAGGGGTTTTCGTGCTGCCCACATACTTCTTTTCTCTTAGGAGATTGTAGTAAAGAGATGCCTTCGTGAAAATTGGTATAGAGCTCTTTTCGTACGCCACACCATGATATGGATAAAGACATAGCCTATTAATATACGATATAAGTATTCAATGAGAGTATACCAAAAAAAGAAACTGAAAATGACGCATGAACTTCTTGAAAGGAACCAGGAGTACATATATATGCTGTGGTGGGGTAATCGAACAATATAAAGACACGGCCTTATCCTCCCAGAAAATCACGTAGCTAAGGACTGATAGATTTGGAATCTGAATATCGGATATTTTTCCAGGAACTTGCAGTACTACGAGTACCGAACATCAAATAGTAGAAAGTAGAGAAGGTGGCATGAGAGGGATAACGGTTAAACAAAGGGCGCTCTGAAAAAATTCGCCGGGATGAAGGAAAGATGTAAAGGATTAAGGAAAGCGGGAGGTATTAAAACATGCTTGAATTCTGCCTGCTGCTCGTCGAGCTTGAAGTATGGCTACTTCCACCCTCGCTGCTTGGAGTCTGCGGCTCGGCAACCACTTGTCGTCGAATTGTAACGATCCAATCATGCTGCAAAAGCTCCACGGCACTAGGTCTCTTGGCGGCATCAATTTCAAAGCAGCGTTTGATAAAGTCGATACCCATTTCGCTCAATTGGTCTGGCGTCGGGAGGTGGGGTTGGTTTCCTTGCGCGATCTTATACATTATTGCCCATTCATTGTCGATACCAGCCCATGGACGCAATCCGGTTGCCATCTCTAGAAGCACACAACCAAGAGACCAGATATCCATGGAACCGTGACGGTCACCTTGTCCAACTTCGCCACGTACAAGCTCCGGCGACATATACATCGGGGTGCCGGTGACGGACTTTTGATTTTTCCGCTGAGCATGGTCCTTTGCTACGCCATTTGCGTCTTTATAATTGCCACCATACTGGTCCATTGCTTTTAATGTCTTGCCTTGCCGAGCGATGATCATGGCAGCGCCAAAATCAACATATTTGATAACCCCATTGTGGTCCAGGAGAATGTTGGCAGGTTTGATATCACGGTGAACGATGCCTGCTTGGTGCAGGTATGCAAGGCCTTCGAGCATTTGTAGCGCATAAACCATGATAACCGTTTCATCCTCAATTCGACCGTGTTCAAGGAGTGTTGCCAAAGATCCGCCGGAACAGTATTCCATAAATATATATACTTTGTCACGGTGAACCTCGATGCCACGATACGAAACGATATTGGGGTGATCAAGAACTTCAAGGACAGCCATCTCGTCTCGAATCTGCTGTGCAACGCCAGGAATCACGGAAGGTTCTTGCAGCTTAATCTCCTTCACCGCCATCAAATAACTCGTATCAAGATCTATCGCAGCGTAAACTGAACCTGAAGTACCTCCCCCAATAAATTGGCCTTGCTGCCATCGGAGAGTGACGTTCGTTGCTGACGACGATAGTACAGCCAATGACCGATCAGCTTCGTTAACGCCTTCTAGGACTTTGCCTAGTGGGCGCCGCTTGCTATTTGAAGCCTCTATCGCTTCTTCTAGCTCGACAACCCGTTGGTATCGTTGCTCATGCACGGCTCCCTCAGCCTCGGCATCATCCATTGATTTGCTAAGGTCAAACTTCCCAGCCATGAGGAGGAGCTTCTCTGCTTTGGCGGCCAGGGTTGACCGCGCTCCCATGATGTCGAAGTGAGATATCAATGTTGCCATACAACCTGCCACTTTGACGCGCAGCAAGCAGTAGTCTTCGTCACTTAACCCGAGAATGCTATGGCCGTGGGTGATAGCCATGGCATACTCGAGAGCTGCAACAGCCCACTTGAAGGTTCTGCGATCGGCAGCATCGCAATCATCGCATATAAACGAAACCCAGTCAACACCTAACCTCACCAGTTTACCCTGATTCATCGAACGGCGAGTCGGTTCCATATACATCAACGATCTCTTGCCAAATTCAGTGGCAAAGGCAAAGCATGATTGAATCAGTTCCTGGTTGCCTGCTCCCTGGTTTTGTTTTCGAATTATTTCCACACTATCAATGATAGCATTCGAGAGCTTCCACGCTGTTTTCTTGATTTTGTTCAACTCGACGTTTACCCGGCCCAGATTGGCCCGCTGTTCCACTGTAACGTCGAATTCCAGACCCGTTAGTCGAGTAAGTTCGGTTCGAGCGTCCTGGAGGCGCTGCTGGGAACCATCTGCAACTAAACGTAACTTTCCCAGCCTTACATCTGTTGGATGTTCCAAAAGATCGACTTCCATCCTTTTCCCGCTCCAACGGAAGGGTTTTTCAGGACGAATAACAAGAATATAAGGATTCGAAGGATCTTCTGGCACATCTTCAGCTCGAAATGAAGTTCCAAGGATAGACTGAATGTCTTTAGAACGACCAAACAACGAAGGAGATGCAATGAGAGACACGCCTTTTTGTCCGACAGCATCAAGGGAGGTAACGAGGAAATGGCCAGTTGCTAACAATGCTTCCGAGAACGTGTCAACTATATCATCTTTTAGATGAAACTCGGTTGCATTTTCAAATCGTTCGCGTAGAAATCGCGAAAAGCGGAATAACTTTCGTTGGCGCACTCGCACAGAGTCAAGGATTTGTTTATATCGCTTTTCTGATTCCACGGCATCCTCTTCCGGCTTACTGAGAAGTTCTCGTTCGAAATGAAGCATCAACCGCTGCAGTGCCTTGGCAGTTAACGTGCTTAAGAGCGCCATATTAGTTCTAATCACAGCACTTAGACTGGCTGAACTCACCTGAATTGCTCTGCGACTTCAATATCCCCGCCTTCAAATTGACGGCCAATTTCGTTTGAAAAGTCCCATTCCTGTTCCAAAATTTCCGCTTCTTTAAATGTATTTTTGTTTGCACTAAGCTTCCAATTCAAAAGTTTGAAGTAATACTTTAGTGCGTCGACGACGACTGTATCAAAATTCTCCTCGAAACATGGCGGAAGTTCCCATCCCGGCTCAGGTTCGGAGATAATCAGGTATCGCTGCTTAATGTCGACGGCGATTTTCATCAAGATCTGAAATTGCACAATCATTTGATCGAGCAACATAGGAGACTGCTGTCCGGGGTCTTTCATTTTCTTGGCATATGAGAGGCGGACGCGGATGATCTCCACAATCAGACGAGAAGGAAAGCTAATCAAGATGAGTAGTTCTTCAATGTATGGAGGGAGGTGGCGTTCCGCGAAGGCTTCATAATTCTCAATTAGAGTGCTTTTGGCTTTCTTGATAACGTCGCCAATCCCATCCAACATGCCTTTGTTTCTAATCCGCCCGAATTCATCTAGAATGCTGTTATCTCCTTGAAGGGAATTTAAGCCGTCTTCCTTCATGATGCGATCAAGAAAAGAGCCTTCATCTGCGAGCTCTGCAGCGTGCGAAGGCCTTGTCACTGGCAAAGTAAAGTTTAATTCTTCATTGCCAACCCATCGCTGAAGGATCGCAAATTGGGTATTGATAAGTCGTGTCGTATTATGCCATGAGATGATGGCATCACAACTGGCGGTGAATTCCCCCGAGTCGGCACGTTTGTGGTGGTCTCTGAGTTCGCGGTTGACTGAGTACAGGGCTGTCGACTTTTTCTATTTTCGCCACAATATCTTCCACTTGATTCAATGGCGGTTTGCCAATTTCTGCCTCACCTTTGATCTTAAAAGAAATGATCTCCTCCAGGACAGGGCCTAGTTGTGACCTATCGTGCTCGACAATCTTTCTCTGCAAGGGTTCTGGCCGGCCACATAATTTTGCCCGAATTCCATACCAAACATCACCGTTGATATCTGATAGACCTTTGGGGGCGCTGGTCACAATAAGCCGCCGTTTCTCCTGCTTGACAACATCCCCGTTTAACACAGACGCGAGCATTGAGTGCCATTCCAACCTCTCCCTAATTTTCGGGTTCTGAAGTTCTTCTAATGTGGGTTGAATATTCTCGTTTTCTAGAACCAAATTTGTTTCGATATCGTACGGATCGTTAAACTGGGTCTCCGAGGATGGTGATTCGTCTTCGAGCTCCAAGTCAATATCAGGCATACCGGGTATTTGGGTACCGAAGTTAAACCACTCATTTGGCGGTCCTTGCCTCACCCTTTGAACATAGGCCTTCTCTTGGGCTCGATACTGGGCATTGGGGTCGCGCCGCGTAGGTCGCTTTCCTGCGTAGGGAAGCTGGCTACTTGAATGAGCAGTAAACTGAGGAGGCCGCCGTGGCGGCGCATAGGTATTGGACGGTGTCCTGGCTGGACCGCTCGGGCGCTGTGGCCTCAGGTCTCGTTCAGACATCTCGGAAGGGTGCTGTCTCTCAAAGCTTGCGATCGAGCCTCCCCCGCTACCAGTGCGAGAATGCCTGGGGAGGTCTGCGGTCCATGGGGTGTAGGTTGCAGGCGATGCTAATGCGAGGGAGTTACGGTAAGCCGGATTGGCAGGATTGATCGGGTTGACGGGTGCGGAGGAGGTGGCCAAAGACGTGCCGTGGATGTCATCCACGCCTTGGTTCTCGTCGTCAAAATCGTCGTGGCCGGGGAGACTGAACGGGGGGTGGAGAGGATAGTAGTCGGGCGATGCCGAAGACTCTGAACCGTGCAAGGAAGGTCTCCGACGTTCCATAATCCACAAATTTGCAGCAGGGTCGTCGCCGCATCATCGGCAGTGAGTCTGGACTCTCGCGCTCTTAATTAGTTTTGCAAGGGGCCTCGATCAGGTGGAGATTTCGGCGCTGTCGCCAATCAGCCCAATTGGGACTAGCCTAAACCGCACTCAACGCAACTTTCTTTCAATGCAATTTTGCACTGTACAAACATCCAGCTCGCATACGGAGGATATCGGAGGTACTAACATTTACCGTCGAAAACCCCTCGGCTCCCAGCCTCCCACCCCAAAATCTCCAAGTTAGCGCATCTCGTCCCTTTCACAACTGTTGATTGCATTGTTGATAACACTAGGTAGGCGATAACCTGCAAAAGAGCTGTTATCGTTCGGATCTGTGTGATTTTGAACTAGTTAATTGGCTAAAGCTTTCTCTATCAAAACGCTAATGCCAAGCCACATGGACCACATGGACGGATGAGCTACGGATGATGGGACTAATATTGATAACGGGGAGCGCTGGACAGAGTAATCACCATTTACAAGTCGATTAGGCTTGTAATCCTGGTGATGGACCGCCCTGGCAATGACTCGTGTCACAGGGGAGGACGAAACCAAAACTTGCTGGAGATTGCACCCAATGGGTCTTATCGTTCTTTGAATCAAAACATATCTTTCAGTACCCAGGGCCATGATAAGATACAAGCCAGACTGTCAAGTATCAAGCCCAGTTATCGCACCCGCAGGACAAGTTCGGAATCGAGCTTCAGCAGGTTGGCTCTCAGTCAAGTTATATATGGCCATGGCAACCGCATCTAGCTTCTGTCCCAGTTCCAAAGCATCTCTAGAAACGCTTTTGGATTAAAAAGCCGGGAAGGAGATTGATCTAAGGGTATTGCTGAATATCTCCCTTGCTCAACAATACCTTTGAACGGGAATCTCAACGTGACCCGCACCATGGCAGAAACGTTAGACTTGAATGCCTTGAATTATACTGTGCTAATTCCCTATAATGGAACCACCGCTACGGGAGGTGACTCGTTAGAGATCGACCTGAATGTTTTTTATAACGTGTGTCCCTTTGATCTCCGTTCAGATCAATAGACTGACAAAGCTAACTGACTCCTTGCCTTAGGCCGGTGATATCGCGTGGATGATCACATGCACGGCCTTGGTGCTGCTTATGATCCCAGGCGTAGGGTATGAGGATGTTGACTCCTTCCCCTTCGTCGCTTATTCTGACTGCAAACCAGCTTTTTCTACTCTGGACTTGCTCGAAGGAAATCCGCTCTATCTTTGATATGGCTGTCGGTGATGTCTCTTGGGGTCGTCTCCATCCAGTGGTTTTTCTGGGGCTACTCCCTTGCATTTTCGCATTCAGCAGGAACATATATCGGAAACCTCCAAAACCTCGGCTTTAAAGGCGTTCTCGCCCAGCCATCTGTGGGAAGCACAAAGATTCCCGACTTAATGTTTGCCCTTTACCAAGGAATGTTTGCTTCCATCACGTAAGTCGGCCAAGGTTTCCGCTACCGACTTGGAGCGTCCTAATTGATGATTCTCAGAGTTGCTTTGGCAGTGGGAGCTGTGGCTGAACGTGGTCGAATGGCACCATGTATCGTTTTTATGTTTATTTGGACGACAATTATCTATGACCCACTCGCTTGCTGGACGTGGAATGCCTCTGGCTGGGTATACAAAATGGGTGCTCTCGACTTCGCTGGCGGAACACCGGTACATATCGCCTCCGGCGCTACTGCGTTAGCTTATTCTCTTATGCTGGGAAAGCGACGAGGCCACGATGCCCGTGAATTCAGCTATCGTCCCCATAACGTTACCCATGTTGTAATCGGAACGGTGTTCTTATGGTTTGGGTGGTTTGGTTTCAATTGTGGCTCCGCATTCAGTGCAAACCTTCGAGCAGTTATGGCCGGCGTGGTGACAAATCTGGCTGCTGCTGCTGGCGGTGTGACCTGGTGCCTTTTGGACTATCGCTTGAATCGAAAGTTCTCCGCGGTGGGCTTCTCCTCTGGGGTGATATCCGGCCTCGTAGCTATTACTCCTGCCTCGGGTTATGTCCCACCTTGGTCAGCAGTGATTTTTGGCGTGATCGGAGCCACTGCATGCAATCACGCTACGAAGTTGAAATACCTGATGCAGATTGACGATGCCTTGGATATTTTTGCCGTTCATGGCATTGGGGGTATCGTCGGGAATTTGCTTACGGGCCTCTTTGCAGCGTAAGCATCTCTTTATTCTTTAAACCAACCCTGCTCTAACACGGTGACAGTGATTATATCGCAAGGCTCGACGGTGCCACTCATATTGATGGAGGTTGGCTCAATCAAAATTATATCCAGCTCGCCTACCAACTTGCAGACTCCGCAAGCGGCGCTGCCTATTCATTCTTCGGGAGCTGTATTATTCTATTCCTTATCAATCTAATCCCTGGATTGCAACTCCGAACCAGTGAGAACGATGAAACCTTAGGTGTCGACGATGTGGAGATTGGAGAATTTGCTGTATGTTTTCGAGTTAATTCTCATAGTGCGTTTTACCAAGCTGATATGCCTTCAGTACGACTACGTGGAAATCACTCGAGACGTCGGAAGCGAGCTCGAGACCGATATTTCCGAACCCAAATCTGACATTGACTCTGTTGGTCGGCAGAAGTATATTAGTACCGCATCAAACACGAATGAGAAGTAATGAGTGAATGACCTTTATACGTGCTGGGCTGAGACGTAAACGTTCACTGTTATATACGGAGTATTGATATGGTCAAAGATTCTTTCATACGCTCCCGCATGTTTCCTCCTAGACTCATAGACGCACACACGAACCCACCTCCTATTTAGGGATTTTTTTTTTCAACATTTGGAAGAACAGCAACTGGCTGTATTCCAACATGTTATCAAGTCCTTCTGTGGAAGATAACCAATGACTAACTAAGTAAGGTAACTAGTCAACTAACAGCGAACTAACTAATGGAAGGAGATGCTTGATCTATTCAGCTAGCTGGAAACTGAGCTATGTACGGAGTACAAGAAGGTGTCTGGGTAGCCGGATTGGTTATCTCCCTAACCATTCTTGCCTATATAACTCCACGGTTTCTCTTGTTGTTATTCCGCCCGCCTAACTAGCAGTAGGATATGATCTCCCTAACCTCTTGCCTATATGACTCCACGGCATTCCTTGTGATATTTCGTTGTTCCCTGTGCTCTTCTCGCTAGGGTTCCTCGGTCATTTCACCTGTTGGTAAGGAATACGTTCGGTCATCTAACCCTTCTGTTATCCTAGCTCGTGCCAGGGCGATTGGGCTCGGGTCTTCCGCGTGCGGCGGCTCGATCCGTTCGATTCATTGCGGGCAAATTGCCGTCACTACTCGATAAATCTCGAGGGTGTTGTTCATGTATGTTTGTTTAGACTTCCACCAAGAGCCGTCAAGCTTCCCAGAATCCGCCTGTTCCGAGGAGGATGTAAGTCATAGAAAATGCAGTCATTATGACTTCTCCCTCAGATGGCAAGTTTTGAAAAACGAAACTAATGTTTCTAAGCTTCAATAGATCAATATTGAGGTTCTAAATAAATGGCTAGTCTGATGAATACTTGCACCTTTTAAAGATGATAACTAGCCATTTGATCAAGTGTAGTTATACCAAAATGTCATTACTCAAATCAATTCCATCCCATTTGAATCACCTTTAAAAGCCATGCAGGTAGATAGAATCAAACAAATATAAAACAGCATTGTATATTATTATGAGAAGCTAGACATAATGCTGGAATCTGTCAGGTTGCTTCCTGTTGGGCTTGGAACAGAATCCAGAGCTTAGCTAACCACCACTTCTTAACGCTCGATTCAGAGAATCCAAGAAACTCAACAGCCTCAAGAGTTGGAGATTAACCATTCAACGTCTCTTCAAGCCGACGCATATTCAAAGCCTTTTTGCTAGTATTTCACAAACCGGTTATATTGCTATAACCGAAACGCCTTGGATAAGACCTTATACAAATATGGAAGAGGCACCGAATCCGACAGGCGACAGCGCGACCCGCTCGAACTTCCCGCTTGATGCTTCAGAATTTGATAGCGATCCCCGAATCTCTTTCTCCAGACTCGACAATAAATTCATTCTGGAAACCGAAGACGGTGAAGAATATTCTTACGACACAGTTCTGAAAAGATGGATACCTTCGGTAACTACTCCATTTTTGCTGCGCATGCCCCTTCAACCAACCCGTGCTGCTATGTAGGACAGTTCTGTCGGGCAAGAGGTCTCCGTAATGGGAGCTCGGGCGTATCGTCCCAATACCTTTACTCCATTGGATATCTGTTCTTCCCCTAAGTTGGATCAGTGCTTTTATGATTTCCACGAGTTGGACGGATCATGATTCTAACTGCTTGGCTTCGCATTTACGCCGCTGCACCGATGAACAGCTGGATGACACTCTAATCGAACAACAAGGAGAAGCATACAAGGTGGAGGGCGTTGATGAGAGTGAACCTGCAGTCAAGCAGCAAAAGAAGAAGCGGAAGCAAAACGGTGATGTGCGTTCTCGGCCTAACTCAAGGCTCTTCCCAATTGATAAATGATGCCAGTGTCTAACTCCTCCTTGTATTTTGTATCGCGACTACAGGAGTCCGGCAATACCAATGCCCCTAAAGCAAAGAAGCCTCGCACCAACACGGCAGTGTACGTCACTTCCATTCCCTTAGATGCTACTATCGAGGAGATAAACGATGTCTTTTGCAAATGCGGCGTTATTGCCGAAGAAATTGATAGCCATCGACCGCGGATAAAGATGTACACGGATGAAAATGGAAAGTTCAAAGGGGACGCGTTGGTTGTATATTTCCGTCCCGAGTCCGTCAATCTGGCTATTCAAATGCTCGACGATTCGGATTTTCGACTTGGTGAGACAGGGCCGCAAGGCAAAATGAAAGTTCAGCAAGCGGATTTTTCGTTCAAGGCGCAACAAGAAGCTCCGCAGAAACAGAACACGAGAGATAAGGCAAAGATTATAAAGAAAACGCAGAGGTTAAAGAAGTATGTTACTGTCCGAACGCGAAATCATTGGCATACTAATATGCTGGCTCTAGCAAGCTCGCGGACTGGGATGAGGATGATGCAGCGACTCTTCAGCCTACAGGGCGCTGGGAGAAGGTTGTTATTCTCCGGCACATGTTTACGCTAGCAGAACTGGAGGTGAGATTACCCCGCTGGGCTTATTCTTCATTTTGATGAAGCCCCTCTCCCGCTTGCGCGACTGCAGAAAAATAGTTTCCCATTTACTCACTCTCTATTATTATTATAAAAGGATGATCCGGCCGCTATTCTCGATATCAAGGAAGATATCCGAGATGAATGTTCAAAGCTTGGAGAGGTCACGAATGTTGTGCTGTATGATAAGGAAGAATCAGGAGTTGTTACTGTTAGATTCAAGGACCCTGAAGCAGCACAAGCCTGCGTCGAGGTATGTTCTTACCCTTCCACAGATAGGCAACCGCTCTTTCTAATCGTGGTTAGATGATGAATGGTCGGTTCTTCGGCGGCACAAAAGTGGAAGCGTACATTGCAGACGGCCGTGAGAGGTTTAGAAAATCCAACGATAAGAGTTATGATTATGAAGACGATGGCGCAGGCTGGGAAGCCAGTTACGATGACGAAGAATCTAAACGGCTGGAGAAGTTCAGTTCATGGATTGAGAATGAAACGCCCAAGAAGGACTCCGCAAGTAGTTAAAGTATTCATAGCAGACATTTGTTTCTTGTATTTTAGCTGAAGCCAGTGCTTTTACTATTCCCATCAAATGGTTCGTGCCTGGGGCAAACCAACAAGATGTTTGATGCCAAGGACGCCTGGTGCCGGCGCTAAGCCAAAGCGGGATTGTTGACATTCTTACATAAGCCAGCGCTCAACGCGGGCTTTCTGGCGCCTGCCGCACAAACAATGTCAACAATCATAACTCAGTCTGGCTTAGCTCGGCCACGGAGCTAGTCGTCGCTTTCTCCCCTTTTTCAACCTCACCGCCCATCCTTCTCTTTCGACCCAACAACATCCTCCGCTCCCTCAGTCCTGACCACACTGCGTCAACACTCGATTCTGACCGACCTCACTTCCTTCAAACCTACTGTTCATTCAAAATGCGTGAAATTGTAAGTTCTCGGACTCCCAACGCGTCTGTTTTGTGACGCACGCATGCTCTTCCCGATGCAAACCCCGCCAGTCACTGCACCCAAATCCCAGGATCCCTGGATGATTTCGAGTCGACGCCATTATGCTAATGATATCTTCTTTTGGTATTTTAGGTCCACCTTCAAACCGGCCAGTGTGTAAGTATTAGGAACGAGATATCTCAGTCAAATCCCGTCGATGCTCGGACATTATTGACCTGACTTGACCTGAATATAGGGTAACCAAATTGGTGCCGCTTTCTGGTAGGTTCAATTGGCCAGCACGACCTGTAAATTCGGTTGCTTTTATGCCGTTTGCTAACATGTATATTTAGGCAAACCATCTCTGGCGAACATGGCCTCGATGGCTCCGGCAAGTGAGTTGTGCCCTTATAACACAGGATAAACATCGCTTTAACACGGACTCAGTTATGCCGGAGCGTCTGATCTTCAACTCGAACGTATGAACGTCTACTTCAACGAGGTATTGCAGCTCATTCCGGTTTTCAGCCATTTAAGCTAAATGCCATATAGGCTTCTGGAAAGAAATTTGTTCCTCGTGCTGTCCTCGTCGACCTCGAACCCGGTACCATGGAAGCCGTCCGTGCTGGTCCATTTGGCCAACTCTTCCGTCCCGATAACTTCGTTTTCGGACAATCTGGTGCCGGAAACAATTGGGCCAAGGGTCACTACACTGAGGGTGCTGAATTGGTCGACCAGGTCATCGATGTTGTTCGTCGTGAGGCTGAAGGTTGCGACTGCCTCCAAGGTTTCCAGATTACCCACTCCCTTGGTGGTGGTACTGGTGCCGGTATGGGCACATTGTTGATCTCGAAGATTCGAGAGGAATTCCCAGACCGTATGATGGCAACTTTCTCCGTCGTTCCATCGCCAAAGGTCTCGGATACTGTTGTTGAACCATACAACGCAACGCTCTCTGTCCACCAATTGGTTGAGCACTTTGACGAAATCCTCCTGTATTGATAATGAGGTAGGATTTGACCGATATTCCCCCGGTGCATACGGTTTCTCATAGTATTGATGGCTTTTAGGCTCTTTACGATATTTGCATGAGAACTCTCAAGCTGTCTCAACCCTCATACGGCGACCTTAACCATTTGGTCTCTGCTGTCATGTCCGGCGTCACAACTTGCCTTCGTTTCCCTGGCCAACTTAACTCCGACCTCCGTAAATTGGCTGTCAACATGGTCCCATTCCCTCGTCTCCATTTCTTCATGGTTGGCTTCGCTCCTCTTACTAGCCGTGGCGCCTATTCCTTCCGCGCCGTCACCGTCCCAGAATTGACCCAGCAAATGTACGACCCCAAGAATATGATGGCTGCCTCTGACTTCCGCAACGGCCGCTACCTTACCTGCTCTGCCATCTTGTAAGTCCCCATATTTATATACTTGTGATACTTCTTTTGTCGGGCTTTCTGACAATTTCAATAGCCGTGGCAAGGTTTCCATGAAAGAAGTTGAAGACCAGATGCGCAATGTGCAGAACAAGAACCACTCTTACTTCGTTGAGTGGATTCCCAACAACATCCAGACTGCTCTTTGCTCCATTCCTCCACGTGGTCTTAAAATGTCTTCCACATTTATTGGAAACTCTACCTCCATTCAGGAACTCTTCAAGCGTGTTGGTGACCAGTTTACTGCTATGTTCCGTCGCAAGGCTTTCTTGCATTGGTACACTGGCGAAGGTATGGACGAGATGGAATTCACTGAGGCTGAGAGCAACATGAACGACTTGGTCAGTGAATACCAACAGTACCAAGACGCCAGCATCTCTGAGGGTGAAGAAGAATAGTAAGTCTCCCATTGTTCAACTTTCTATTTTGATATGATTCTGATTACTTTTTCTGTTGTAGCCTTGAGGAGGAAGTTATGGAAGGAGAAGAGTAAACAGCTCAATGTATACCCCAGTGCACGGTTTTCAATCCTGATGTTAGCATCATCATGTTAGTTTTGAGCGATAACTTCCCTCCTTTTTGATAATCTTGAATTAACTCTCTCTAAACGCGGTGACATGCGATCTCTCTCCCTACCACTGAGATGGTTACTCGAGCTCCTTTTTGTCCTGCTAGACGTAGTTATACCAATATTAATTGAAATCATTTCACCTACCATGGCCATGCATAGTATTAATCACACCTCAATTGAGTCCGTGCCTAAAAAAGCCTTTTTGTCGTGTAATACTTGTCATTTGCTATTCAATTTATATCTATGCTAGGAGTACAGGCTAGATTCATACTCCGTACATTTTATAATATTCCACGCTCGCAAAAGGCATTATATATAGTGAAAAGTCCCAAAGAAAAAGTCATGCGTTTTTCGCTTTTCAGCTTACTCATTGCTAGGATACAACACCTTCTCAACAACGACAAACTCTTCCTTGATGGACCGCATGCTCACGAATCTGCTCAGAAGCGCCTGGCTTCCAGCTTTGTCGTTGGTGCCAGATGCTCTGGATCCACCAAACGGCTGTTGACCAACCACGGCGCCAGTACATTTGCAGTTGATGTAGAAGTTTCCAGCAGTGGTGCGCAGCGCATTTTCGGCATAATAGATTGCCTCCCGGTCCTGGGCGAAGACCGCGCCGGTCAAGCCGTATTGGCCGGTACTATCAATGGTTTTGCAAATGGACTCGAAAGCGTTGGGGGCGGCATCATCATAGACGGCGATGGCGAGGACAGGGCCAAAAAGCTCGGTGGAAAGGAGATGGTGGTTGATATCGGTGGTGGAGTACACGGTTGGGTGGATGAAATAGCCCTTTGATTTATCGTGCTTGCCACCAGCGAGAAGAGTAAGCGACTTGTCCGATTTGGCGTCGTCGATGACTTTGGAGAGTTTGGCAAAGGATGGCTCGTGGATGACAGGGCCGATGAAGTTAGTGAAATCCTCTGGGTCGCCGATTTTGAGCTTCTCGACCTCAGACACGAGAAGAGTGCGGAATTCATCCCATTTAGAGGCGGGAACATATGCACGGGAGCAGGCACTGCACTTCTGGCCTTGGTACTCGAAAGCACCGCGGACGGTGTTGATGACTGCGTTGTGAATGTCGGCGGTGGGGTGGATAAGATGGAAATTTTTGCCGCCGGTTTCACCAACAATACGTGGGTAACCCTTGTATTTGCCTTCCGCAACACCCTGGGCGATTTTGCCATACAGAGAGCGGAAAACGGCGGTACTACCAGTGAAGTGCAAAGCGGCGAATTCTGGGTGGTCGAGGATGGTGCGAGTAACCATTTCGGCGTCACCAGGGACGAACTGAATAACGCCTGGAGGGAGACCAGCTTCGACGAGGATCTTGTAAGTCAAGAAGTTGGATGCCATAGCATATGGTGACGGTTTCCAGACGACCGTATTTCCCATGAGCGCCGGAGCCGCTGGCAAATTTCCGCCAATTGCAGTGAAGTTGAACGGAGAGATTGCATAAACGAAACCCTCCAACGGACGATATTCCACGCGACTAGTTCGAAATCAATTCCTGTTCGCAATATAATCCGGCCATGCGGGGGGAGGGATACTTACTTCCAAACTCCAGGGGCATTGTGGGCTGGCTGCTGGGTGTATAATTCCGAAGCGTACTGCACATTGAATCTAAGACGTATTAGCATCCGATGCCTGGCCTAACTGCGAAAGTATGCATTTCAACCAACCTCAAAAAGTCACACAGTTCAGCGGCAGCGTCAATCTCAGCTTGCCACGCATTCTTGCCCTGGCCAACCATTGTGGCGGCCATGATTTCATATCTGTACTTTCCACCGACCAAATCGGCTGCCTTCAAGAACACCGCAGCTCTATCGGCAAATGGAAGGCTCTCCCATTTCTTCTTTGCATCCAGTGCAGAAGCAATCGACGCTTTGACGTCCTCCTGGGTGGCATTGTGGTATTTGGCTACTATCTGAGCGTGATCGGAAGGGTTTCGCTGCGTTTCAACGGAGGATGTTTCGACCTGAGCAACACAGTAGTCGTTAGCCGGTATGTCACGGTAAGAATAGGATGAATTGGGGACCTACAGCTTTGCCGCCAATCATCAACGGCACCTGCACGGGAGCATTGCGCTTGAACGCTTTCAACGCACTCTGCAGCTTCTCCCGATCCGGAGAGCCTTTGGCATAGTGTTTCTGCGAGAAGAAAAAGAAAAGTGAGTTAGCAGCCGCCGCCCCCTCAATCGAACAGGGAATCTCCGAGGCCAAGGGATCTTGACACTTGCACGCGGGGAGAAGGGCAAAGGAAGACGTACATTGGGCTCATTTTGGATAGTTGGCGGTCTGAAAGTTGCAAGATTAGCCATGGTTGGAGCAGTTGTAGCGAGGAGTCGGTGAGGAATCGAAGATGGACCAAGAGGGGAAGAAGGAGGTATGCTGGGTCTTGGAGTCTGATATACAACCAAACCTCTCGCGGGCGCCGCAGGGCGGACAAGGGTCCTGGCGCCGAGACGGAGCATCGTTGCTTTTGCAAAGGAAGAGATGGAGGGCTGGCAGGGGCCGGGCGAGAGAGGGGGTGTGAGGAGAAGCCGGGATGGCGATGCTTCTTGAAGTCGAAGGAGGAAGTACTCTGCCAGCGCAAAATGGCTGCAGCAGGACCTGCGCGGGCTAGGCGGGGATACGCCCGGATACTCCCGGGTCGCGGCGCCAAGACTCTGCTGCCGAAAGAAGAAGGTTGTGGGGCAGGTGGGCCCCCCGTCCGCCTATGACATAAGCAGACTGCACGTGACTGGTGCTATTGATGGATAAAACGGGCAAGCAGCGAAATCGTCAGTTGAGATGGCATTCCCGAGAGCAGTCTAGAATATCAAACAGAAGGAAATCGCATAAGAAGAACCGCCTCCATCCATTGCCATTTGCCATCCCTCATTCGTCATTCTTCCGTCCAGACCCAGTGCCTGCTTGCAGTCAATTCTACCCCACGACAAAAGGACACTGGCCCGTCCGTTTGCTCATCAATCGTTGCAGCGTCTGTTCATGGTAATCGCGCCCTTTCCCCACAAACGCGCGTGGCCCGACGTCAGGCGTCTCATAACCGTTTGGAAAATAAGTGTCGCCGCCATCTCCGGGAAGAGGCAGGCGGAGGAGCCTCTTGGACCAAGAGGGTGGGCCCCATCGATTCCACAGCGTTGGCTTCACGTAGAAGGGTGCGCCCTCATAGTTGAGCAAGAAATGGGGCGGCTTTTCGGTCGGATCGGTGCTGATACGTCTGATTTGAAGAAATCCGGGCCGCGGAAGGGCCAAGTAGCGGAGGGCGTACTTTCGGACTGCGAATATCTGGGAGAATATAAAACGGTACGTCCAGCCAGGTCGATCGTAACTAAAAATTGCAGCGAGTCAGAAAATAGTCACCTGAGAGTCAAGCACTCCGAGGGAAGGGGGAAAGCTATAGGTACGTCATGGCAGTGCGCAGCCGATCATCCATCAGGAAGTATATCATTTTCCGCCCCAGATTTCGGAACACACGAGGAACAGTCCAGAGCAGAATCGAAATCGTCTCCTCCGCCGTTTGGTGATTATCCCGATGGGGAACCATATGCTCTTTCTCGTATTCTTCGCTCCACGTCTGGATCTCGTCCAACCACTGCAGCCCGTCCCGAAATCCCGCTTTGGAAGACGGCAACTTGTCGTACTTGATCTCCATCGCATCACCGATCGACTTCCAGAACGTGCCCAAAGCACACTTCTCCAGCTCGCTTAGTTGCCGCCATTCGTACCGATCGATCCAGCGAAACGGCTCGAGCGCAAAAAGGCTCAGGGTATAGAGCATGTCATCGTCCAGGATCTTGCCGGACTTGAGATATACCGAATGGATATAGTTCATGCGAGCGATCGCCTCGCGACTCCGAGAAGAGGTGGGTGGGTTGCCCACGAATTCAGCGATCAGGACTGATGTGTCTGCGTAACGTTTCATTGCGGTCTGTTGCTTCGAAAACTCGGACGTTTTCACAAGAAGCCCGGATATCGAAGGGATGCCATAGGTCTTTTTTTGTTTGAACATGTCAGATTGATTTCGCAACAGACTGACGGCCTCACAAGCTCTTTTCGTTTGAAATCATTTTTTGACTTGCCCTGAATAATGCAAACTGCAACGCCTTCAAATACGTAAAAGGGAATTCCAGCTGTCCCAGCACCTGTAGTATCTTCCACGCGTCATCGTCTGTCATCTTCGCTAGTGACTCTCTCGTAGGGTATTTGAACTGTTCCTGCATGGCCCGTATTCTTCGGTATCGCAGGCCGTACACCACCAGCAGGTACGAAACCACGCCGGATCCAATAGTCCCAGGGCGGAGGAGCGCCAGGAGCTTTGCCCCTGCCTGTGCAAGGTACGAAAGATCCATATTGGTGATGGACGGGGAGGTGCAGACGGGTTGTAGTTACACTTGGGGGAATGTTCAGGCTGAGCACGCTTGTATAGGACTGTTTAACGAGGGCCTGACGGTTGTTTATGCAGTTAGGTGTGTGTGTGTGTGTGTGTGTGTGTGTGTGTGTGAGAGAGAGTGCCTCAATGCGAGTCGGCTTTCGGAAGTTGTGTAACTATTAGTTAATTAACCAAGGCGAGGTAAGCAGTTGATCAGTCCGCTTGCTAGTTCGCTCCTCTCTTGACGGGTCAAGCCTAGGTTGGTCGAGCTTGACTAACTATCTTACTGTGCACATGCCTGACGATCGAGGTGGTGAAAAAGATGAAATCGCCTCAAAGTGCAGTATATAAAGGCGACACTTGATACATTTCTGGGCCTTTTCGACTTTTTTGATGGTTTCTTTGATTTCAAAGTCGATCAAAAGCACAATGGAATAACTACGCCATTTGAGACGAAAAAGGGAAAAATAAGGTGCAGTGAAAGCATCTAGCAAAGCAATCGTATTTATAAAGAACCGGTTATGATAACACACTCGAGAATGAACAGCAACAAAACCACAAATCGCACAAAAGGGAATTAAATAACATGGATGCGAGCGGACTCTGGATAGCACGAATATGTACCGCAACAAAAAGGAGCAGAAGGAGGGAGCAAGAATAAACCCAATAGTAGCGAAAGAGGAAAAAGCGTTTCAACCGCCTGACCGTCCGACCCGACACCATGCAATTGATCAACCGGAATAAAAGCGTATATATGAATTGGGACATCCGTGGAATCGAATAAACTCGCCGCATTCGCCATTAGGGGGTGGAAAACAAGGCAGAAACCGACTGGACGAGGTATAAAAAAAAGGGCGCGAAATCCAAACGCCAGCCAAAAAAAGCTACAGAAAGATTTAGTCTAAGCACCCATTTGTGAAGCACAAACCCGTGATGAAGTAAAATAAAAACTCGATAGTATCGGACGATTAAGAAAATATTATAGCAGGAGTGGCAGCTGATCTGAGACCGCGTGGTAAAAATCTATTTGGAAAAAGCGTAAGTGTATCGATCGCTCTTTTATGGGAAATTCAAGTCTTAGGATGCGGTTTCGCTGAAGACGCCGCTGAGTGTCTCGAGGTCGAATGGCGAGAAGTTGACCGCCGCGACTGATGGCCAGTATTGGACGACGAGTCGTGCAAGAACTCAGGAACCAGGTCGGGATTTTGGCTAGGAGGCACCTTGCTCGCCGGTGAATAATCGCTCACTACAGGATCATCGTCCCGGGTGTTGGGATGGATTTCAATACCCTCCTGCTGATCCAGAGCCCCAGGGCCGGTCCTCGAGAATTTGATCGAGTCGTTTTCACCTGTGCCTCGCTCGACTGGAGACCAGCCTGCAATGCTTCCCGCGACAATACCTGCCATGGCAGCCGCAGGACCAAACGCAGAGTTGGATCTCGATCGGCCACGGCTCCTCATGCGCGAGTCTGGCGTTGCCGGGGCATTACCATTCAGCTCAGGTTCATTCTCGCCCTGCGGAGTCTGGGGAACAGAGAATTCCTGAGACCTTGAGCCGTTGCGTGACCGAGGAAGTAACGTTTGTGGGTGTTGAAGCTTATACTTCAAGTGATTCAACCTGCCACCTCGGATGGTTTTCAAGAACTGTAACTGATCTCGAATCTCCTCCAAAGCTGGGTTCCATTCGTATCGTTGGTCCTCGTCCGATACAAACACTTGAGGACCACGCGGTTTTCGAGTCCAAAAGCGTGGCACCAACTTGTGGAGGAACTCGTCCGGTATTAGGCGGATGATCACTGCAACCGGGAGCGATATGAGACCGAGGATTATGGAAATACCCCATTCCCTTCCATTAAGGGGAACAACCGAAAAGGCCTGACCTCCCACAAAAATGATCAGGACCTGACCCCCGGTAATGATAAATTGGATCGCAATGAACCACTTGTTTCGCAGCAATCCTTCAAAAATATTGAAGCGATTGTCAATACGCCGGGCGCTGAAGACGGATAGAGGTTAATGTACGGGTTTGATAACCAGGGTTTAAGAGCCACTCACTTGTATTGATTGAAAATCTGCATCCAAACGAATGTGTTAAAAACCATAGCGCGGAATTCTTTCTCATCCTGCTCACTAGGACCGTAATTCAGAATGCTCTTTCCTGCGAAGTTCAAGATAAATGTCACAACCAATTGGTATATTGATTGCCCGATTATCATTTTCCACATTGTCAGCGTAATTAAGGGAGCCGATCTTGGCTCGGGTTTACGATTAAGAATAGTAGAAGGTGGCGGGTCGGTTGCTATGATTTGATGAGTCCCGGAACAGTGCAAGGAGGTGAGAGTAAATGTCACTTACCCAGTGCCAATGCGGCAAAGGTGTCCATAATGAGATTGACCCAGAGAAGTTGAACGGCAGTAAGCACCGACTTTTCTTCATCGCTGGCAACCGCCGAAATGAAAGTCAAGAACACTGCCGTTACGTTGACAGTAATTTGGAACTAGGCAGAGAGGTTAGAGAGCTCGATAGCAAAAGCTAGGACGGAATGGATGTTCACTCACTTGCAAGAACTTTTTGACAGCATCATTAACAGCACGACCCCAAGCCATTGCCTTGACAATCGAATTGAAATTATCATCCATAAGAATGATGGCTGACGCTTCTTTTGCAACCTCGGTACCAGCAATACCCATTGAAAACCCAACATCTGCCCCTTTCAAAGCAGGTGCGTCGTTAGTTCCGTCGCCAGTCACTGCAACCGTCTCGCCAAGCTTTTGAAGTTGAGCTACCAAAATCCTTTTATCTTCTGGACTAGATCGTGCAAGAACTTGCAATCTTGGGATGATCTGGTTCATCTGATATGAACTTAGTTTTCGGAACTTGGGACCCTCCATTGCAATTCCACCAGGGGTAAAAATCCCACAGGACTCAGCAATGGCCTTTGCAGTCATGATGTTGTCACCAGTGACCATCCGTACGAAGACACCAGCTTTCTGACACTGACGGACGGAATCAGCTACACCCGGTCGCAGAGGGTCCTGGATACCGACAACGCCCAAAAAGATAAGGTCCTTGAAGAGGGCATCAAAAGACGCAAGTCGGCGGTCATCTTCTTGGGTAGGCACTCCGCGAGGTGGCCACTGCTCGTAATCTTGATAAATCAACCCGATAGTGCGTAAAGATTGGGAAGCGTAATGCATGACAATATTGTTTAAAGTTGCACGGTGCTTTTCTGTAAGAGGAATATCAGAAAGGTCGGCGGTAGGATCTCGAATAATCTTGGTACACTTTGAGATCAGGATCTCAGAAGCGCCTTTGACAAGCATTCTGTATTTTCCGTTCGATAGTTTGAGAACTGTTGCCATGCACTTTCTGCCGGAATCAAAAGGAACAACTTGCACGACCTCAGAATTGGACCGTTCTTCATTTAAAGAGCCCAATGCCAGAAAATCGCGCGCGAAACCGAGTAATGCCGTTTCCGTCTTGGAACCAACAAAGTCGATTGTTCCCTGTTCCTCTGTCTCAAAAGCTGTCGAGTTAAGCGCGATGCTTTGTTTCAAAGCCTCCTTCACGTTCGACGATAGAGCATTCACACATTCACCCGGGGGGATTTCGCTTGCACTCGGGGTGCTCTGGTTATTTTCCGATTCATCATCATCGATAGATGCAGTAGCAGCGTTGTCACCAAATCTAGAAGCTGTCCCAAAAGTCCCAGCAACGACCGTCATCTTGTTTTGTGTAAGTGTGCCGGTCTTGTCGGAACAAATGGTTGTTGCATTTCCCATAGTTTCACAAGCTCTCAACAATCTGACCAGGTTGTTATCCTTCAACATTCGAGTTGTTGCGAATGCAAGAGCCAGGGTAACTGCAAGTGGCAAGCCTTCAGGCACAGCAACGACGATAACAGTGACCGCAACGATGAAAATTTGAAGGAAAGCTTGGCCCTTTTCTGTTGAACCACCTTCGATGTCTTTCAGATGTACCAAGAACTTGATGAAGAGTACCACAAACAGCAGTAAACCGGCAGCGAGGCCCAGCTTAGCGATGTATTCTGCCAGCACATTGAGCTTCGACTGCAACGGAGTCGTCTGGCCTTCTTCTTGCAATGAGAGTAGTGTCTTCCCGTGGGATGAATTCACACCGGTTGCTGTAACAAGGAACGTTCCGACTCCTTCCGCGATTTTAGAACCAGAGAGGATGAATGGGTCCAGCTTTTTAAGGGGCTCGTGATTTTCAATTGCCCGATAGACTTCGTCTCCAGGGATCTTTCGCAAAAGATCTGATTCACCGGTAGCTGAGGATTCGTCGCATTTTACATTATGGCCTTCAATAAAGATACCATCAACGGGAACCATATCACCAGGCTCCAGGTGCATCACGTCACCAGCTAAAACATCGTAAACTGATATCTCAATAGACTTTCCGGAGCGTATGATTTTGACTTTCCTGTCCTCTTTTTTCTTGTTGAGTTTCACAAACTGTTGCTCCTTTTTCCAGTCGTTTAAAGCACCAACGACCACCACCACCAAGATAGCGACCATAATCGCAACTCCTTCCACCCATTGAACCCTTGGCTCCCCAGGCTTGGCTGTGAGGGCCTCGTAGATACCCAACGCAAGAGATATGACTGCAGCGACGGAAAGTAGGATCAAAACCTTATCGTTATATGCGATCCATGCCAGTTCCCATATTGACTTCGTTTTCCTGGCCGGTAGTCGGTTATCGCTGAAAACGCGTTTTCGGTCAACAAAGGCGTCGTTACTTTTGCTTATAGATTCCGCATGCGCTGTATCGATCCTCGGTGGCGGCGCGGAAAACGCCTTCGATGAACCATTCTGCTGGGTTGCCTCTTCAAAGCTGACCGCTCCGTCTAGTACACTTTCGTCGACACTAAGACCAGTATTGCGGTTGGTTCTCAAACCCTTTTCGATTCCAGCGAGTCCCCCAAGAGCGTAAAAAGCGGTCAGGTTTTTCGGGTTCAGCATCTTGTTCAATTGACCTGGCGAGAAAGCAAATTTGTTGTTTTGTACCTCGAAATCAGCTTCAGTGCCGGGATCCGGCGTCAGTGCATCTTTAACATTAGTTATATCCTCTGCGATAGGGGATTCTCTTTGGCCAGGAGTGTCTGTCGCGGAGGTCGAGGATGGAGCGACGGTATCTCCCGCACAAGAATTCGTGGCATCTTCAGAGTCAAAAGAGTTGCCTCTTGACCGCGCTCCAGGCACAGCCAAGAAGTTCGAATGGCTGGGTTCGGCCTGTTTCGAGGTTGGCGAGGAAACATTATGGGGCGAAGTTGGCCGGCTCTCACGATACTCTTTTCCATCGGGCGACGGGCTTGGATGCAATTCGGGCGGTGAGTTGGACGGGTTCAGCTGTCCGGTAGCCTGTGACCTCGAGTTTGGCCCGCTGTCACCTGAAGCTCCCCTCTGATCTTCAATAGATGCCCGCGGGTCTGGGGAGCTTTGCGAGGCGTTAACTGCGGACGTGTCAATTGTAATCGTCGGGGCCCTTTCGCGTCGCAAGGGGCTTGAAGGATCCGGTGTGTCCGGCTCTGGTCCGCCGGACATGATTGCGTCGCTGGACTCAGCTGTGCTCAACACTTAGGCAAGGCGAAGGGCTTGTCAAGCGTGAACCAAGCTGTCGGTATTGGAAGAATCGAGCTTTATTGACGGTACTCGTTATCGTATACCATTGCTGGGTAGGATTCTCAGTTTTGCAGATGTAAAGATAATAGGAATGAAGTTTAAGGTGGTGTTGAGATAGACTGTGGATTTGGGAGAGGAAATATCAGCGACGGAAGCTCCCAACACAGCCAGCAATGCCTCCTTCGAAGGAGAGAAAAAGACCGGAAAAATCCAAAACGGCGGTGGACCGAGAGAGAAACACTCACGATTCAATGTTTGGCCCAATACCTCCAAGACACGGGTCTCCACAGGCAAAGGGGGTTTCGGGAGGAAGTGAAGACTGCACACGGGCTGTCTAGAGGGGGAAGGCGTAGTAGCTTGGTGGTACGTGAAGGATTTGGCCGTCAATCGAGAATTTCAAGCACCCGTTTGAGAGAGAAATCGGGCATGGTTCGCCTAGCTGAGAGCGAAGAGGTGGAGAGGCACGTTGAGTGATGAAAGTGGTTGGTTTGGAAGCGGAAGGCTAATATCAACGTCCAAGAAATCAGGGATGGTGCCCAGAGGCCAGGGACCCAAACAAAGCCTGCAAGCTCTCCAAGTATAATTTTCTCGCTCTTTCGCCATGACAAGAACTTGATCGTCATTGGGATCTAAGACTTGAGAGAGGACGACCAGGGAAATCTACATTTACCTCATAGCCAAGGATGTACTGTCCATTCTGCCTACGGTGCATTTACATGATGTCTTTCTTCAGCGGTGCGAGAAAGGGGGAATTCAAGGAGCTATTGACCATTCTACAGCTTCACCGTCATTTGCATTTGGGGCAGAGCCGTTGCCTGGATCAGCATACCCAGACGTGCCGAATGCTAGGAGCGAGGACTCTCGCTGTCCGTTTGATACTCCCGGGTCCCAAGCTTGCACCTTTCCGCCGTACTCCCTATATACATCTCTTGTGTATCCCCAAATCTTTCCTTCTCCCACAACGTGTATGTAGGAAGATCTGGGAGCTGGCGGGCCAAAGTCGACGATCCTGACAAATGAGCGACGTTGCACTGCCACTGCCAACACGCCTAGGTTCCGCCCAACCGCAGGCGCCCAAGAAACAAGGCAGGCAAAGGGAAGGAAAAAGCCAAAAGCCAGAAGCTAGAAAGAACCAAGATCACTGCAAGGCATGGGCTGTCGTCCGTTGACCTCATGGCTAATGCGGGAAGACGAGATGCCCGCTGGTGGGAGTCCTGTGATGCCCCCAAACCAATATCCCAAGGATCGAAAGAGCAGTAACTAGTTAAAACCAGGGGGTTGGAGAACATATTGTTTCAGAACAATCACTGACGTTTTGATGACTGTTACAGACTCCGTACAAGATCCTTCAAAACCATTGCCCACTAATCCTCAGGGGACGAAAGGGCGGTTCGAACAATTGTCTAGAACTTCTGGTGCTCATCAGAACTGCATGCTGATTGGCGTTCCATTCCTGCTGAAGCGGCGAAAACTGCATCCACCCGAACTGCCTAAATCTTTTCTCATCATCATCATCAGAAACCTTCTCTCGATCCCTGCCAAGCCGTGCAAACAAGGTCACGCCAAGCACTACATCACACCCGATCGCAACCGGAGCTCTTCTCTCGTCAGCGCTTGAAAGGGGTTGAAAGGTCCGTCATTCTGGGCAGATTGGAATAATGCCCTTTGGAAAGGACAAGGCGGCCTCACCCCAGTCTTCCCAGCTCGTCCAGAGTCCGCTCCGCTACACTATCGAATGCCAACCCAACCGTGGCGAGGTGGCCGGTGCCAAATGCAGAACATGCTACGGGGCACTCCATACGTCCCTCATAAAACACTCTGTCCCATAAATCTCAAAGAGGCTGGGTGAAAAAAATGAGACAATCTGGTCCCGTTCTTCCTACTTATGTATGATGCTGTGGGAAAAACAGCTTCAGGCTGGACCAAGACCTCTCGCCACGTCGCTTGCCTCAAAGCGGTGGAAATTTATCAAGATCGACAAAAGACCAGCCTTTTGCTTTTTGACCGGCCAAGACGCGCTCTCAAACTCCAGTCTCCAGATGACGGAAAGTTGTGCTCTGACAACAGTCCGAGCATTCGCTGAATGTGCTGCAAGGACCCGAATGACAAACGCACAAACCGGTCTCGGCATGTTGATGTACAGTCTTGAGTCCCGGGAGCCGGATGGCAGTGCAGAATATTCTCTCTTTTGCTTTTCCCGGTCCCTTCCCATTTGTCGGGGTTTCCCCGTGTGAGAATGACATTGTAGGGCGGTATCGAAGTCAAAGAGTGGTGGCAGATAACTACGTAGTTTCTGAAAGTAATCAGACCAGGTGAGGTCTGACCGTCCACTCCATTGAACAGTGTGAGTCGTTATTACCGGGTGAAGAGAGGACATGCCACAAAAAATAACAACCACCATCGCCTTTGTGTCTCAAGATTCCACTATCTATCTTCGAACAAACCTTACAATTGCCTCCTAGAATTAATACACCCATGCACCGGAGCCAAGGGCAAATAGCCACAAAAGCAACGAAACCGTCCCATTGTCTTACTTTTCCCAGAGAAGAGTGATTCCTTTAGCATCTTCCTCGATGGGCTGAATCTTCCAGATGTCAAGCGTTGCGCCCCGTGGCAGCTTCTTCTTCAATTTCGTATCTTTGAGAGACATGATTGCCAAACTCGACAAGGCCAAAGTGCGCACAAGTTCTTGCGTACGGCCCGATGTCACAAAACTTTCGGTCAACGTTGCCGATCCAGCGATGGCGACGGCAAGTGTCATGCACTGGGCGAGAATCTCGCGACCAATAATGCATCCGGCTAGATGAAGAGAGTTGTGATATAGAAGGATGATTTCTGGGAGATACGCGACCCTTATCTTTTCCAATTCGCTATGCTGGTCTATTGCTTGTTAGATTATTGAGCCCGTCGGGTGTACAATCTGAGAGGGCGCTCACCATCAATCGACTGGCAAAGCCAATCCCGACAAAGAGGATTGATATTTTCAGTGATTTTGTCGATTCCTTCTTGCAATTGCTTCTGGAATTGCCTCTTTTTCTCCGGATTGGGAAGTCTGCACAGGGGTCAATAATCTATATCTCCATACAGCAGCTTGCTTTCAAACTCACTCTAAAAACTCATCGACGAGGTTGCCCCAGCTTTCCAACGCGTCAAAAGTGCTGATGAGCAGTTCGAGATCTCTCACAATAAGTGCTTCTAAAGCCAACCCTTCCACAACTAGCCTGTTTGGGTCTATAGAAGGGCGCTGTTGTTGATGCTGGCCCGCCGACTCAAGATGACCTTCTGACCCGCTTTTAACGGGGCTACTAGGACTTTCGTCTCCAATGCCAATCGTAAAAGCTATAATCCTATATTCCGCGGGAACTGGGATTTTTGAGAACTGAATACGCTTCCACAGCTCACGCGCAGGTGCGAGTTCCGTATGTCCTGTAGATAAGCAGTGCGTGGTCAGCGATAAGAGTATAAAACACCGTAAAGGGCGTAATGCTTACTGAGGAATCGCTTGTACAAATACGCAGTATACGAGCATAAAGTCGGCCATTCGGTACCAACGAAACGGTGCCATTCCAAGCAACGAATTAATCGCTCATGCTGCAAGCTCACATCCCGTCCAATGATGTCCCGACCCAGTGTGCCTAGAGATCCAATATTTTGTTCGGTTACAAATTTACCTGCGACGTCAATGGGTCTTTGTTCATCGGGGCCTGCCTCCGAAAGGACCCATTGCCACTGGCTGCTTAAAACAGCCGAAACGTCGGTTCCAAAAGCCCTCATCCGTTGCAGCAAGCCCCTTCGAACCCGTTCATTTTGTACATCAATCAGAACTTTTGCTAGAATCGTGTGACCTATATTCTTTGGTAGGAGAGACGCGTAAAGCGGTATTAGGTCGATCCTCTCCTTTTCCCGAAGAAGTTCAATATATTTGACCACGTTAACGGCAACGACATCGGTGAAGTGGGAGTCGCCCCGAACCATCCCAATCAAGTTCATCAATAAATATAGATGAGAGATGATCCGCAACGATGCTTCATCGTTGGCAGCGATTAATAACGGGTCACGGATACCAACAATAGGCGGGAGTTTAGGGAGTAATGTTGGTTGCTTGGTGGCATTCGTAGCATTGGCCGTAGCAGTAGCGTGATGGTAAAAGAAATGCTCAAGATTTTTGCTTAAAATGGCGCTTTGGATTTGGCGGTAGGGATTCTTGGCCTCTTCCGCGACTCGTTCATCTTTCCTTAAATTGTTTAGGAAGTTGAGTATCCTATCGTGATTAGGAGGTTCAATACTGAGAGTGATTTTGGCGTTGGCGGGAAGGCTCAATTTTCGAAGAAATTGTTTGCAAAAGTCGCGATAACGGCAAAGGATCATATGGTTGTAGAAGACATAAAGGAAGTCGCCCCAGGTCTGACATACTTTATACGCCGGTTCGGTGTCTCCACAAAGCAAAGCGTAAACGGCTTTCTCATAGCGATCGGTATGGGGATCGCTCGCCAGGATCGAACACGCAGCCCTCCAAGCTTCCTGGGACCGGCAACCCATCATTCGGGACAGACCATCGTCGGACGCATCACCATTTTTCGAGGTCGTACTCGAACCGGAGACACTAAGTGCTCGCCAGTTTTCCAGGCGTTCCTGTGACCACGCCCGAATCTCGCTCCAGCTCTGACCCGACCTGAGCATCTTCCAACATCTCAACCAAGTTGCTTGCTCGTAGAAACGATCATGAGGCTGTAGGCCCAATCCCTGCCGTATAACCGCGTCAGGATCCAATTGCGTAATCAATGGTGCTTGCTTTTCTGAGCCCAATAATGAGGGCGTAATTCGGGAGTCCTCCGGGTCCAACGGCTGCGACCAGGATCGCAATCGTTTTGCTCCCTTGATAGTTTCTTTTGTGTAAAGCCAGCCGTGGGCCCATAAGCCCTGGCCACGATCAGCCTCCTTCTCTAATTCAGAGATCACAGTATCTAAATCTGCCGTAGATCGTGCAAGCTTCTCAAGCCATTGCAGAACAATGACGCATTCACGAGCAAAGTGATCAGCCTCAAGGAAATTGTCCCAAATTTCCTTGTCGGAGGAGTATCTATGCAGAGATTGTAAGGCGGTTTCTTGGCTGTGCTTTGCGCGTTCCTGTGTCTCAGGGTTGGCTATCGTGAGGAGCTGATATAATAAATCCCAAGTCTCCGCTTCAAGCTGCCAACGTGCTATCTGCTCTTCCACTTCACCTATTGTGGTTTCCTTTTCATTTTTTTTGTGGGCCGGTCTGTAGGGCTTTCGGACCTGATGCGATGTCGAGAGATCATGGACGTTGTTTTCCGCGATGGACTGGTAATTCTTCACTAATTTACATGCTTCACGGAACGCTTGAGGGTCCTGTGGCGTAGGGGATTGTTTACGAAACTGGTCCAAATTGTGCGCAAATGATTCGATTTGTTTGAGGACGCGTTCCGCCATGTCTTCGAGTGGGTGTAAGGTCTGCTTAACATCGGCCGTAAGCAGATTGGAGAGAGCGCTGCCTGAAGATCGGGGTAGAAAATCTAACCATTGACATTGTCAGTAAAGGAGTAAGATTTGCTTTGACAATACATCGGACCTTCTTTGCTTAGCTCACGTTTGAGTCCTTGTTCTTCACCTGAATTGGTCCCATTCGTAGCTTTGTAGTCACCGTCAGCCCCTTCTCCTTCGTTTCTGTAATAATCCTCGATCCTTTCTTCGATTTCAATTTCTTCCTCGTCGGTATTTTCGAATTGCATCTCATGATCCTCATCTTCATCTTCGTAAGCTTCTTCATTTTCTTCCCCTGATTCCGCTTCCTCCTCTAATTCGTCGTCGCTTTCGGCTTCTTCGTCTTCTTCACTCATCTCCTCATCATCATTGCTAGGCATTTCTCTATTGTCGACATCCTCATCACTATCGTCGTCTATCTCGATGACCTCCGCGTCATGGGGAACGGCGGGAGAGCCCTGTATTTGGTTGGCAAACGGCGGGGATGAAGTTATATTAAAAACGTTTGCGCACTTACATTTGACATTACCGATTCGCGGCCATCTTTTGGAGGAAATGAGAAGCTCGCCATAACAGATGCCCAGTATGTACAGCGTGGTCAACAATTGGATTCGGACAGACTGAGAGCTCCTCGCCCTCAAAATAAACCGAGCTTTCAACCTTCGCGACAGGAAAATACGCGCTAGACCGCAACCAGACTAGCGCCGCGACACACCAACGCATAAAAGAAATTTCCCATCCAGGAGCGCTCCGTTTTTTCTTTTCTTCTTCATCAATGTCATTTTTAGGTGATCATTAGAGTCTCGGTGCAGAGTTACTCAGTGTCTGCTCAGGTTCTTTAAGAACCTCTTGCGTGCTCACGATTGCCTTAGAGCAAGCACAGTGGTCAGTAAAAGTCCTTGTCCGAACTTTTGGGTCATGAACTGGGATACAAATATCATTGTGACAATTTTTGAGCAACGACTCCTTTCGCCCTTGTGGGGTACGGCGAAATCTATGTACAGCATTCCCGCCATCATTTGAAACTAGATCATACTTGATTCTATTCGTAAATCATTTCAGCCCATTTTGTTGGAGCTTCAGCTGCAGTAAATCGGGCTTTGGGCAACTTGGAGTCCTAGCATCATCGCCGTTTTCTTGGTAAAATCTATTGCAGCATTGATACAACGCGATTATCTGATCACGGCATCTCTCTTCCTGGTACGAATTCTTGATGAGGCAGTCTATGGAGCAAGAACTAGTTAGTGGGCGGCAAGTTGGAGGCTACAGTCCCCAGGAAATGCCTACCCTGGATGGCACACTGGGTAGGAGTAAACGTCAATGACATCGCTACATAGTAGAGAAGGAACCTGGAGACGGAAATGCACCACATACTGCAAATGAGTGGCATGCTGGGCTGGGGGAACCGGGCTTTGGCTCCTTTGACTGCACAAGTCAACATTGGCCTGGCCATGCAAACTCAAACAATGGACATCACATATCTTACCATGGCGGCGGCTTCAATTGACCGGCAAATAAATGTGTTCTTTGTGATTCGAGGGCCCTTGCAGGATCCCAATGTGTTCCTCCCGTCAGCGCGTCAATTTGCAGAGACCCTCCAATGGTTGGCAGGTCGGGCTCTTCGCAAAATAGTTAGTCCGACTCCGCCCGTAACTATATAAAGTCGGCTGCGGGGTGAGGGAGCCTCAGTTCTTCCCTCCGTTTCCACACTCTGTCTCCTATAAATCTTTTATTACATTGCCTTTCTGCATTGCTGCCGTCCTTACATCCTCCTGCACTCATTTTTCTCCAGACTCGTCAATAGCAAAATGGACAACACCACACCTCCAGAAGCACCACGTCAAACGGAACATTTAAATATCAAAGTAACCGACAACAACAACGAGGTTTTCTTCAAAATTAAACGAACGACGCAATTGAAGAAACTTATGGATGCTTTCTGCGAGCGGCAAGGCCGCCAGCTATCAACTGTGCGATTCCTCTTTGATGGAACCAGGGTACGACCTGAAGACTCGCCGGACACTGTAAGTTTGCATCAACGTCGAGAGACATTTTGCGCGCAGTCGCCTACCCTACAATATATTCCTATTCTCTTTGGATATTGAGGCCGAGGCGATGCTAACCAACGTTTGTAGCTCGACATGCAAGATGGGGACACCTTAGAGGTGCACCAGGAACAAATCGGCGGGTGACTCAGATCCAGTCTCGTGCTTCTTACGATAATGAACTGTAGTTCGCCCCTCCCGTTTTTGCGTCTACGGGTTTGGATGTCTGGCTTCTGACAATATTGAGTCCTATAGATCCCCCTTTGAACGTTTTCTCCGCCCCAAAAGATCACCTTTTGTATCACCACTCGACACAGCGACCCTTTCGACCTGGACCTGCTTCCTTTTTACGACTTTCAAACTGGAGTTGGGAGGCGCTTCGCGAAAGTTCCGTTTTCCCGTGATATCAACACGGTTTGGAAAAGATGCTGCTTTTCTTTTTTCTTGTCTCGCATGAGATTTCTGTGGTGAAGGATTCATCTAGAGCGCGAACATTGCCAACGACTGCTCTCATTAATGTGACTCAGTAACGTATGCCACGAACCCTTTCGAAAAATAAAAGGAAGGAAGATATCTTCGTCTATTTCGCCACCGCATTCTTTTGAATTTCGTAGACCTGATGATTAAAAGACTTGTGCTCAAACAATCAGATTTCTGACAGTAAAAGTAAATCCCACGCTGATGCTCCGTAATATAAACCCTCATTAAATCGCCAACCAAGCGAGGTAGACTCAATCTATAAACGTACAACGACATCCACGAAGGCTAAACTTCAAAGAGGCAGAGACTTTAGGACTCCCAGACCGCTTGTTTGGCCTTCTCCTCCGCCTCGCGCGTCTGCCTCGCAGCTTCCCGCTCCCGCTCGCGCTTCCTCCTCTCACTCTCCAACACGGCGCGGTCATACGCTTTCTGCTCTTCCGTTCGCTGTGTGCGCACGCCTAGCGCGTTGCTTATTATCCGACTAGCGACGGCGGTTTGCTTTTCGGGGCGGCTGCGGGGACTCCCTGTTCCCTGGGGAGCTGAAGCGGGAGACCATTGGGAACGGATGGACGAGGGCGCCAGCGGGGGAGCGTCATTATGAGCTGCGCGGGTTTGCGGAGGGAGCGACGTGGTGTCTGCCGCGTAGGTATCCTCTTCGTCTTCTGATGAGGAGACCGATGCGTCTTCCCATGAGTCTGCGACTTTGGGTTTGGGCTTTTGCTTGGGCTTTTGGGCACCAGGCTTGTTGGCGGGATCTAAGGCGATGTTAGCCTGTCGAGATGATGGGAGTTTGAGGAGAATTTAGTTTTTTCGGAGTTGCCTCCTTGACGATGACAAGTTGTGATAAAAACGATGTGCGACAGACCTTTGACGGAGTCGGCCATTCTTCCGGCAGCTTGAGCGTCAGCGGGTGCCCAAGAGGCGGAACAGCGGTTATTGAGTGATTGAGTTCAACCCGCTAATCCGAATATACAAGCGGGAACTGCAACTGCTTTACTGAGATATAAGTTGCGCAGGGGATGGATGGCAATGATTGTGGGCCAGATGCATTGCGCCGCAGAGAAATCAAAGTAACCCTGAAGTCGTGGTTCCCCCTCTTTCCAGGCGCATGGGCTTCCCTGGCTGTGATGTACGGAGTAGACGACTGCGTCTATGTATGTACAACCGACATGGCAGCACCCAGGGCATGGCAATAGTCGACCTTATTATTACTGATCCTCCGTTTCCCGTGCTGCTATTGAACCCTGCCCCCCCGTAGCCTACTAGTTAACTCGTTAGTTAGGTTTGATCTTTTGTTTCGTTCGCAGGCATCTTTGACACAACAGAAAACAGATATTGATTCACAACCATTGGAAGCCAGGGTCGAGTCAATATCTGTGCTAACAAACATAGCCTATCAAATGGGCATGGGTTCAAGAGGTCATGGCCCTCCTAGTTGCCTTACTCGGTTGCAATTGGCTTAGAGTCTGGCTCGGAATCATGAGGGGTCTCGTTGTTGAGCGAGGTATTAGTTATTGCCTCAACCAGCGCATCTGAATAGCTATTATTTTACTACGGGGGAAGTCATTTTGAATTTAGACGATGATTGCGGAATCATAGCCCACCAGCTCAGACACCCCCATGAATTTCAGATAGCCCGCTATTTCTCGAAACCCGCTCCTCAAAGCCCACCTTGGTTAATCCTAAACTACCTCGGAAGTATCACAATGACGTTGATGGACGTGTTCCGAGAGCCGGCAGCGCCGGTTTCCGAAGCTTTCCTATCGAGGGTTTCACTCCAGAACTCCGATTTCGAGACGCTATCCTGATCGAATGGCTGTCAGGAGGTAGGCCAGAGAGCCTCGAACGACGGTTGGCCTCTTGGTTCCCTTGCCCTGAGGGCTACTGTGGGGAACCCTGCCTCCACTTATCACTTGGGCACAAGGTTCAGGATTGAGAGCTTTGCAAACTGTTCGTTCCTGTTATTAGCCGCGAAACTAGATATGTATTACCGAGCCGATATGCGGTCTATATATACACTCCTCGCATCTCGTGGACAGCATGGAGATGGAGTTGATTTGATATTTCCCTGGCTTTCTCCCCACCCCTATTGTAGATTTTCTGCTTGTCTAGGGTTCATACCAGGGAGGCACCATCTTCCCTACCTTCGGCTCATCGGCTGGACCTGGCAATGGCCAGGGCGCCTCGGTTCAACCTTGGAACGTCTCGATTTCGCTTGATACCGACAAACCGTTATTCGTTGAGATGCTCGAGTTCCAGGTTTTCCACCACGGCTACGCTTCAGAGTTATGAGGATACACTACAGAATCTCAAAATTGGTGCTCACACAAAGGTTCTATTCCAAGGGTTCACTGGTACGCATACCTCCCGTTCACATGATATTTTTGGTATATGCGGGGGTAAACCAAGAAACTGAAATCTTTCCCAATAGGTAAACAGGTATAAGTTTTCCCAAGCTTCGGCGGCTCCACACGCAAGCATACTAGCCGGCTGAGACATGTGTATAGGCGACTGCCAATGTGAAAGAGTCACTAGCATGGGGAACAAATATTGTAGGCGGCGTCAAGCCCGGAGTTGAGGGAGAGCACCTAGGGTTGCCTATATTCCCGTCTGTCCGAGTGGTACGTACAGAGCAAGTGGAAAGCGGTCTCTAATTGAAAGAGTTCTGACCACCAGACGAGATAGGCGCAAGAGAAGGCGAAACCGGATGCAACGGCTGTTTATGTGCCCGGGAATCTAACGGCCAAAGCGATCGAAGAAGCCATAGAAGCTGAGATACCGCTTGTGGTCGCGGTTGCGGAACACGTACCCATCCATGATATTTTGAGGGTTAGCCGCACCCCCTCTCAAGTTATTCCAGATGAATACGGCATGTATTGATATCATGTGTAGATTCATTCTATTCTTCGAACACAGTCGAAAACTCGGCTTGTTGGGGCAAATTGTCCAGGTATCATCTCAGCCATTGGGAAATGTCGAATCGGCTTCCAACCTCTCCCTTGCTTTTCACCCGGGCATGTCGGCATTGTTGCCAAATCGGGAACCCTCAGCTATGAGACAGTCGCCTCAACAACACGGGCTGGTCTCGGACAGAGTCTCTGTATCGGGATGGGCGGCGATGTCCTTGCCGGCACAGATTTTGTGGATGCCCTAAAGGTCTTTGAGCATGACGACGATACACATGGCATAATCATCGTTGGAGAAATAGGTGGTGCGGCTGAACTGGACGCAGCCGAATGGATTAAAGACTATCATGCTCGGACCGCAAACCCCAAGTAGGTCTCTGTGGCCTGGTTCATGATTCACAAGCTAACACGTATCCGCAGACCGATCATGGCTCTAGTCGGAGGTATTGAAGCTCCCCAGGGTCGGATCATGGGTCATGCAGGTGCGTGGGCAGCACCGGGAGAGGCAGACGCGCAAACAAAAATCAAAGCCTTGCAGAATGCCGGCGCTGTCATTGTGGACCACCCGGAAAAGTTTGGAGAGGGAATGAAGATCCTGTTGAGCAGCACCCTTCACCGGCCAGTGTTTGAAGTAGGTTTCTCATGCCAACGCGTGTGTTTTGAAGGACATTTACTTACAAACGGACAGAACGCTGCACCAAAAATTGCTCAACAACAGCGAGGGTTTCACACCCTCCGGCGGCCTCAAATCCGGCGCCACACTTATAACTCCGCCCAACGGAGGAATCTCTACCTTCAACAATCCCATTCATTTGAACTCCTAAAGGAGCGAAACATCTCTGTCGGCGAACCAAACGGCGCCGACGCATTCTTCTTGGGTATATCAATTGACCGGACGGCGCATTCTGCAAGCGTGATTGCGTCACCTTCAGCAGAGCCAACACAACATTTGAGCAGTACGAAAAAGTTTCCATTTGGCTACGGCAAGAAGAAGTTTCCTGCCAATAGCCCTGAGATTCAGGCGATAGCTGCACATGTTGGGCTTGCAGGATCTGCGCAAAAATCGTTGGCGGGACTCACAGAGGCGTTGGTGGATATTTTCATGACCAAAGAAGCATTCTCGCTTGAGGCTAAGGTGGCGATTACCGGTGCTGGCACCCTCGAGGTGCAGGGGGCGCGATTTGGATTCGATGACGCGGCGTATCGAAGTGCACGGAGGCAAGAGGACATCCACAAGCTGAGGAACAAGCAATTGGAAGTGCCGGAAGAAGTCGAGGCTGAGAAAGACGGCATTGTTTATGTGAAGTATGCGTAGTCCCATTCACGCGAGGCGACCAAGCTAACATGTTTTGATGTCCAGGCTCGAGGGTGAAGGAAGCATTGGCACGCTCGGTGAGTTTCGAGAACATCGTCGATACTTGGTATCTGCAGTAGAGGACTAATGCCGGTTTACAGTCAACGGGGCCGGTCTCGCAATGAACACCGTCGATGCCCTCACTATCCGCGGTGGCCACTGCGCGAACTTCCTTGATACCGGCGGCAAAGCCACCTCTGAAACGGTCAAGTCCGCGTTCCGGATCTTGCTTTCGGACCCGCGCGTTAAAGCTATTTTTGTCAATATCTTTGGCGGCCTGACAAGATCTGAAATGATTGCCGAAGGGATCATCATGGCATTCCGGGACCTGGGGATGAAAGTGCCCGTGGTTGTGCGGCTACGCGGGACGAACGAAGAGCTTGGCCAGAAAATGGTATGTACTCCATTCGCGAAAAATTGGAACGCTCTGTATAGGAAGCAATACTGAGGATGCCAATTTCTAGATCGCCGAAAGCAAGCTCCCGTTGCATGCTTTTGACTCCTTTGAAGAAGCGTCGGCGAAGATCATCAGTCTCTCGCGCATGTAGTTGAGGATTTTATTGCAGCGACCTGTTGTAGATCATAAGTCTTTTTTTCCAGTCTCCATCAGTGTCTGGTGTAGTAGTGTATATAACCGCAGATACCTTGAAAAAAGCAGTATTATTTTCAGTCCACGTCCACCAAAAAAAAAGGAAAAAAAAAGAATATGCGAGGGACGTGGGACTCGAACCCACAATCTTAGCTTGAGCTAGTCCTACGACTGGGGAGCCAATCAAATAGGAGAGCTACGCATTACCCTTCTGCCAGCCCCTCAGTCAAGTCCGCAGCTGCAGCCGCTCGGCCACTAGCCAAAGGTTGCCCACTGACGCTTTTTAAGCTTGATGACCCTAGGCAACAACAGTGCGGCCACCAGCCCATCTACACAACGCCAGCCTCTGCATGAAGCCAGTATGTCTCTCTCTGACTCTTTTAGAATTGCATGTACACCGTATCATTATTGGAATAGGGTGATGTTATTCTATGGATTAGTTATCGCAACGTCCTCTCGACTTCCGTTGACACGCTGAACCTCGGCAACTCCCCGTCTCTGTCCAATCAAGTTCATATTCGCCGCGAAAAAAATCCGAATACGATTGAGTTGGGAACCCTCCTCAACCATCCAGGAATCGGCTGGTGGGAGAGAAAAAGGGCTGCTAGTTCTACCATTGGGAAGAGGCGGAAAGCGAGAAGAGTGAGTGCGAGAGTGGGTTCCCGAGCCCTCACCATGACGTTCATCCGGGCTCCGTCTGCGGCGTTGGGGAGGAGCGCGGCCTCCTTATATTTAACGCCAACGCTGGTTTTTCCCGCGCGCCAGCGTTGTTCAGTGCGATTCCCGTCCTTCCGCGTTGGCCTCAGCAGAACCAGGTATTACTCGTCCGGTAGGTTGGGAGTGGGTTAAGTAGCTTGTTTGAACCTCGTTTCTCGATGGGATAATTGAACCGATCTGACTTTAGTGCTGTATACATAGATCAGATCCTCAGCTCACCCCCCGATCCTCCGTCATTTAAGAAAAGATCAATTCTACGCCGCCTTCTTGGATTCTCCGCAATAGCAGCGTTCTCCTTCTTTGTCGGAACCGCCTCGAATTCGAAAGTCTTCAACATGCATTCTACAGTGAGCGAGATGGTCTTGAACGAGGGAACCGTCAGCTCGTATACAGCGGAGGACGAATTCGCCAAGGAAGTGGAGGACTACATCAATTCACACCCGCTTACAGAATCCATGCGCGGCAACCCGCTGTTCAAGGAATCAAGACCGCACCTGCAGATTCCTCCGGAGATCAGATCGCACACTCTCACGGGAGGAACACTGAGCGGCCCCAATAAGATCGTCGTCCCGCCGTATACTTGGAGCGAAGAAGGAGGAAAAAGCTTCGTGTCGATGTTCTACCTTGGCCCCGACGTCTCCGGGCACCCCGGCATCGTCCACGGTGGCTTGTTGGCGACCCTGCTGGACGAAGGCCTCGCCAGGTGCTGTTTTCCCGCCCTACCAAACCGAATCGGTGTCACCGCCAACTTGAACATCGACTACCGCCGTCCCGCGCCAGCAGGCTCATATTTCGTCCTGCGAGCAAAAACCACAAAAGTGGAAGGGAGGAAAGCCTGGGTTGAAGGCTGGATTGAGACGGTTCCTGAAGATGGAACTGAGCCGGTTGTCCTTGTGGAAGCCAAGGCATTGTTTGTCGAGCCGAAGAATGCAGCGGTATGCTTCCAAACCCTGGTTCGCTTTGCTTTCTGGCCCGGTCCGTACTAACCTAGTAACGCAGATGCTTCCCCGCTTATATCGTGCGACGTGATCACTTATTTTTGTTGAGACTTGTTTTATTGTTGAAGCGCATTTTGCATCGCAGGCGGATAACCCCTCTATGTTCTATGTTCTATGTTAAGGATAAGATACCGCAGGAAAGATAGACTTTTGTTATAACTACATTCGTACATGAAGAAAACGGCACACAGTGACACAGCCTGAAATATTACCAGAGTGGGGAAGGGTAGAAGGTGTCTACAGGTCTTGGTCCGGTTATGCAGACATTTCCTAGATACAACGAGCAAACAAGTATTGAATTGACCAGCTAATTCACGGGAAGTTAACACTGTTACTATCAAACCAACTCCGCGTTCGAACAGGAAAAAATCCGTAGCTCCCAACACCGTTGACGACCTCTTGAGTCAATCGCGAAGTCCTCCTGCGCTTGAAGACCTTCTGGTCTAAGTAGGGCAAACGGATACAGTGACTTCATTGGGCAGTAAACGGTTCACGACTTCATTTAGCCCAACGCATTCTATTCTCATTGATGGCATGGATCTGTCCATACGCCATACCCTGAGCCTGCTAACACCGTCCCAGTGTCCCGATTCGCGGCTCCTTTGTGAGGTAGAAAGACCAACGTCTTCAGTAGGCATAGAAATGGATACGTTACCAAGTCCCTTATATAGATCAAAGATTTCTCCGGTTCTCGGCCATAGTTCCTCAGTTGGGTATCAGATCTCGAGTTGACGGGCCCTGATCTTTTCCGTTAGATAACAGGTCGCTATTTAGAGGTTGTCAATCAGGTCAAGAACGCTAGTTGGTTGAATGCAGCCAATCAGCTGGACACGCCAAACGACCATCCCAACAGCTCCGAATCCAAGCAGCTCGCAGGCTGGTCTCAGTCTCGATATTCCGTCTCCAAAGATCAAGAAACGGTGGAGCATCTGCTTTACTGCCTGATGCCCCATGTCCGTGCCAGCCTGACGCCCTCACAAGATTCTCTCTTCCGTCTTCTATCTGGCCATGTCCAAGCAAACCAAGTACATCCTCCTCTCCCTTCCGAGCTCCATTACCCCCTCCCACCACCGCGAAGATGCCCTCGAGGCCATCACGAAAACGATCTCCTCAGATAACGGGACGGTAATTCCGTTTCCGATTCCGGATTTTAAAATCGGCACCCTAGACGCTTTGGTGCAGCAGGCGGACGAGTTGACAAAGGCGGAAGCTACCTGTCAGGCCGTCGCCGGCAAGGTTGGAGATGCGTTGCGGAGTGTGCTTGAGGGCGACGAGGAGCAGTTGGCGCGGGTGAAAACGGTTAATGATAGTACGAGAAATTATTGGATTTCTTTGATACGCAGATTGGACTAATGTTGATCTTGTGCAGAGCCTCTTGAACAGTACTTGCGGACATTCTCGTGGAACAAAGTCAAATATCGGGCTGATAAACCATTGTCGGAGTTGATTGACTTGTTACAAAAGGTCAGTGTCTCTGGCTTTAATCTGCCAGGGTGAGGTTGACGTCTGTCTCGTTGATGTAGGAAACGGCCAGCATCGACAACGACGTAAGGGCCAAATTCACGCAGTATAACCAAGTCAAGTCCAGTCTGGCGACACTACAGCGAAAGCAAACGTATGTACGCAAAAAAATAAGTCCTGGTGCACTTAACTGAGCGTCTGCAGGGGAAACTTGGCCACCAGATCTCTCACTGGAGTCGTAGATCCGCGCCAGCTTGTTCAGCATTCCGAGTATCTAGAAACGCACCTTGTGGCGGTTCCGTCGCGAGACACCAAGGACTTTCTTCGCTCCTACGAAACGTTATCTCCTATGATCGTGCCACGGTCAGCCACACGTATTGCTTCAGATGACGAGTTTACGTTATACGGGGTAACCACGTTCAAGAAACATAGCCACGAATTTATTCACAAATGCCGCGAACATAGGTGGACTCCAAGGGAGTACAAGTACGTCGAAGGCGGAGAGGAGGAAGAACGGAAAGAAGTCGAACAGGTTGGTGCCGATTCAAAGAGACTGTGGGGAGAAGCGGTGTTGCTGGGAAGAACAGGATGGAGTGAAGCGGTTATGGTTTGGATCCACGTCCTCGTCCTCAGAACATTTGTCGAGACAGTTTTGCGATATGGCTTACCCCTAGATTTTGTTTGCGCTTTGATAAAGGTGTGTTGGGCTTTTTCTGTTTCATGCGATTCAGCGCTAAATTTTTCATATTGCAGACGACGCCGAAACATGCTCGAAAAGCCAAGGCTCTGCTCGACGATGCATACTCCTATTTAGGTGGAAATGCTTTATTCCGGGACAAAAAGGGCCGTGTCCGAAAGGATGATGCGGATATGCAACATCTAGCTGGCGGGGAGGCTGGAGCCGAGTACACGGCTTATGTGTATTATGAATTTGAGATCGAGTAAATTACTTGAGGCAGGGACTCGAGCGTTTATATGCGTAATAATTTTGTTGACTCTCCTCTGCGAAACGATTTCGGTGTGGAATTTTCTGTACGCATCATCTTTGCAGTGCTAACGCCCCTAGGGATGGATATACCGTTATGGAAATCAGGGAACGCATTGGGAAGTTTCAATGAAATAAATCTCGTCAAGCTTTGGCCATGCATTCTATACATCCGTGTCTATCATGAAGAGACAAAAGAAAAGGAGGGAAAGGAAAAAAAAAGGAAAACGCTTAGTTCTTTGCCTCGGGCTTAGGAGGGAGGTAGCCCTCCTTGTCCAAATACGCAACAATCTGCTCCACAGCTTGTCTCACGGGGATATCAACGTTTCGTACATGGACCTCGGGCTTCAATGGCTCTTCATATGGGGCGCTGATGCCGGTGAAGTCCTTGATCACACCAGCTCTGGCCTTCTTGTACAATCCCTTGGGATCTCTCTGCTCGGCAACCTCGACGGGAACATCAATGAAGACTTCAACAAAAGGCAAACCCTCCTCTCCGCCCTCGGGTCCACCTTGCGTGGGAGCCTCGTGCAAAGCTCTCGCGGTGTCGCGGTCCTTTCGGTACGGCGAGATGAAGGAGGTGATGGCGATAGTGTTGCTGTCGGCAAACAGCTTGGCGACTTCTGCAATGCGTCGGATGTTCTCGTTGCGGTCTGCCTCGCTGAAGCCGAGATCCTTGTTGAGGCCGAAGCGGACGTTGTCTCCGTCGAGACGGTAGGCGGCGACGCCGCGCTCGGCGAGGAGGTAGTGCTCGAGGTCGACGGCAACGGTGGACTTGCCGGACGCAGAGAGACCGGTGAGCCAGATGGTGAGGCCACGCTGGCCACGGAGTTTGGTGCGCTCAGCGCGCGTGAAGGCGGCGTTGTGGAATGTGATGTTGCTGGTTGATGGCAGTGAGCGGGGTATCCGGGCAAAAGCGATGGGTTCGTATACTTACGTTGCCATTGTGAGTGAGTTTTTCCTGGAGATAGGGCCCGTTGAATGAAGTTGAAAGGAAGCTGATTTCGAGGGGTATCTCTCTGGTTTTTAATCTCGATAACACCGTGAGTCCCGCAAGATCGTCTCTTCTGGTGGAACGTCCTTGCGACAATTAGACAGGCCTGTCTGCAAGGGAGATGCTACTGAAGATGTTTGAGCAGGGATCCTATGGCATCGCGGTGACAGGGGGTTCTCGGTGATCGACCAAAAGAAATGCAACCGAAAATACGGGCCAGGTCAACGTTTGATGTTCAGAGAGAGGAAGAATGCGTGCTGTGAGAGAGTGCGGGCTCCATCCTGTCCACCGAGCCCGCCGTCGGTTTTTTCGATGCTGAGCAACACTGCTGGCCCCAAAATGACGTGATTTTGCAGCCAAAACGGGCCTCGGCATAGGTTTTTCCATTCCGAGTGCCGGCGCGGATCAACATAAATCCATCACGCCAAGAAACCCAAATCCAACGTCAATCCATGCAACCACGCATCAAACAAGACGTCGATCGAAGTTGCTTTTCTCTCTTTTCGGCCCGAAACATCGCTGCGATGTGATTACCAACACGCACAAGTCTAGAACTCTGGGGTTCTGCGGGATTGGCGGCTGGGCCCTGCATTCATCTTCCCTGTCAACCCCAGACGCAAATTGGAAACGAGAGGACATGACATACCAACGTGCATGCTTTGGCAAAACGAGTTTCATTGTCCCATGCGGTCGAGAAGGGTTACTGGTGTGTCGCAGCACCCGCGCTTGACTGTTTCGATAATGATCCTGGCCCCAGGCCCAAACTCCATTTCATCTAATCTTATTTCAACTGCAATTTGCTTGGGTTGCCTGGGGTGGGAGATATGGAGGTCGCATCCAGTTCGATCCGCTGTCAGCGTCCCTGTAGCCGCGGGTGCGAACCTTGGGAGCCCCTGGCGACGTTTTTTGCTTCAACGAGGATGCGGGCTGCCATGTGCTGTCGCGCCCACCGAGAAATGCTACTCCTCGTCTCGCCCGTGAATCGATGCCATGCCGAGCTCTACATCGGCCAGAATATCGGCAAGCTGGAGAATTGAACTGATACCAGCACCGCTCCGTGTCCCTGCTTGAGGATCGAGTGGTGGGTTCTAATTTTCATCCCAGTTCTTCTTACCATCAGCCTGGATGTCCTTACTTCTTCACAGTGGGGTACATATGGACGGTTGGCATAGTTCTGCTTGTTCTTTTTGTAAACACTGTCACTCCCCTGGTTGAGAGACCCAAGTTCCAAGGCCCTTGCGGCGAACATCCGTGAAACCCTGGACCGCCGTGAGATTACAGATCTGCGGAGTACATATGCAGGAGGGGCCCAAGTCATCATCTTCATTTGATCTCTCAGGAGTTACCCCGCCATTGTTTATTCCTGGGCGCTATGACCGATTCTTGAAAAGCAAAAATACTCGAGCAAATATGGGTTCATCTAAAATTTGAATTGTTGGGTGATCTTTCATAAATGGCGGATTTTACACTGGAAGAGTAAATTTGCACTTTTGGCGATAGTTATGGGAGGCCGTCACTGGCTATGATTCAACTGTACCGTGCTGTACCCTGCGAGAGATTATTATCCACCTCCGATATTCATATCTTATCTGCCCATGGCTCTAGATGGCTGAAGATAAATTCATTAACGGCTCTTCCAAAGGTATCATAATTTAGTCGCTGTCATTTTGTGTCATCGCAACAGAACAATGAAAATATGTTGAATCCAGGAATACACATGCCACGCTCTCAAAACTATCATCATGGCCAAACAGGATGTAAATTTTAGATTTTCCGTGAGGAAAAAGAGTACGTTATACACTTGGAAAACAGACAAGGTTGAAAAGTCAGTCTCGCAACTGAGTTCTTTCTAACCTTTGTAGAATTTGCTTTCGATCCATGGCATCGGGGTAACCGTCGCCTTTCTCAGTTTCTTTCTCACTAGCACCCCGACTTCGGTACCCTTTTTGTGGAGACCTTGGTTGATATATCCCATCGCAATATTCGCGCCGTTTAGGGTTGGGCTGGGTAAGCCAGATGTAATGACACCGACTTGGGTTTTGCCGTCAGCCAAGTCGACAATGGCCGCGCCTTCTCGAGCAGGAGCGCCGGCTTCGATCGTGAGGCCGATTCGTCGCTCCTTTAGCGTTTTAGCAGGAGATGCGAGCTGTGGGAGGATAACCGAAGAGCCATTGAAGGATGAGGATGGTGATGACGGGTCCCGACGGTCTTTGCCAACAACCCAGCCTAGCCCTGCCACAGGAGGAGTTTGCGCCGTGCTGATGTCATGTCCGTACAAGCACATTCCAGCCTCTAATCGGAGAGAGTCGCGGGCGGCGAGACCAGCAAGGCGAACTTCAGGGTTCGAAAGCAGTAACTCAGCAATGCGTCGTGGAAGTTGAGCGTCTTGCTCGGTGGGGATGGAGATTTCGAATCCATCTTCACCGGTATACCCAGTCCTAGAGATCAGGAGCCGAGCAGGGGTGTGAGAGCCATCAGGAAAACTCAAGTGCAACTGGCGGCATTGTCCGAAATGGAGGGTGCTGAGGTCACTTTCCACAGAAGCCTCCCCTTGGGTCACAAGAGCTTGTAAAACTGCTGCACTTGATGGGCCTTGTAAAGCCAAGAGCGCCCTGTTGTCCAGAATTGACCAGTGGATAACGGATGCGCGCGCGGATGGGTCATGTGTCTGCCTGAATGCTTCGATCTCTTTTGACAGGAATTCTAAATCCTCCTTCCGTCTACCCGCATTTGTCACAAAGTAGAATGATTCCGGCCCAAGACGAGTAATAACAGTATCGTCGACAATACCGCCGGTTCCCTCCTCAAGAAGGCAAGAAAGCGTCGAGTGGTTATCTTTCAACTTGTCGAGCGACGAAGGTGTAATTTTCATCAGAAAGTCTTGAGCTCCCGGGCCAATGAGGTGGTGCTGGACCCTATTGATCGATCAACCGTTAGTAAACTATCCATTGGCTACCAATCGGTGGGATCTGTGAGCTTGAGATTGAACTTACATGTGGCTCACATCAAACAAGCTCGCATGCGCCCTCGTCCAGTGATGGCTTTCAAGATGACTCTGATCGGCATACTGCAAAGGCATGGAATAGCCGGCAAAGGGCACCATTTTCGCACCATGTTCCACATGCAGATCATGGAACTGTGTTTTCTTCAATGCGGATGAAGCTGATGAAGAGGCAAGTCTCTTGTCAAGTCTGACTGGATAGCCGCCACTGGGACCAGACGGCCGAGCAAGAGGGAGAAATCGGGCCTGGACGTTACCGAATGCTCGTTGCTGGGAGCAATTGACGTGGAATTGAGTGACACATCGTGCTATGCCTGGAGCGTTTCGGGCCTGGGAAGGTAGGTTGAGGGCATTGGCCCTTTTCAAAATGGAATGCCTCATGGTAAGCTTCATGTGCAAGAGACGGGATCACTGCGACGGCAAAGAATGAGAATTCAAGGATGCAACGTCGTCGCTCAGAATCATGGCCTCAATTCCTCCGAACAACTCCTTTCCCCACACCCGGCTTATCTAAGCAGAGATAAGATCGTTTCCCGCGGAATTCATTTCTTATCTTATCAATCTCCGGTCCGATCAGATAAATGGAACAATCTGCTATCAATGTCTCCGATCCTTTTTTATTCCCATTAGCTATTATACCAATGCTAGTTAACCTAGATACATTTGTTGTTTTGCCGCACCATATCCCGGCGGAGAGGAATGAGTGCGATTGTCCGGGACAACTACACTGAAGTGTCTTTACAGCTAAAAGGGCTGCCAACCTTGCCGTTTTTATAATTGAGGACGACGCTATGGATGGATGCCTATGGAAGTATTAGCATCCTAAATGCTGGGATAAGTGCCGAGATATGGGGTACTCACATATGTTCCGGGTCCCAAAAAGTACAGTCCAATCCCAATGAGGATCCAACTGAAAATATACCCAATCCAGCCCCTCACCCCCCGAGCAGTATTCGGTCGTTTCTTCTCCTCTAGTTTCTGGAGCTGGATATAGGCTACTCCCCAGAAGATAAATCCGAAGAATGAGTCAAACAGAGAACTCATGATCGAAAGCAGATCAGAGAAGAACGGGATGATTTCCGCAATGATGAACGCGAAGATCCAGGTGACTCCCAGGATGCCGGCCCACGAGAGCCATCCAACCACGGTATGGTTGCCTTTATGACTGGTGCCTTCAAACAAGCGGAAAAAGATAAACCTTGCCGAGACAGACGCATACAGAACTCCTAAGAAAATCAGTGTGGGAACCATCAAAGAGAACGAAATAATCTTGTTATCCTGGCTCGTCAGACTCCCAAAGGCTGGTGATGTTGTAGATTGACCAGCATACACGTAAACAATCGAACCCACAAGGCTGAAGACAAGAACTTCCGCGATGGTAACTACTAATAGCGCCTTGTAGAAATCCCTGGGGTTTTTCATCTCCGCAATGAAGCTCGGTAGAGTGATCTGCCCGATAAAAGTGTAGCTGATGTTTAGAAACGCACCCATTCCGGCAACAAAGGTCGTTCCTTTTGGGAATAGTAAAAAAACAGGCCCGTCCCCTAGCCCTGTACTAGAAGTGCTGGAATCCCCAGAAGCCTCTGGAGGTGGTTGCTTGACCACGAAAATCGTGAGCAGAAGTACCGACAAGAAGGTGAATAAAGCGGAGAAACCCCCAATTTTCGAGAGCGAATTAAATGTCCTCGGAAGGGAGCAGATAAAAGAGACTATCGCCGTCACAGCAGCAAAGACGACCGTACAGGCTCCGTGGTTTGTTACTGTATTCAGATACTGAGCGCCAACTAGACAATGTAGTCCCTAGAAATGTGCAATCAGGATCAAGCTGGCCAAGAGGGTTTCATATCGAAAGGTTGTACCTGAATAAAGGTATTGTTCAAAAGGAACATCACTGCTGTAAGATACCATGCAATATTTGAATTCCAAAATAGGGCTCGGCCAATGTCACAAACGTCTCGAATATCTGGGTGATGAAGGCAGTATTGCCTATAAACAGCATTAACATCCGGGGCTCGTGCGCTGATTTTGGATATCAGATCTTACCAGATGATGAACGATGTGTATAGCACAAGGGCAGCGATTATAACCGTCAAAATCAGACCCGGTACTAGCCCTAACACGGAATACGAATAGGGAAACGACACGATCGCCAAGCAGATATACTCGGAGAAGAGCAAGACAGCTGTCTGCATATGAGAGCACGGTTCAGCGATCAAAAGGACCTTCAGGAAGCGTAGATCAACGGACCTTTAGCCAGCTGCATGTCCGGTACCTGATAGCATTTCCCGCTTCCAGTTCCACCTGATAAGTCACAGTCACCTTGCACTCAGTCTCCGGTTCGACACCACGCGCTCTGAATATACTCCAGCGTGGTGGGGCTTCTTCGGCATCTTTGAAGCTGATAGCTTCGGACTCAGTCTTCCGGAAGTCTCGCTCGTGCTGCGTGGAAGGACTATCACTCTGACTTAGAGCCTCCATTTTATGAACCTGATTAGACCCTTCCTAAGGAGGGTAAAATGGATTGTGATAGCGTTTCGGTTGGCGGCTGGTGACATATAATATTTTGTATCAGATATCCGGCGATATCGACTGAGACAAAAATATGCGAAAAAGAGAACAAGCGCTATAAATATAAATATCCAGTGAACAGATAGGCGGGACTTGTCTACTCTCGCGTAGAGACCAAGGAGCGCCTGTGTTCCTGGAAAGTCCGGGGGCGATGGCCCAGATATAAAGGAGGAAACAGAGATCAAGCAGATGGCAGGAACCTGTGCAGTGCCAGTCTGCCATCATGGATTGGGCGCAAGGAAGTCAAAAGAAGGCCTGGAATGGCGTGACGACATGTTCACCAGGCCTAGTCCGCCGGTGTGTCGAAGGGATCAAGTTGATATCCGTTGCCAAAGTCAATCCCGGCACGTTGGTTTCGTTCGGCCGGCGATGCGGAACGGTGAAGAAGCCTCAACTGTAAGGTACACGCTGATACATAGAATTTTCTATGCTCTCAGGTCGTACCCTCCATGCTCTTCGCCCGATCTCAAAGTCATGACGTTAATATAGTTAAGTTTTGCGCACAATCCTTGCAACTCACGGAAGCAGATACAGCGACAATGAGCCATCATTGGGCGGCTCAGACTTTGGAAAAAAGATAGTTAAATCTTTTCCAGTTGTTCGCCCGTTCTGAGATGTGCAACTTGGGATGGGCAAGCAGGGCGCTGGGATGCAGAGGACGGATCCTCGCCCGCCAACGAGCAGTACAGAAACCTCGAATCTCGTGAACCGTGGTTATCATACCCATGCTGCAGGAAACGCTTGTTTCGTTTAAGCTCTCCTAGGCCTTCCGGGGAATGTCTGTGTGAATTCGTGTCTTGTCTCCAATCAGGATATATTTTTCTTCTAGGAGATACAGACATGACTCGCGGAAAATTACTGATGTGCTTAAGAGATGATAAAGGGCCTCAAGTCTGGCTGCAACCAAAACCACTCGCTTTCATACACCCCAAGGCTGCAGTTCTCACACCCACTGCAGCCTGGGTGAAGCATCACAAAAGCAAACGAGAACCTCGGTTGGCTGAAGGTCAAAAAAAGAGTGACGTCCTGGGAATTTCCCAAGTATGTATGCGTACATACATGCATTCGCAATCTAGTTCAGTTAAGCCCATACTCCTTTCGAATTCTATCAAGCCACTCCGAAATCAAAATCAGTTCCTCTCCAACCCGAACGTGCCGCTCAGGAACCGCCGCCGCGGCGTCATAGTCCCAGGGAGGAACATGCAAAAAGTTGTGTGTCTTATTGCACACTTTTCCCTCAAAAGCGCCAGCTTTTAGAGTCTCATAGCATTTTTCGTCAAATAATACGTTGAGACAATCCTTGCAGGTGTAGATATTATCTGCGGTGTTCCAAACACGGCCGCAACCACCATCGCACAGAATATACATATTCCCACCGTCTGCGCCGGGGTCACTGGGGACAGGGGAACTGGCCATAGCGGCGGCATCAGAGGATGTCTCGTCCTCTTCTTTACCCTTTTCCTCCTCCGCCTTTCCTTCATCCGTTTGCGATAGGGCTTCGCCTTCGTCTCCGTTCTCGCTTGTAATCCTATCTTCGTTGGCTAGCCCAATGTCGACTTGCTGTTTGTCTTCATCATTGCCACTCTGGTTGTCCTTATCTATTGGTTTCGGTCCCAGTAATGACCAAGCGGCCAGCGCATTGATATCATCATCAACGTGACTCAAACAGAATGAAAGTCTCAGATATCCTTGCCAATCATTCTCCTCGTCGTCGTCGCTCAACAAATCAAGTGCTATTCTAACATGGCTTCTCAGGTTCTCTACGGCCTTCGGTTTGTTTCCCATGAGATGATCCAACCTGGCCAGCATGAGCTTCGCGTTAAAGTCAAAGCCATTGGGTTCTCCCGTCTCATCGCCTCGACAGAGGCGATCCAGTTTGTTTCGATATTCCCCTGCTGTAGGGCTGTCAAAACCCGCTTCTCTCGCTTCTTGAAGAAGGACGGAGGCTAGCTTTATAGTAGTTGCCCGACGCAGGTTTGATGTCGTCGAGTCGGAGATGCGAGGGGTCAACATATTATTCTGTTCCCACATAGTTATAGCTTCTTCGCGCGCATCGCGGCCGGGGAAATCATAATATAGTGACATTGAAAACCAGTAGCGGAGTGCCGCTAGAGTCGCAAGCCTCGCCTCACTGGATTTGGCGGCTTCGACCGCAGAACGATATGTTTTTCTGACGGCCTCAAGTTGCCCAGCTCCCTGTCCAGCTTTTCACAATAGTATTATGGTAAAAGTATGAATTGGCGTATTGGTGGATCATGGCAACGAGTCGCGTCAAACCTTCGTTGTCCACTTCTTTATCCAGAGCTTGAAGATATTCAAACATTTCAGCACACTTTCCTTGTTTTTCGAGTATTTGAAGGATCCTGAAAATCGGCTCGTAACTATCACGATTATGGGTGTGAATTTCGCGGTAAGCCTCGACGGCCGCATTGTATTCCTGCAGTTGCACATTCCATTCACCAAGGAAATTCAGTATCTCATCGTAAAAGACGGTTCGTGACTCGTCCATAAGTTTGTCATCCTTTCTGAAAACCTCAATGATGTCCCCAAGAACATCAAGTGCTAGCTTGTACTCTTGTTGAAGGGCATAAGTCTGAGCTAGACAGAATGGGGCGCGCCAGTTTGATGGATCGAGGTCCTTGGATACCATGCTCCTCTCAATAGCTTGCTCGTACAAAGAAAAATGGCGGAACGTATTCGCCATCTGGGCTGCCCACACTGAATCTTGTTCAGCTACATCCAGCTCCTTCATTGCCCACTTTTCAACCTCCAGAATCTGCTCTAAAGTTGGGTCGACGTCGTGAACAATTCTCGCTGCCTCGCCTTTTCGCTCTTGGATCTGGAGATAAGATTAGATTTGCTACTATTCGCTGCGTGAAGTTTTCAGAGTTACACACTTTTGTGATATACCCTAGTAGCCACCAATAAACATCCTTTGGAAGACAATAATCAGGGGATTGAAGCCATCTCTTAGCCATGATTTTTGCCAGGGGCAGGAGTAGATCATCATCGGGGCGCGATTTCGAAGTAAGCCCGTTCACCCATTCTTTTTGCTCTTCAGTGAGTCCTTTGACGACAGCAGAATCTTTAAACCAGTTCAGGACGATGGAAGAATAGTTATCCTCATAAACCCACCAGGTTCGCATCCACATCCGTTCCTCCGTCCACCAGCGGTCAGCACACTCTTCGTCTAAGAACAATTTAATGAGCTGAGACCCTATAGCGATTTTAGGCTTTGGTGGAGTAAGGGCCAAGTCGACATCGTTTAAGTGATCTGGGAGCCAATAGAAAGCATACTCTAGAAGTTCTGTCACGTCGCTCTCCGGTTTATCACAAATGGCTTTGAGGCAAGTGAGGAGAATGTGTGTATGCATGTTTTCCAGATCAACATGAATTGGAGTATTTTTGTGGCTCAGTTTCCGCTGGAAGAACTCTTCGAATCCAAATTTCTTAAACAGTTCATCGTCGCAGACGTTCAGCAAGAATCTTCTAACAATAGCAACTTCGGACTCGTGAAGCGCAGAATGTGTCGCTTCCTCCTCGGCTGCCTCTTGCGACTTCGAACGGAAATACTCAACGATGGAGGAATAGGAGCTGAGTGTGACGGTCCCATCTTCCAATACTTCAACGAGAGCGGAATACTTTTCCCGTATCTGCTCTTCCAAAGGTATGAGCGAGATTTCACCATTGTTAACATACATGGCGCATGCAAGCGTCTTAAGTGGAGGCCATTCCTTTGCGTAAATAACCCAGGTTAAAAGCTCATTTAAGTCTTGAATGTCTTCGTCTCCTAAGGTCTTCCTGAGCCGTTCTATCTCGCGACCAATTGTGGCTTGACGATCTTCCGCAGCATGCTCCAAGACTTCTTCAATTTCCCTTCTTCTCCTTTTCTTGCTAATTTCAGTAAGCATGTAGTTGAGCTTGAAGAAATCTCCTTGAGCACCGCCAATAAGCTCGGAGCGAATGCGAATCTTGAGTTCTTGCAGATCCGATTGCTCTAAGTTTTTGAAAATTTCCATATTGTCTAATCTCTTTTCCACAAATTTCAGAATATCTCCCTCATTTCGTTCCCCAAGTGGAATTGTTGACATTGCGATGTTCGGGGTTTTATTGATCTCCAGAAACGACCTTGGTCTCCCGGTTACAAGCAATCGTAAAGATACTGGGCGTTTTTCAGTTGCGAATAAGGAAGTGTCGCGTAGTATCTGTAGAAGGGGGTGGCCTGACTCTGTTTCGGCTTCGTCGATACCGTCAAGCACAACAAATATATTTGCTTCAGTCTTAGTGGAGAACTGGACAACAAGCTGCTTCCAGAGTTCTAGGGTATTGCCAAATTCCTCTGACTGATCACAAGCCCCCGCGACGAACTTTTGATAAACCGGATCGCGTTGCGTCAACTGCCAAACGATGGCTCGGAGGGCCTTATTCACAGAATTTTCGTCTTTGTTGTCTTTCTGAAAATAATAATACGCAACTGTAACCCGCTGCTCAGTATCTCCAGGAGGGTAAAGCTCGTAAAGACGCCTTATCGTAGTTGCACATAGATAACTTTTCCCGAAGCCTTCTCGGGCTTCAAATGCCAGAATAGGAGCCGTGTACCCATTCTTATCTGCCCATGTAGCAAACTGAGGGTCTGTAAGGAGCCATTCCCCCGAACCGGAAACCATTGTCCTCAGAAATTCTTCTTGGTCTGTCCTCCACGTTTCCTTTTCTATTTTGAGCGCATGTTTGATTTTTTCTCGATTTCGTTTGGACAGCCCATCTGCTTCCTTTGATTTGGCCGCGTTTTCCAGGATTTTTGAAACACCAGCCAGTTGACTAGTGATGCCATCAGCTTTTGAATTAATCATCCTTAACGAGCTTTTAGTTTCAGTAAATCCCGTGACTATATTTGACTCGTTGATTTTGACTGATTCTAAGATCAGGGCAACACCCATCCCAGTCTCGCGCTGAATCAAAGTTTCTAGCTTTTCAAGCTCTTCGGAAACTCCTTTATCGGTCCTGAAACTGAAAACTTCCAGCGCTAGTAGCAGTTTGGATTGCTTAGATATTTTGATTGAGAGGGAACAGATTCGCATGAAACTGCGGAGCAGCTCGTGAATGATTTTCCGGAGATGGAGGTCAATCTGTACACCAATAGTTTTTGATCTCGCGTATACTTCAAATCGATCAAGAAAAGCGGATATACGCTCGAATAACTCAGACACGCCATCGAATATTTTGGAATAATTTTGTGCGGAAGTAATAAGATAAGACACGGCGTTAAAGCAAAGGGTCGAGGGGCCAAATGCCTGCGATCAATGTACTCAAGTGTAAGCAGACCGGACATATGTGAAGCTGATAAAGGGCCCCCTACTTTCGAAGCTGCGTCCGCAACAATGGCACCAAGATTTTGGATGCATAGAAGGGTTTTGTTGATAGCATCCTTTGCACGCCGATATTTAGCACTGGCTTTTTCATCTGCTTCTTTCTTCTGAGCGATTTTTGCGATCACTTCATCCACCCTCAAAACACCCAAAGCATTTGGATCCTTTCCGCATATCTTTTGAAATTCAACCTGCGCCTCTTTCCACATTTGATCGAGGTCTTCCTCGTCGATTTTCTCTGGGGAACTCATGATAGGAAGCTTATTCGAGCCGGAGCTTGAACGGATTCCTGCGTTGTCGACTTGAAATTAGCTGCATGTATGCACTGTGCATAAATGCATACTTTCGACAGATCGAAAGGTCTGGTTGTCAACAGGTGAAGTTCCCCCTTCTTTTTAACATCAGGCGGTGCGGGCAAGTTCGAGGGCTGAAAATTCAGCCTTTCAATAGGCCCGAAGCTATTAATGGCCTGCATGATGCCGAGCAAGGCTTGCTCCAACGAATGGCCTTGGGATTCCTAAAAATAGTGATAAACTCCTCCGTCGCGAGCTCAGAGGCAGACCTGCTCTGGCTGAAAAAAGTGCTTTCATGAAGAAAAGCAACTTAATTCCGCACAAAAGTTCTTTGCACCACTCTTTATCTTTCCGGTAGCCATCGGTAATAAATGCATAGCTCAATCTCATCACATCCTGGGGAGGAAGCATTCGAACGGCTCATCATTGAGGGTACCCCGTACGGAGTACTCCGTGACTAGATAACTACCCCTGAACGATTGCGGGGCATAAGATTTGTTCACGGAATCACAGGTCGAGGCGAGAAAAGCGGCCCAGCCACCGCATTCTTGCAAGGGATTGAATGGCGCTTCAAGTGAAGGACTGACCAGGGACAGATGATGAGTTGCGACGACGTCTGTAGTTTGACTCCTATGCGATAAAACAAACATCTTCAATACAGTAGTTACTCCTGAACCAGCTTCTGCTCTGGGTTGAGCTCCCAAATCCTTCTTACCGTACGTAAGGACACCGTATTGGCTAACGGGGAATTATATTAGTCCGAGCGCGGTAATTCTCGGAATATCCGCGGGCCGGCTGAGCTGGTATGATGTCATTTGGCTTCCTCGCTGGAGATATCATTCAACGGACGAGGGCATTAGGTATATTCTGCCATTCTGTGCAAACACAGTCATTTTTGTTGTTAATTGACCATGGCTACCCATAGGCAGCAATATTTTGAAAACAATCTACCTCTGGTCAAAATTGAGAAGAGTTCTCTTACCGATGTTCTGTCAGCTCTTCGTGAGAGTGTGAGAGAAGGAGTCGAAATCATCTCAGTAAGAAGCAAAGTGCCAGACGCTGATGATAACCATGCGTTTGGAACTATTTATAATGGCCATCTTGGTATGCCCGCTCGTCTTGAATAGCCAAAACAAAAAGTGGACAGGACCGGGTTAAGCGATTTGGCGCAGGCACGGTGCTCATGGCCTTTCGTCTCCAGCGTCAAGCCAAGTATCTCCAAACCCAAACCATGCCCGTCGAGCGTTGGACATCGAAGGCACAGAAGCTTGCAAATTCGAGATTGAGTCCGCATATAGGGGAAGTCAGCTTCCATACCGGTAGGTTGTCGCCACTTGGATCAGCGTCCTTTGGCGCGCCAGTCACGCGTATCTTAGCTGCTGGCCAGGCACTCCCATCGCCTTCTGGAGACGGGTACCATTACATCCACAAACGTGATATCGCGGCTATCCAGGATGCAATGCATGCGGCCCTGCATCCGGGTGATGCCACAGGGGGCGATGAACTGCTCTACGGGCGTGCGGGATTGTTACACACACTGTTAAACTTACGAGAGCTACAACTAGACGATGAGACTATGCAGGTATTACGGGCATCAGTCTTCAAAAAGATCCCGCTTCTAGTTGACTCCATGATTTCCTCTGGTAAGCTTGCAGCGAGAGAGTATCTTGAGCTGTATGGAGAGCAAGAGTATATGCCGTTGATGTGGCCGTGGCACGACAAATATTATATTGGCGCGTAAGTGCTACATTCAATTGCGGCCCAAGTCCATCACTGACTGAAGTCTTGATGACAGTATTCACGGTACATGTGAGTATAAAGATGCGTCCGCATGTTGATTCTGCTGATAAATTCAGGTGGAATACTCAACGTCTTACTTGCTTGTGAACCAGAAGAACTCGGCCAAGGGCACTCCCGCAGCCATGTTCCAATCATTGCTCATACCATCAACGCGCTTTGTAATCTCTGTGTTCTAAACTATGGCCATCTGCCCTCCTCTGTGCCCCATCACTCCTCCTCTCGTTTATTACCCCTCGTCCAGGTCTGTCACGGGGCACCGGGCCTCTTGATACTCCTCTCGAACGCCCGAAAGAATGCCAGCTTCGCAGCATCATACTGGCGCCCTGAATGGGATGAAGCCATCAAGCTCGCGACCGAAAAGGTTTGGGAACAAGGCCTACTCTACAAAGGTGGATCCCTCTGCCATGGCATCGCTGGAAACGCCTGGACACTTCTCATGCTGCATGACACCTTTGAATACGGCGCACAAGGAAGCGAGGAAGCCCGCGCTGCACTTAAGCAAGTGACCTCTAGCATCCCGCCTGAGAAAACATTATCTGGTGACTATTTTCTCTCCCGGGCGTTGGCATTGTTACTTGAAGCGCAAAAAACGCGGCCTTTAAACGAAGCTCGCGATGGACGGTATCGCATGCCGGATACACCGTATAGCTTGTTTGAGGGCCTAGCCGGGACCATTTGCGCGTGGGCTGAAGCATGTGTGGCAGTTACTGCTAGGTTGAGGAAGATGGAGATTGGTAGAGAGGACGATAATCTAGTCAGCAATAACGGCGAGCTCCGCAGTTGTTTACAGGATGAGCTGGGGATGCCAGGGATGGGCGCTCGGGGCTTTTTGTAAGCGGCCTTTTGGATCTGACCTCGGTGTGAACACAATAGCTCTAAATGGCGAGACTGCATGCTGAAAGGTGACTGAGTGTTAATTATGGTGGAGATGTGATAGTTTAGGCTTCCAAAAAATCGCTGTAGCTATGTGACGCCAAACCATTATTTTTCTTCAAGGCTCTGCAATATGAATTCTTATGTACTTCAAATACCTCCATCAGACTCCTGGCCCAACAGAGCGGCGTAGTCATCGACAGATGCAAAAGTAGGTAGATGTTTGAGCTTGCGCCTCTTCTCTTTCCGCGAAGGTCGTTTCTCGACAGTCTTTTCGCCTTCCTCTGCATCAATATCCATGTCGAAGTCAGACGGAATATCTTCGTCACTGTCAACAAAAGCCTCGGCATCAGATACATCCATATCGAACCCTGCTTCTTCATCGAAGCTTTCAAATTCGTCTTTGCCGATCTTGCCGGCGGCATCTTCTTCCTCTTGTTCTCCAAAGTCTTCATCGTTATCGTTAAAGATCACTTCATCATCAGCCAAGTCACTTCCTATGTCTTCGTCCTCGTTGCCCATTGTAGAGTCTAGATCTTCCAAATCAAAATCATCATCGCTTTCTGCTTCGCCTTCAAGTCCTGGCTGTGAATCAACCAGAGCTTTCCAGATCTCTGACTCCGCATCGCTATCACCCAAATCATGCTCATCCTTCGCAGGCATTTTCGGCTTCTTTTTAGTTTTGTCCTTGCCCACGCGATTGAAGTATGCGTGGAAAAAGACATCTTCCGCCGCAATGTCCTCGGTCTTTTTGGTCCAGAAGGTTTCGTTGTTGACGGACTCGTGGGCTTTGGTAGTATGGCCAGATGTAATCAAGAGGCCGCTAACATCGCCACCAGCGAGTGGTTGCATAATTGAAGATCCGCGCAAGCCCGCCGAAGCTTTTGGGGTGCGATACACAAATCGATCCAAGAAGTGAGAGAGCGTGTGGATGGTGAGATCCGGTTTTCCAGACATCTTTTGCTGCTGCAGGAGCTGTGTTGCACCAACCGAGACTGAAGGGTGAAAATGCGACAGATATGGGAGCTAAACCACAAGGTTAGCCAGTACTTTAGCAACGTTTCGCCAAACAATATTGTTCCTTACCAGTTCCCAAAGACAACTTCTATCCGCATTGCTTTGTTCGGGATCCCTTTTTCGGGAATCGTAGCCAGGCACTTCCTTGACGGCGTCAGTGGTAGGGGAGATGGTTTCTGTCGCTTCTTCGCCTTCCTCCGGGACATCTCTGAAAACTTCTTCTTCCTCATCCTCGTGATATTCAGGTTGAGTTATCAGCGTGGTTAAGCCAGGGAAAGTCGTGCGTAGCTCGTCTATCAAATAGAAAACACCGCAGATGAAGGGAGGTTGATGTAGACTGAGGATTTGAACCAGGCGTTTAACAAACGCTTTGACCCGCTTTGTATTCAAATCCGCCTTTAACGCTTTGTAGAGCAGGTTCAAATACAACGCCTGTTTAGAAGAGGTTGTGATACGTGGGTCTAACAATGATTCGTATAAAGTTCGGTAAAATCTATCTGCGGAAACCTTGTGAGAGGATGATAACTGGTGGATAAGCATTAGGGCCTGAATGCTGGTGTTAAAGTTCGAAGAATGGGTGATGCGGAAAAGTGTGTTGATATGGTTTGAGAGTCTGAGCGGATAGGGTATTAGCAACGAAAACACAGAGTTAAAGGGTAGAGGGTGCCATACCGCTCAGTGCTCGAGGTAATAAAAGGATAGGCTCGATTGACTCCGGTCAGAACAGCTGAGATAAGTTTTTCACTCAATTCATCCTCTTGACTATTGCCCTTGGAGAGAGCTCGATGTTTCTTTCCCTTGATTTTGGTAGGTTTAACAGACTTTCCGGCTTCTTTATCATGGGACACCTTTCCAGGTTTTAAAATAGAAACAAATAAACTGAAATATATATCCAGGAGCTTCTCGGCAGCTTTTTCTTCGCCGGTGCTGAGGACTGTCTGGTTCAGTGTAATGATAGCATAATACTTGGCATGTTGACTTTGACCTGGCCGGAAAAGCAATTCCGACTCGATTGCCGAAATGATTGTTCCTTTCATTAAAGGGTGCGCTTGTTGAAGTTGAAGAAGTAAATACGAAGCCCGAGAAGCGATCTTTTTGCTTGGGTCCCCAAGCTTGTTCACAAGCAAACGCAAGAGATTCGACTCTTGCTCTGGTTTCTCCTTGAGTAATTCGTAGACATAGCTGACTGCTCTTGATCTTGAAAATTCAATCTCGTCGTTGCACCATACCTCCAGAATTTTCAAAACCTCGAAATATTGCTCTTTGAGGAAATCCTCAAACGCCCAGTAGACGAGATGACTCCGTTCTAAACCTCGGGGTAAAGGGTCCCCGGGGTTCCAATTGCTGAAACCCAACAATGCTGCACCCAACGCTGGCTGATTGCCAAAGAATTTCAGCCTTCGATCACTGGGAAGAACTGTTCCTTGGGCAAACAAATCTTTTAATGACCGTAGAACCTCGACGGCCTGCGCACGACTTCTTTTTTTCGCCAATGCCACCAATTGCTCAAGCGCTTTAGTATTATGTAAAGGAGATTCCTGAACCTCCAAAATTAAGGCCGATATTTTGTCGCTGAGAGTACCAGATGATACGATGGTAGAGTAGAACTTGTAAGTTGAGGACGACGAAGCTGCGCGGGATGCCGTATAAGATTTGTTCTCTGTTTCCAACAGAGACGATGCGTAGTCACGAACGCGATCTAGTAAAGGGCGTGGAATATTGAATCGCTTTTCCACATCGATGGTTAATTCTGGGAGAGGGCTCAAGTGCCAGTCTGGGCGTGGATCAAAAATCTACATAGGATCGGTTAGTAATGAAAAAAACCGAAAAGAAATTGATGCGCCGCTCATTACCAAATTAGAAAAGGCCGTCTTTTTATGATGAGACATTGTTTGGTCCAGTTCCTTCTTTTGATTTTTCTCTTCCTTTTTATTTTGCACGGTTTCTTGCTTCCCTTGCTTGTCCTGCTTCTTCGGCTGTTTATCGGGTGCATTCGACGGCTGTTTAACCCTATCAGCCCTTGATACCAGAGGCTTTGAGGCTCTAGGAGACGGGTCCGGTAGTATATCTCCTCCCTTGATTAACTTTGTAATATTTTGGCGAAGAGCTTCGGCATCGATTCCCTTTGCATTGGAGTCCATCATTCCATCCTCCATTTCTGACCCCGACTCGATACCGGCAAGCAATTCGTAGTCCTCTTTCGTGCCACCCACGGCATATATTTCCTGTTCCAAAGCATCATTGGCCTCTGCGCGTTTGGGCTCAGTTAATCGGGGTGTCTGGGAAGCAATTATCTGCCCGCTGCGATCCCGCTTCTTGCCCTTTTTGCTATTTGCGGGAGGCTCAGTTTTCGAGCCTGAGTCGTTGCTTTTCGTGCGGTTGACCTTGGCCGAAGTAGTCCCAGAGCCTTTTTTCGAACCGGATTTAACGCCCTGGTTTTCTTGCAATTTTTGTGAGATTCTTTTTGTGAGATCCGCAAGCGATGCACCGGAGAAATCTGGTAAGGAGTCCGCAAAATCAGAATGCTCAATTGAATTGTTCGTCCCAGTCTTTGCCGTATCTCCAGACCCGGAAGGCCCTTTCCTCTTAGCCTTCGCCATTGCAGTTCCCGGTATCCAAAGTGCAAATGCAATGCTCGCTGTTCGCTTTGCCAGCCAAAAAACTTCAACCCATCTGATATTTCGGACTTGCCGGAGTAAGGTTGTTCCTTGTTCACGTGACAGCTGGCTATTTTTCCGGTGAAGAAGAAGCGGAAGAAGGCAGTGTAGAGAAGAATGTAGCATCTTATATTGTTGGGTTGTGTCTATCTTCTTTTGTGCTGTGAGGCGTTCTGGATTGTGTTATGCTGCTTTATTTGCGGCCCAGACTTGGCCATATTTGCATATGGAATCCGTACGTGGCCCAGTCGTCTGGTTCCATACAGACTCGTCAATTCCATGTATGGCATCTCCAATTTCCATTCAATATAGCTGTGTCTAAATAGGTCTAGGGAATCAAGCAGGATACACGAAATAGGTTATCCACTTTTTGGGTTCCAACCGGCGGCGTTGCCGAAAAGTCGAAAAAGAAAGGTCAGTAGAATGATTCTATTTACCACAGTTACTCGACTAACCGTAAATTATAGATGGAAATGAGCTCCTGGTCAGAGCTGGGTTTATTCGGCAGGTTAGATCCCGGACGGGCAATGTTTTGTATGCTATTGTCCATGTTCTCACACCGCATCCAGGCGTACTCAGGGATATTTCACCTTCTCCCTCTGGGTCTCCGAGTCCAGCAAAAGCTGGAAAACTTGATAGACAAGCACATGCAATCTATAGGTATATTGAGCTTTCGCTAAGTTTGAACTAAGCTTCAATTAATTCGTGACATAAAGGGGCGTCTAAGCTGTCACTATCATCTCTCTCCTCTCAGGAGCTATGGAAACGGTCTGGGAGACTAAATGATGACTCTGAGGTATTTATTTCGCAGGACTTCATCCGGATAATTTCGAAGCCCTGATCCTTTTGCCTAGATATTCCGGTTTAATGATCGAAAGGGTGCCAGCTTTCTTCTTGCGCCTACTCATGAAGAAGAAATCACTGCCTTAGTGGGCAGCCTAGTCAAGTCATATAGAGATCTCCCACTGCGGGTATATCAAATTAGTAAGCCTCCTTGTTCGATACTATTGAATGCGGCCCTAAGTCACTTCAAATATTAGCCAGAAAGTATCGGGATGAGCCTCGACCTCGTCAGGGGCTGCTACGTGGCAGAGAATTTCTGATGAAAGATCTGTATACGTTTGACTATAGCGCGGAGAAGGGCCTAGATACCTACAATACGGTGAAAGAAGTATACACGCGAATCTTTGATGATTTGAGACTTCCGTACCTTGTCGCCGCTGCCGACTCGGGTAACATGGGGGGGGATCTAAGTCATGAATTCCATTTTGAAAACCCAAATGGCGAGGATACTGTGATTACTTGCACCAACTGCAGCCATGCGTTTAACGAAGAAATAGCCGATGGGCGCGGGCCCAAAGTCGAGAACAGACAAGAGCCCGAACACTCAGAGCCATTTGGTCCATCACCACCTCCAGCAATTTCTACGGGTGAATGGGTAACGATTTCAAGAGATAAAAGCATGCTCGTCCGTGCATACTACCCGAAATACTTGTTCGACGAGGGAATATCCGAACCAGTCGAGAGACAGATCAATTCGCACGCGCTTCAATCAGTTGCACGCGCTTATGGAGCTGAGCTTGACCTTGGGGTCAAAAATCCACTAGAAGCATGGAAAATCCAGGCTAATTGTCCAGAACCCGGAGACCGGAACTTGCGCGTGTTGGATGTATATGACTTTCGTGTGCGACCGTTTGACAAACCCCCTCTAAATGAACTACTGGATAGTGAGACCGCCGAAAGGGCGAAAGTTCAGTTTCGTTCACTTCACTGTTATCCAGGAACCACCGACTCTCTCGACCTGCTTCGCGTTGCATCTGGTGATAAGTGCTCTCGGTGCGGAGAGGGTGTATTGCACCCTCACACCACGATTGAACTAGGCCATACGTTTCACCTGGGCACGAGGTACAGCAGTGCTCTACAGGCAAATGTAGCTGTGGATCCCACTAAACTAATAGGGGGTAAAGGGCCGGAGGGGGCTAGCAGTGTTCTTGTTCCGCTAGAAATGGGTTGCCATGGCATTGGTGTCTCACGTATGATTTCAGCAGTGGCTACTATGCTTGCCGACCACAAAGGCCTCAAATGGCCGCAAGTTATCGCCCCTTTTTCCGCGGTAATTTGTTTTGGGAAAGGGTTTGAGCAAGACGCCGAACAGGTGTATGATGCACTCGTCTCGGGCCAGATGAGCCCAATAGATGCGGTTTTGGATGATCGGTCCCATACCTTTCCCTGGAAACTGAAAGATGCCGACCTCATTGGATTTCCGGTAATTCTAGTGCTTGGAAAGCAATGGAGATCATCAAAGCTGGTGGAAGTACAATGTCGACAGCTGGATAATTTCAAAGACGACGTCCCCTTGAATGAGCTTCCGTCGGTGGTCTCTTCGCTTCTGGCCAAGCTATAAACTAACATTCGAAAATACTTGTACGATTATGGAGAAGAGCACATTTGGGGCTGGGTAGGAAAAATGCTAAAAAAGCTTCTACACATGGATACCCGTAGCAGATCACCGTACGTGTAAATTTATATCTTCCCGGGACGAGCGAGATATACAAGCACACTGCAAAAGTTGGATTAATTCGTGGATCTGGCTGAATAGAAGCTGACACGACCTAACTACCTGCTGCGTACATTCATAAGTAGAAATAGAGCTCCGTAAAGCTGAGGAAATGAGTCTACAATGCTCCTTTTTTACTCCAGTTTGCTTCAACATCTCAAAACAAGCTATCTAATAAGCTTTTATTTCCCGAGAAATTAAATGCTTTGAAAAGGTTTGTCCAATATCCACGGAAAACAAGGGACACATAAACAACCGGGGTCTACTCTCGAAGGATTTCATGAAGACTATTTTGCGCTGAATCGCCCCCAAAAATCCTAGGGCCCGCTTCAAGGGCATATCACCAACAAAATCCAATACCTACATACTTTCTACCGCCAGGGTATACCATGGTACCTGTCAGGTCCCGAGATCTTGACCATCACATCCTGGGGCTCTCATCCCCTACGAAGGATACAAAAGTGGTTCCTGATAAACCCGGCCCCCAAAGCTTCGGACAAGAGCTGTCTGCCAGCTGCTTCAAAAGCACAATACAGTAGCGGCTAGACGCCCTACCTACTACTAGACATGTAGTGTCTCAGTGCTTGAGATCCACAGAGCGCTCATGGCCTCATATGCAAGGTTTGAACGTGTCAGCTGGATAATCTCAGGGCGAGTTTAAGGCTTTTTTTTAGTAGGGACGCATGCTATCTTTAGCAATTTGAATCATCGAGCGAGGATAGGGTATTCCAGAGGAAAGACCAAAGTTTCGGGGCCAAAGGCAAAGGGTTCAGCTTTCTCAGCCAGAGAGAATGTGGATAGGAGCAGGTTTTGGGTATAAATATGCCTTTCAAGCCGCCGAATATCAGCCTGCAAGAACCATTTATACCAGAGGAGGGCACCGCGGCTGGAAAGTCACGAAAGTCATTCCAAGTCCAGAATGCAATTCATGAGGGCTTTTCCTTTGTTACTTGCCTTCGCTCCATGGCTTGCTGGCGCCTCTGCCCAGCGGTGGAAAGGCAAACGTGCCCCGGACACCGACGCTGCCCCTGAGTCTGACACATTCATTCGGCCAACTGCTTCAAATCCCTCGGGATGGAATTCGACCCTTTCGAACACCATACGCGGCACCGGTCCTTCAAGCGGTTTGATCCCTATTCTTCCTCCGTCCGCATCGCCAACGAGAGAGTCCGAAACATCTGAAACTTCGAGCACGTCGATAACCACACTCTCGGCAACAGAAACAACGACAAGCACCGGCTCCCCCCTCATAACCGAGACTAGCGAACAAGAAACGCCCACATCCAGCAGTGCAACGGCCACGGTGACGTCCGATGCAAGCAGCGGTGCTATATATGCCCCAGGGGTTACCACTGTCACCTCGACAGTAAATGGTACCCCCGTGCTTGTAGCGATAGTCTCTGGGGGTGCAATCACTTCTCCGATATCAGTTTCACCCGCTGAAATCACTCCAACTGGCTCCGCAGCGATTGCTAGTATCAGCTCTTTCTCCTCCGAGGTCGCCAAGATATCTCCAATCATCAAGGCGTGGATAGATGACCCTCAGCCACCCAGAGAAACAGAGTCTCTTGATGCGATCGGGGCCATCCTACCAATTGCAGCTAAATTATTGACTGACTTCGGAGGTAACAGCCTCACTGGAAACAAACCGTGTCCTGGCAGCGCGATGCGCCGAGACCTTGCCCAGAGGGGACTATTTTCATTTATTGGAGACGCCATCAGCTGTATCACGAATAGTCTGGGTAAAATGGTGCCTATCATCGCAGGAGCATCGCTATTGCCGAAGCCGAAGTTAGACGGCATCATTGAAAAGTTAGGAGGAGAGCTGCAGAATCTAATGTCACAACTGGATTCTCTAAATGATAAGGATATCTTACCATCGAATCCTAGCCCTCAACCAACAGGCAACGAGGGTCAACCATCAGCTTCCATGCCTTCAGGCGAAATGACATCTCCCGGACCCACTAACTCTCCGACCATGGCTAGTACGATATCATCATCGTCAACCAGATCCTGCGCCTCTGCAACGCCTACTTGCAAGATAGTGTGCGACAGCGTGTCAACTGGAAGCTCGAATTCAGCAGACTCAAACTGCCGCACAGTTTGTAAAGCAACTCCAAACAGTGAAGACGAATCTTGCGAACCTCCAAAAACACGGAAATTATGCTCTTTGACATGCCCGGATTGTTCACCACCATCCATTCCTCGGAGGTCGCTCGCGGGGGTTTCCAGAAGATTGCGAGATTTATTTTCGTCGTTTGGACGGCCAAATGTGAATTTGGAGCTAGAACAATCCACCAATCTCACAGAAATCAGCGTTGTTAAAAGGGCGTTAAAGGTTCCTGGAGAATATGATAATTTCAAAGACTTCTTTCAAAGCGAGCTGCAGGCAGGGGAAATGGTCCCTCATGGAAGGAAATGGGATGCATCAACAATGTCACTCGTCGATTTGCCCGCAGCAATCAACTCTGTCTTTGGGGACAAGCCCAAAAATATGGGAGTGGTCAATCTTTACGGTTGTACTTCTGTCATAGTCATGTCGTCAAAAGGGGCCTGGGTATCACATTACTGGGAGACAGGAGGTTTCTCCGCAAATCCGGATGCCGAATCCCAAGCGATATTCCAGGAGAATGTTTTAGGTCCTCTTGGAGATGGCTGCAAATTCCACGGCACGCAAATAAGGCCGAAAATGCTGTCTGACCCCGGACTCCTGCACCTCGCAGGGGGGGATCCGCCGGGGATGTTTGCAGCAGAATTCAGCCCCGTGGCGTATATAATCACGCCTAGGACAACTGAGGGAGGGAAAATGTATTCGCCTTGCATTGATCAAATTCGTGACAGGCTCCAGGAGGTAGTGCCACAAGTTCAAATCCACGAATCCACCTATTTACCAGACGAGGCAGACCCATTAATTACCAACCCCCAGCGGATAATTGGCATTACTCACCTTAACGGCAAGGCCTTATTTCGTTATGATCCAGTACAGCGGGTCGTAGACGAGGGGTGTCAAAAGCAGCAGATCGCCAGAATGGAACTTTGGCATGAAGGTAATCCGACGCCGATTTTCACCAGCGAGTGGCCTGCGCATCCTGAGCAAACGGTGGCCACTGGCCACGCAAGGAGAGACGAAGATCCTGCATGCTCACTCCCTGTGTCATCAATAACCATGGCAGATGGTACATCGACTTCGGTAAATATTCCAATAGCAACAAGCAATATACCCGGGACGGCCTCACAGCCAACACAAACCATCTCTGGAGTGCTTCCTGGCACGACCATGCAGTCTGAACCTGTGCCACTCCCAACCACGTTCGTTACCGCAACATCCATTGCTGCGGCGCCACCACCACCACCGCCTCCTCCACCTCCTCCACCTCCGCCGTTCTCTCACGGAACTTGCAAGCTTAGTATTCTCCAGCAAACAGAAGGTGCCGACAATCCGGTTCATCTGCACACACGCATCTTCGACGGAAGCGGTGCTTTTTTAAAGGGCCGCACATTCCCATACCGCAACTGGGGAGACACAGTCACAATTCCCATGGCAATTTCCCAATTGCCATACGACATCGACGTCGAGCTCACAAAAGCAGTGCCGGATAGAGGTGCATGGTTGCCACCCTGGCTCGATCCCGACCGCGCCGTGCCTGTGTGGCAGAAATGGACAGTGAATATCAATGCGGGAGGAACCAGGTGGTCGTATGGAACGACAAGTAAGGATGGTCTGCCTCGATGCGAGGTTCACGGATGGAAGGATGCCGTGAACGATGACTTATGGTCGATTTTGCTGCCACCGGATTTTTATCGATTGCCAGTAAGTTGACCTCTCCAGCTGCATTGAAAACCGGGGTATTAATGGGTTGTTGTAACTATAGAATCGCCAGGCGGACTGCTACTGGTCCTGCTAAACAGTCGTTAGTTGATGCAAATATTTGGGCAGAGTGGAGTAAGAGGCGGTTGAAGACAGACCTGTAGCTGTATATAGCATCATTCTCTAGATAATATGAACAAATGTCCAATTACTTACACTTCCTCGTCTTTTCATGGGGCGTTGGATCAGACACCGCAGCATAAATCCAAGCTCTCCAATCTCAACCAAGCTTTCCCCACCAAGACTCGAGCTTGCACCAAAACAACTCGTTGATCCTTCGTGCACAGGCATGCGACCAACTTTGGATGCATATTGCTAGAACCCATATGAAGTAACTAGCTATTGGGAGGCTGCAGGTTTCGCGCTCCTTTGTCGATTCTCATTTTCCAGCCCACGACCATGTCCAAAACATCCGCCGCCCCAGAGCCCGGAGCAGGTAACTAACACCACTTTCCCACTCCCGCGGAGCAACCGCACAATCAAAAGAGTAGTAGTAATATCGCTAACGGCCAAACCCGATCTTTGCAGTGGACATCACCACCCTCTCCGTCCCCCAACTCCGCTCCCTTCAGACGCGCCTCAACACCGAGCTCGAACACTTGACCACGTCCCACGCCAAACTCCGCACCGCCCAGTCCAAATTCCGCGAGTGTATCCGCTCAATCAACGATGGGGTGATCAAAGGTGCTACTGGAAACGCAGAGGAGAAGAGTGAGATTCTAGTGCCTCTGACGAATTCACTATACGTCAAAGGGCACTTGGCAGACCGCGAGAAGGTCATTGTGGACGTGGGAACGGGGTTTTATGTTGAGAAAGTATGAATACCTCATTCTGAAGGAGAAGGGGAAACTGGGGACAGCGAAAACCGGATGCCTTGTAAAGATTGATTGCTAACTAGAGTCGGTATGTGGTAGTCGACGGCCAAGGCGACTGAGTTCTACAACGGCAAGGTAGACGAGCTACAGACAAACCTACGCGACCTAGAAAAAGTACTCCAAGCGAAAAGCACTAATTTGAGAGTTATTGAGGATGGTATGTCGATTTCCCCGCTGGCCGGACATTCTTTGGGCTCCTTTCAATGCTCGTATCCCGTTCTAACCATTAAATAGTTTTGCGACAAAAGCTCCTTGCGGGCGAAGCGACGGCAGAGCCTAGCTCTTCAGGAGGCGGTGGTGGAGCGTGATATACGGACTGAATTGAACCCGAGCATAGGGGGTGCCTTTTGTTTTTTAGGCTAAAACCTCTCTATCAACAATTATATACCGCCACAACTCTGTAGAAAGAGTTCATGGTATTGGATTGGGTCCGGGATTCATTCAAGCCCGTCTACATGCCATCTCCTATGGCACGGAAAAGCTCCTGGGGAACTTTAGATATAATTTTGTCCTTACTCCCGATATTCATGTCCATCTTATGACACTGGATCTAAGTAAAGGCAATTATCGGAATAAAATCATGGGAAGTTTCTGCTACGGTCTTGTTTAACCAACAACCTGAGCCCAGGATCTACCCTTTGATGAAGTGCCTCCTCCTCCTCTGACTGGCCCTCTCAAAACCCCCCCCCACTGGCGCTCGATCTATCCGTTGTAGATGTATTCGGAGCGGCATCCAATCGCATCACTGTGCCACTTTTAGGCCCCGGGCTTAAAACGGATGCGACACGTTTGACCAATTCCATAAATTGATCGAAGCCGGTACACGCACTGGACGCGCCTGCAATGTCGAGATCGGGGAAAAAGGTGCTCAATGTTGGGATCCATTCCGCTGTATGCCCTAGTCTAAAATTTGCATGTTGTCCGAGCAAATTGTCCCATTGTAAGTCGAAAATAGAAGCTCCCCACGAAGTCATTGGGGGTTGCGTTAGTTCATCCCTAGCCGGCGTGGCGCAAAAATATTCATCATAACGGGCAACCTCCAAAATATAACTTGTGCCTTTCAGTCGGTAACGCAAGGCGGTCTTTTCGACAAGTCTGCTGACAGGAACAAGGTTAGAGAAAGTGACTCTCCGCGCCGTAGGCCCATGTATTCTTAGTTCAGCGCCGGGTTTGAATTGCACAGAATGGGAAAACGCCCTAAGAGATTGTGCAATGCTGGAAGGCTCCTGAAAGTCAAGGGCTCGAATCTCAAGCTGCCAATCAGCGCTGATTAACCGTCAGCTAATAGATTCAACGAATCCCAAACATATCAAACTCGTACCTTTCAAAGTCAATGACGCCTATCTGCAACGGTGGACGCTGGTCTCCAAAACTCTTACCTTCGTGTGGCCGTATCCACCGCCTTTGGAAAACTTCGAGCAGACCAGACGCCGGAGATTTCGCAAATTCGGCTTCGAGTCGCAATACGGAAGAGTCTTCTCCTATAAATTCAAAATTTACCGCGTATAAAGGCGTTGCCTGTTCGAGCGTAAAGGCTGTGGCTTCATAGGGTGAAAGGAGATCAGTTGCAGCCGCAATCCGACTCAACAAATCTTGGTTGCCATGTCTGAAGTCAAGTCTATAGAAGAAATGTCAAGTTAATTGGCGCTGGACCGAAGCACCGGAATCCAACTTACCCGGGAATCAAGCGTCCTTTTGTCTTAGAGTTGAAGAGCATAGTCCTGAATTCTTCATAGGAATGACGAGGCTTCCCTTGGGGAGTGCGATACTCGTCGAGTACAAAAACGCCAAAATTAAGGCGCATACGAACATGGCCCTTTAGAAAACGAAGCCCCTGGAGTGACTGCTCAACGGCGTCGCGCAGCCGTTTTTCGTTTTTCATGCAAACTAACTCTCTTTTATCTTTCTGACTGCGAGGATGATTTGGACCCACGAGCATTCCATAGAGAACTGGGGTGCAGAGAATGACACCATTAGCAAGTCGAGGCATACGAATCTGGACTTCACAGTTCATTAATTTCTCAGGGGGCTGGATCAAGTAAAGCTTGACTTTGACGTGCATTGTTGCAAGTAGTTCCGCCCATTCAGCTCGAAGCCGGCTCACGACTTTGAGAACGGTGTCGTGATCGTAAGCATCAACGCGGATATAGCTGGGCAGTTCCTCGTCGACATAAATAGGACATCCAAATTCAATCCGCAGCGGATCGAGAGCCTCTAATTGTGGCCCAAGTGCAGACTCCATCGGCAGCTCATCAGACGGCCAGAGAAATATCAACTATTATCGTTAACATTTGTCAACTCTCTCTAAAGAATGTTATGTAGAACCCACTGTCTCTGGAAATCTGGATGATGGGTCAGGCCTTTGCCTGAGTAGCTGAAGCATTGAATCATGCTTTTCAATTTGGTTGATTCTTTCTTCCTTCTGCTCGCAGTAGGAACTGATTTTAACAAAATGATCGGATTTCTTCTTGTTCTGGGGTTGGGAGGATGTGAAAATGGCCAAGGCTTGAGAAACTATTAAACGGGCCTTTCTAACTTGTTCTGAAGTGCCCCAGACTCTAAAGAACTGCACACAAACCATGATCAATCAGTCTACTGCTTCCTAAAAGGTGCTCATGGCAACTTAATTACCTGCTCATTGTTGTGTGGTGGTGGAATGAAAGCACCAGTCTCTGCGGTTATCCGTTCAAGGAGTCCATGTTCTGCTTCTCGAGACGATTTAAGGCCGCTCTCATCAATGATCCTATACAGTTTATAAGCTTAAATATTGTTGGCGATTATCCAGGACAAGCCATACTTTTGTTTGATTTGCCCGTACGGAGCCGGGAGTCTTATTCGCCCTAGGACTGTTAGCGATACCAGATCGATCCATACAAGTGGGAGCGTACCGGTAAAAGGATGGCCTGCCCGCCAAGCTGCCTTTGCAGGGGAATCTTTATAGTCACTACCTCTTGACTGGCCACTTTTGTTCAACCTATTAACCCAAACTGGACGCGTCCGGCTCGCCGGGACTGGCCTCGGAGCATTATTAACTGTGTTTGGCCCATTTTGGGGGGTCAAGCTCCGAACAAGTAGATTGTTTGGAGGCAGATCCAGCTTGACATTATCTGGTAGGCCATTACCACTTTGTATCTGTGGAAGGGCAATCGGCTGGCTATCAACTAGGCCTAGGAAGCTACGCGGAACTGGGCTGCGCATGAAGTTATCCGGGCGTTTTGGCGCTGGCTCATGTCCGTCTAAAAGCCATTCTAGTCTAGGTTAGCCCAGATGTAAGATCAAAGAGAAAAAGAAGATGGGATCTGAGGGTTGTATCAAAGCCACTATCATCGTTTACCTTGAGCCCCTACCAGCTCATATCTATAGCGCATTAGCAAGTGAAGCATACTCAAGGAGATCACAATTAAAAACTGCGTCTTACTCATCCATTTGAAACTTCAACGGGCCTGCACTTATGATCAAGATGGCAGTAATGATAGTGGCAGTGAGGATGACGGGTAACGAGTGTGATCGCTAATGTTAGTGTGGCCAGGACCATAAGAGCCACAACGATATCAAAAGTAAAGCTGAATAAGCTACTCAGAGATCACAGCAAAGCAGAATGGTAAGAAGTTAGAGAATAGGAGTGAATGCGGCCCATTCAGTTTTAAAACAGCACTCAGCTCACCAGACGACGGGGGGTGCTAGTTTTAGTGATGAGGGCAGCTGTGACTTCCCCCCAGAGCAGAAGTTCAGAGAGGGTAGCAGAAGAAAAACGAAATAAGCAGAATCTCAGCAGTTTTCCAGCTGAAACCTACAGAGAGAAAGAGAAAGAGAGTAAAATAGTAGACCTTATTGAGAAGTCAGATGGTCTCTCATAGTCGCAGCCTGCCGGCATTCAAAGAAATGATCTTGCAGCAACGCCATTATCTGCCTGCTGCAAGGTGGCTGTCCACATAGGCTTGTAGACCTTTTCCACTGTTCAAGCTGCGCTCAGCCCTTTGCTTTCCATCTTGAATAGCATACTCCGTACCTGAGCCAGCATCGCCATATTTGACCGCCAATCGAGAACAGGCCCAGATTTTCAGAGCTGACATCTCGAACCCTTCTTGCAGGCGTAGACATGAAACAGAACCCCAGATCCATTTATTCCGGTTTTCCCTTCAGGCTCCATTCTCAACCTGGTCAGAATCGTCTGTCTGCTGTGCTCGCCATTCACCTCGCCGTCGCCCTTCCAGAGGGGATTACATCAGCACAATCGGCAGCTCTTGGGATCCAGCCAATCAGCGATCAGCAACCACTCGCATCGACCATCCGCTTCCAGAGCGTCAAACCTCTTGAACGCATCGATCTCACCGGCGCTTTCAATTGCAAGAGAAATATCCCAATTCACCTCCAAAATGTCGGGCCATCGGCAGGCTATGTAAGGCGCTATTTGCTTTGCCTCAGTATTGCTTTCGAATCGCTAATCTCCGGGCCACTAGATTCAATCAACATGTCCTCGTCGACACCACGCCTATGCCGGAGGACATCCCGAAGGTGGAGGAGATCGGAGCCAGTTCAGCGCCGTTGATGAGTGCCTCATACTTCATTGGCGATCGGTGCAAGGCGTTCAACGACGATTATATGAAATGCAAACAAGAAGCAAATGGGAGAGGAGAGATCGAATGCTTGAAAGAAGGCCGCAAAGTCACTCGTTGTGCTGCTAGCGTGTACGGTCCCTGATAACGTTCGATGGAAGGATACATCGCTGATTGCATTTGCTCTTGCAGGCTAAAAGATATCAACACACATTGCCTCAAGGAGTTCCGGGGCCATTGGGAGTGTCTCGAAAACAATAACCAGCAACTCTGGTACTGCCGGGGCCCAGAACAGAAGCTGAATGCTTGTGTATTCGACAAGCTTGTGCGTAGCCCTATTTCTCCCTTCCCAGGCTCACGAGCCTTGCTAGAGATTTCAAAGCTGACTTTCGATTTGATCATTTAGGGTCTCAAAAAAGTCATCCCCGGCACCCCAGAAAACCAAACTCCCGTACACCTCAGGAAAAAGCAGATCTTCGCCAACACCCAAAGCCCGCAGTGGTAGATTTAATTGCGCAATTGATACTTGTTATGTATATATCGAAATGATCGCCTCGCTACATCCCCTTTTTTGTGCTTATAGAAATCTCAGCCAACCTTTTTTGGGTGCTTTCTGACTTGATCAAAATCACCCACACCTTGCGACGAGTGACCTCCTCTTCCAATTATGGATTCATTCTCTAGCACGCAATAGGATTACGGACGCCCAACCACACGAGTGGCATGGGACCGGTATAATAAAGCAAAAGAATGAAAGGGAAATATGATCGCCATACTTCTAACATAGTCGCTACTGCCGTGAGTCTGTCTATAGTTATACGCTCAAAGACTGCTTTTCTATTATAGTTTGCCTTTACTTTCGTGCTCTATTCGCGCCCGGTAATCCCTCAGTCGGTTCGCGAATTCGGGTTTTGCCGGGGTGGCCACTTTATGATGCTCCGCCGTGGCATATATCGTTTTCCCGTCAACAGATTCCATGACGCCACGAAGCAACGACATGGTCTTGCCGTGCTGGATTACTTCTGTGCGAATCCGTACCGTCGTCCCTGAGACATGTCGTTAAATGGTTGTGACTCTTTCAACACCACTTTGCAACGTACCGATGGGCACCGCTCTGAGATATGAGATGTTCAATGAACGCGTGACGCCGGCGAGGAACCTAAAAGCTTGCGATCAACCACGGCGTACTTCAACATTCGCATACCCACAATGCGAAAGGGGATGAATACTCCCAATACCCGTCTCTCGCTATTGGATTCATGCCTATCGCTGTGCACATATCTATCTCAGCTCGTCAGTGTCTAGTTCGGCCCATGCTTGTTTCACCACCGCACCGAATATCACCGCATAAGCGCCCCCATGCATGACTCCTATCCACGTCCAAAAGCCTGCTTAGTTTTCCAATTCATCTCACCCGGGAGCGAATGCTCTGATAAATACCATTCATATTGACCCAGAACTCGGTCACGTCCAACTCCCACAACGCACCGCCAGCGGGTTCCGCGTCAATCAGTCGCAAATCTTTCATCAATTGATAATCGTATCCCTAGTTTCACCGCAGGAACCTTTTAGAAAACGGATTCCCACAGACCCAACTATTCCAAAGCCGTAGAGTTTTGAGGATACCTTGAAATCCTTGTTCACCATCAAACCCCGATACCTGCGTATGAATGAGAAACGTTTTTACTCTCTTATGCAGAATTGAGAGACTTGCACTTGGAGAAATGAATGCACTGATTGGAGAGCTTTCAGTTTCGCTTCGGAGTCCGCCATTTTGGATCAACTCCTCTGTAGATCTAGATACTTTGTTCAATAACTAGGTATGTCAAACGAAAAAGAAAAGGCGTAGCTAGCAAATCATTTGCCAATCCAAGCTGAGCATGAATCTCCTAACTGACCAAAAGAGTAGTTAAATGTGGATGCATCTTCAAGCACTGTTCTGTGTCCCGGAAGTTCAAAGCCTCGGCTCGGCAGGAGAGTAGTCAGTTAACTATTTAACTACGGAGTAATAACTGTGTAACTAAAACTTAGTGGTTGTCTACGGCATACCATAGCGGCCAATCCGCATTTTCAAAAAAATTCACTAGTCCTAGCACACCGCTTTGCTCACCACCATAAGTATTTTGTGTTTGCTTATTACATAAGTTTAGACTATACCAATCTTAGACTAGTACAAGCCTTCCAATCCTTAGCGCATGGAACTCCAGATTTCAAGGTTGTGACATTGCTGATCTATAGATCTATATGAATTCCATACAAAATTTGATAGACAAAGTCCAAGCAAAGAACACCTCATTTTATCTTGTAGATGAGAAACACATGAAGGAACACTATGCACAATGGCACATGATCTTTATAATCAAAATCCACCCTTCTCACCATTCTTTCTACCATCCTTCCTACCATCCTTCTCACCACCCACTTGAGTAATCAAACACTGCCCAAAACCATGAAAGGTAAGAAAACCAGGCCTAAGCTTCATATTTGAGGCTTTTGAATGTGATATAATGCTGATCTCATTACAATATTAGTTCTATGTGTTTGAACCAGCAAATATACTTGGCTGGGGCAGGTTCACCCAATTTAAAGCTTGAGGTGTGAATCAAAACTAACAAATTCTGATCTAGTAGCTTGAAATCACTATTTTGAAAGCTTTCTAGGTACATATAAACCAGTTTAATATTTGAATTATATGCTGTTGTGCAATATGACTAATATTCATTTGATAGCAAGTGAATGAACCTGATAGACATCCCCAGACTTGCTCATGGAAAATAAGCTGGGAGGCATCTCCAGACTAGCTCATGAAAAATAAGCTGGAAGGCATCTCCAGACTAGCTCATGGAAAATAAGCTGGAAGACATCCCCAGACTCACCCATGAAAGAAAAGATACAGACACAACTAATCATGTTTCTTCTATTAGTATTCTTCAATAAACAATAACAATGACAGATGGACTGGAGACATCAAGAGCTGAATCATCATCCTCTGGTGGTTTGGACATGTTTGATGAAACAGAAGACAAGTCTAGTATGTGAACACTGTCTGAAATGAAAATATAATGACTGATAAAATACTAGCACCAAAAGTGAAAGTGAAGATGATAATGAGTAGGACTGACCTTCTGGACATCCTTCAAATATCAACTCTTGAGGAGTTTTATGCCTTCCTTAAGAGATCTACAATAAAGCTGTACTGAAAAGATCTTTATGTCAACTATATCTTCTCCAAACAGATCAAGACTAAGAAAGCATGCAAAAATAAAACATGCAGCCCAAATCTAAAGAATGTCCTTATCTGACTGATAAATGATGAGAAACAGAGTCAAGACAAGTACTCCACTTCTTGAGACTCAACTGAAGATTGGAAACTGGAAGACCATCTGATCAGATTCATCTACCACATCAGAAAGTGAAACCTCACACACCAAAATGAGATCTTCTATGAAAAGAACATCTCTGATAATTCAGTGGATGCTTTAATCTGGTCAATCTATTTGTATCTATGCCAAGAACATACCTCTTCACATGTTGAAAGATTGAAACAAAAAGCAGACTGCCTACTGTATCTGAATATTGTTCAAGAAGCTGAGAATCAGATGCAATTATCAGAAGACAAAAAGACATTCCAGAAGACTTTCTCAGAGCAGATATTGAGCTTCATCTCTGACTCTTCTTTACACCCACTCAGTAATGATTGTTCATGTTCTTCTACACCAGATGTACCAGCAGAACAGCAAGTAATCAGCATTGTGAATACATCATGCTCAAACTGAAAGCATCAGTGTTCATCTATCTTGTCTCTTGCACAGTCAAAGAGATCAAGAACAGGAGCTCCAGATTTCATATCAAGTGAAGACATTAATAGTGCTGAATATTCTGACTTGAATATGTCTATTGCCTCTACATTCTGTCAGTTAGATTTTCAAAACACTCCAAAGCTGACTGGGACAGCAACTTGAAAAGATGAGATCATGACTCTGATGCAGTATTTAACTCTTGTCAGAGAATCTGATACCATGAATCTCAAGAAACTGTATTGAAAAATAAAGTTGATTGGATGTGTCCTTCATGCCACCAGACTCCTCTTGATTGATGATGACAGTGCAGACCTTTCTTATAACATCATGGATGACAACCTGTACTGTCTCTCTAATAAAGATTTCCAATGGGAACAGGAGCTTTGCTCTGACTTGATTATAGCATCTACAGAGAAGAATGTGAATCTGTATGAAGAATTTCAGAAGTTTTTTAATAACACAAAATTTCAGTGGGAAGATCATGAAGAAGCTTGTATCAAGCTTGACATGAACAATCTCAAGATATTCTGTTTACAATTAATGAAATCTGTAATCATTCTGAAACCATGGCAGCCAGTTGCTGTCAACACTATTATAAAGTTCAAAACAAACAAGTTGCTGAGTGAAGCAATTCTGACAGATGTTGTTAATCTAGAGAAGACTTGAGTCATGATAATCTATATTCTTGTAGTGAGTTGTGGGAGTCTTCTCCAGACCAGTCTAACAGTATCTAGCTAACTTGTTTACTTTAGACTGGACTGATGAGACCAGAATTCCAGAACCAATCTCTCATTTTCTGTCTCATGTTTCTTTCTCAGAACAGAACTGAATTAAAATCTTGAGTTCAGAACAGGACATGATTCAATAATGTCTGAAAAAGATGAATCTTGAGACTTGATTCTTCAGATTCCAACAGTTTCAGAAATCCAGTCCCATCAAGAAATCTGGAACTGAGTTCAAACATTAGTAATGGGATGAGTTACAGGACATCATATTGCTGGTGGGATGGAAACAGTTGTAAAGAATGTTGAAACGTGGGATTTCAGTTCCAACAGATCATATGATAAAAGTAAGAATCCACCACAATGGTACCCCCGGTACTGGCCCATTTGGAGCAATTGAAGAAAGTAAATTGAGTAATTCATTTTAATTACACTACTATGTCCACTATTTCAACAAGCAAGCTGATTGCCTCTTCTCATCTCTTGTTAATTCACCCCCAGCCTCAGCCTCAAGAAATTCTGCTATTTCATTCTCCAGTCCATCAATCTTCTTTGTCAGTTCCTCCTCTAAGACTAGAACTTCATCAAACATGTGCTTCTTGTTCCCATGTTTAAGCAACATAATCTTCTTGATGGTGGACTCATGGAGTCATGACCATTAATAATGACAGATATCTCACACAGTGTTGAAGATCTGTTCTACACTCACATCTGTTAATGGTATGGCCAGAATGTCTCTTGCCATACAAGCTACAGTTGGGAAGACAGGCTTCAGATTCTGCCACTGTTCCAACAGAGATATTGAACTAGTCATCAGATTCTCATTATTGAGATACCACTCCATCTCATTCTGAGAATTGACTTGACCCCAACATGACCACTTGAACAGAATATTCTCAATATTCTAACAGTAGCATCAGTATAGCTTATAGAGTAATTATTATTTGAGTAATGACACATCTCATCATCAGCTGCTGCCATCTCTCTTGGCTTCTCATATCATTGATAATACTTTGCATAATATGTGAGAATGTGCTGCTAATATCTTTCACACTCTTCCTTCTCTCAGTTCTCTAAATCATATGCTCTCATGCAATAAATTGAATGAAGAACAGCAGCTACTGCCAGCAGCTCACCTTTAGAGTGCTCTGTATCTTCATAGTACTTCTGAAACTTGCATCTGGCTGCAGTTATAGTCTCACTCACATTATTCCAATGCTTTATTGTCATCTCCTCATTTTTCAAATGAGCAAATAGATGATTGTAAGTTGCCCACACCATATGAATTGTTGATCTCTTTGTTCTTGATATTATCTTGATATAGTGATTGAACAGTAACAGAAGCTTCTTCATGTACTCTATCTGACTCCATTCATTCTCAGAAAGTTGTAGAGTCTGATATTTGACTGCTGATTCTTGATTCCATGCATCTATTGCTTCACAAAGAGCTAACACTCATATGCACATTTTATATGTTGAATTCCATCAGATTCAGACATTCTGGATCATCTTCTGCTTGTTGATTTGTTGATACTCTTGAAATCAAACCACAAGTTGAGGTGATGCATTGATGACATTAGTCATGAGTCAAAGCTGAGATCAGTCACACAGTTAGTAAATTGCTCCAAATGTGTCAAAACCATTATCAAAATTTGTTATCTTTTTGAGTGTATTTGCAAAGATGTTATTTGATGAGAAATCCTCCTGAAGATCATCTTCATCAAATGTTGTTGACAACATATCATTCTCTGACTGAATCTTGAGCTTGCAGACAAGCTCTCAAACCACAAGTTGAATCACATGAGTCAGACAGAGTATTGTTTCAGCTTCTGAGTCCCATTCAGCAAATTTATTGAATCTTGTCAATATTGGCCACAGTTGTTTCTTCAGCTCTGATCACATTGTATTGTTATTGGACACATTGTTGCTTGTAATTGCTAGAAGCTGGTGGTCTAGCTTCCATGCAGTCAGACATTTTGTAAGAACTTCTGCCATGTTCTTCTCTGTATGAGCTTCATGTAAGCTCTCAAAATCTAGCAAATGTTCTCAGTACTCCCAGTTCTTTGTAATATAATATCCATTAATTGCCATAAAAGCAAGATTGTTGGAACTTGTCCAATTATCCACTGCCAAAAACATCTTTGTTGTCACATCAAGATCAGCCAGCAGTGTCTTAAAAAGATTATTGTATATGATGTTCATGACCTGATACAGTGTCTTGTGAGTTGAAATGTTGTTTGCCATTAAAGAATTGAGCATTGACATCATTGTCTTGAAGATTGGGTTTTCAATTGCACAGAAGAAGAGATTCAGAGATATCACAGTTCACACAAGTTGCTGCTGAAAGTTTTCTAGATTATATTCAGAAATAGATGATACATTTCAAGAACATTTTCAATTTGACTTCTAGAACATCAGAATCATTATCAAAATTCATTACTTTTTCATATGGAGGAATGGAATAATCACTTACCATCAACTGCTGTAAATTCTGAGATTCACTCTCTGTCTTACCACACTCTGCACTACACAGGTGTTTCTTCAACTCACTTGTGTCATTTTCAGTAAAGCTTGAGTGCTTGAGAACTGCCTGACAATTATTGCAGATCACCACTGAGATACCACTTGAAAGCTCAGCTGCTTGATCATATTTGGCTTAGAAGTCTGAGTGGTGATTCTTGACAGTTCAATTTAAATTCTGATTTCTCTTCTCCTCAACCAACTGAGCAGTCTCTGTTGTTGACCACCAGATAGCAAAGATCTTTGTGTGCTCCAGTTATCATTTTATATATACTATTTTCTCAATTAGCATCTGACTTAATTCAGAAGAGACTTCAGTAAAAGATGATGCATTATTATCTATAACAACACTTTCTTGAGAGGCTGAGTCCATGATGACAAGTTGACAATAGGTTTATTAAAGATGAAGATTCTGAAGAATATTGAATTGAGAGTGAGCATGATGAAGAGTTTTATGATCTACATTATAAAAGAGAGAGAGAATGTTCTGGCAATGACTTTTTTTATAATGAGAATATTCATGAAAGACTTCTTGCATGAAGATAATATCCATGAATTGCTTCTTTCATGGAGCAAATATCCAATAATGACTTTGAATTATAAGTAAACTATTTGCTCTTAGACATCAACAACTCAGTCATCCTTCTCCTCCTCATTCTCCTCCTCTTCATCAAAAGAGACAACAATCTCAAACTTCTCCTCACCCATCTTTTCTGATGGTGGTAGCATCTCCTCATTCAATGAAGCCTGCAAATGGCTCTGAAATGTTTTCATCTCCTCCTCCATCTCATCCTTCAACAGATCAGCAGCAGCAAGATGATTGTGCTCATGGATCATAACTTTGACTTCAAGAGCAGCCATCATTGCATGGGTGTGGGCCTGAATGCATGCAGCAATTGAATGCACTGCAAGTTCAATTTTGATTTAAATGTGTTAGAACTGTTACCAAATTTCATTACTTTTTGACATATCTTATTCTTGATCTTTTCTTGCACCTGCATGGCTTCTTCATCATGCTTCTTCTTCTCCTCAGCCTTCTGCTTCTTGCAGGCCACTAGCATCTGGTGCTCATAATATTTCTTGGACTTGCTCTTGACAAATTACTTGGTCATGAGCTTTTTGATGATCTGATCTTTCATTGTCTGACACTCTTGCTTATTGACATTCTTTCTGTGATCTGTGTCAGTATGATATAAGTCAGTTTGCTGCTGATAGTCTGATACACACTATAATTTCTTAGCTTGAAGCTTTCAGAGAGTATCATGACATGTCTTGTAATCTGTCTTTCTGACTTTAAAAACATTCCAATCTTGCCCAGCTAGGGCCTGTCTATTCTCTCACATGGTGCAGGTCTTCTTATGCATTGAATATCTGCCTCATGAAGTCATTTTGTCCATTGGTAGCAATGTTGGATGATTCAGAACACATTTGACTTTGTGATGGGAGATGAGATGAGAATGTCTGGGAATATCTGGGATGCATTATCAAGCTCTTATACTGGCCTACTGGTGGCTATGCAGTTTACTATATTGTCATGCAATGTTAGATATGTTTATTTTGACACAATATGTTTGTTTTAACACAATATCAAGCTGCCTACTGTTGCCATATCAGAATATGTTTATTTCAATATGATATATTTGTTTTGATGTGATATCAAGCTGCCAATTTGTTTACTATAAATCCATGACCAGTTGCTGCAGTATTATGATATCAGACAGAAGATATAAAATTAGTATTTTCATCTTCTCTTCTTCTTCTTCTTCTTCTTCTTTCTTTTCTGTAGACTAACCATTATCAATTTCATTTGTCATTTGTTGACCTCCCCACAAACTGTCTCAATGCTCTCATCCACTCCATCTCATCCATTTTTCTGCTGCTGTGACAATGGGTTGCATTGAGTTTTCCCACACTGGCTGGTACAAAACCAGTGGTGAGTTGCAGCATGAGACTGCACTAAAAGAGTGAGAAGCCACCAAGACAACTTGATATAAGACAAATCTGAAGGCTGATTCAACAGTCTTTAAAAAGAAGATCTTCTGCTCTCAACCTCCCCAACACCAGTTGAAAGCTGATACTCATATGTGAAAAAGTAACAAATTTTGATAACAGTTCTGATGCTAATTGAATCATTTAGATGTGATTCAGAAGATTAAACATCTCCAAAGATTCACAGATCTTATTATCCCTGTGGCTGTGTTCCAGCAATTGATTTGTGAAATCATCATTAACTGTGATCAAGGCCATGATATTCACTGGCAACATACTGTCATTGAAAATCTTCAAGAGGCCACAGAGGTGACCATTGTTACTTTATTCAAGTATGAATATTAACAATTGTATAAGTTGATATTCATATGACTAATGCAAATTGAAAAGACTTGATTATGGCAATGGTGCATTGAAAGCACATGACTGTCAATGCTGAGGATATGCATCTGATCATGGAGATTAGCTTCATGATTGAGTTGCAGTTCTTTAAGTTAATTAAAACAGTCAACTACTTCTGTCCTGCTGCTCTCACTGTCACCTCTGCCTGCTGTGCCACTCACTCTGCTGTGTCTGCTGCCTCTGCCTCTGCTGCCTGTGCTGCCACTTTTATCATCTCTGAAGTCTCTGACTCTGTTGTGTGGCAGTGAAAGTTCAACTTTAAGACACCATCAAAGATGCTGTGAGAACCTGTCAAAGATAAGGAGGAGGAAGAGAATGATGATGATGAAGAAGAAGAAGAAGAAAAGAAGAAAGATGAGCCAATAAAGATAAAGAGCATCAATCTGTCTAACTAGATGAATATTTGTTGAACTGGCTTGAGCTGGCTAATAGTTTTGACATTATTTGTTAATATGAACCATTTCTGAGGATATTGAGTTTTTCATTGATCATGATACACACTGTAGAAAAAGTAATGAATTTTGGTAACAGTTCTAACATCTTAAAAGCAATTTGAGCTTCTTGCTATATATAATAAAATATAGAACCAGAAACCCATGTCCCATTCTGATTTCATTTTGAGTTGCTCAGTACCAGAACCAGTGTCATCTACTGTGAGATGGAAAGATTCTTGGGATGTGAATCTCATACTGAGATGGTGCTGACTGGAAATTACTTGAGTGCAGAATGGGATCTCATGTTCTGTTTTCTGCTGAGATGAAATATGAGAGCAAGATGGCTGGTTCTGGAACAAATCCCCAACCAGATTTTGAGACTGGAACCAATGCTCATGAAATTTGAGATTCTGAAACTGGTCTCACAATCCAGTCTAGTTTACTTCAGACTATTAAAAAGTACATGGCCACCCCCAAAGAACAATGTGTGACAGCAAAGTCATGACTCATTGTTGTTCCACCATCTCTGATGTATCAATGGATTAATGAAATCAATAAAGTAACTTCAAACTTAGAGATAGTGGTTTACTATGACAATGCTCACAATGACCATGTCAGTTATATCTTAGTTAAGAATTGCTTGACTAGTTTGTCTGAATACTTTAATGACAAAGACAAGTGAGTGTCTACCATTATAATAACATTCTACCAGTCTCTGACATCTCAACACAGCCCATCCAAACTTTCTTCTTGATGAATGCATGAGAATGGTGTGTCCCAATTAATGGCAAAGATCTTATATGCAACAATGGATCTTCAGTGGCTGTATTGTCTTCAAAACAAATTCCAATGGGTTATCTTGGATGAAGCACATCTAGTCCAAAATATGAATACAATGCAGGCTCAGACTGTGTGCTGGCTGAAAGCTGACTTTTACTTGTGTCTGACTGCCACTCTTCTATTCAATTTCTATCTTGATTTCCACAGATTTGAATCTCTTCTATTACTCCACAACAATGACACTTTCTGGGACAGGCTTCTTCAGTTGGGACTTGAGAATGGATTTTTGAACTTTTTTGACTTGTCAGATGATCATCCTGATGCTGTTCTTTGACTTATCTTCAAAGTCATGGCAAAATTTGTGTGGGACAAGTCTGTATTACAAATCATAGCAGAAAATTGCATTGACAAGATATGGGAAAAATGTCTCATCTGATGAACTCTGACTTCAAGAATTTTCTTCAGCACTGATTCCACAATAGAATCTGACATTCCACCATCAAAAAATCAGCTTGTGAGTGCATCTTTCTCATCTGGTAAACTTCAAGAATACAAGAGTCTTACCAGTTCTCTGTACCACAAACTTGTCACCATGTCACAGGATGGAAAACTCATATGGAATATGATGAAATATCAGCAACTGGCTCTACTTATGACTTGGCTAGACTTTCAATATGTACATTTTTCTATATCATTGGAAAGGATACCCACAGCAATGCAGCACATTGGCCAGAAGAAACTAGTGATGGAATGGCTCAACTATATCTTCAAAAAAAGAAGTTTTGAAGATGCTTTTGCAAAGAACTGTAATTCTGAGAATCCAGAAATAATCAAGAAGCAGCTCTTACTTGTTCTTAGAGAGTTGTCTTGAATGTGTGTCATGTTGTCAATCATCATGCAACAAGTCTTTCTTCAATGAGAGAAGGTGATTGTTTGGACTCTGTTTTCTGTTCAGCAGACATTTGTGAGTGCCATACTCACACTTGCAGGTGTCAATATGAGAGTCTTTCATGCCCATCTAAATGTCATTAAGCAGGCAGAGCTTGTGCAAATCTTCAATGAATTCTGTGAGTTGACAATGATGCTTGTCTGTTCATATTCTGTTAACTCCTCAGATCTGAACCTGCAGCACATGTGCAGGAACATCCATCTTTTCAACACTGTATTGTCTGAGACTATCATGATACAAGCTGTGGGATGGGTGTGGTGAATTGATCAGATGAATATTATGAAGATCTATGACTACTGAGTCCCTAACAGCTTTAACACAAAACAAGTGACATGCACTCTCAAGAAAGTCATTCCAGAGTTGGTTGTGGAACTGAATGCTGACCTTTTCAATGTCAGTAGTACTATGAGTTGTCTAGTTGGTGAAGATCTGCTTGTTGGGAACTGGACTATCAGCAGTGAGAGTGAACTAATGAAGCTTGAAGAAGATGATTCTTTACTCAAGAGCTATGTGATTGCATCAGCTGATGAGCTGGTTGAAAGACTTGTTAAAGTCATGAAGGAGGAGAAGAGCTTGTCTTATAATATTATTAAGAAGAAGAAGTGAAAGAGACTAGACTGGGTCACAGAACTGGTTTCAGAATCTCAAATCTTATGAGCATTGATTCTGATCTCAAAATCTGGTTGGAAATTTGTCTCAGAATCAGCCATCTTGCTCCCATATTTCATTCTGGTGAGAAATGAAACATGAAATTCCATTCTGCACTCAAGTAATTTTCAGCTGGCATCATCTCAGTATGAGATTCACATTTCAAGAACCTTCCCATCCTGCAGTAGATGACACCAGTCCCAGTACTGGGCAATTCAAGATGAAACTGGGATGGGACATGAGTTTCTGATTCTATGTTTCATTATGTATAGCAAGAAGCTCAAATTGCTTCTAAGATACTAGAACTGTTATCAAAATTTGTTACTTTTTCTACAGTATGTATCACAATTAATGAAAAACTCAATATTCTCAGAAATAATTCATATTAATGAATAATGTTAAGACTATTAGCCAGCTCAAGTCAGTCCAACAAATATTCATCTAGTTAGGCAAATTAATGCTCTCCACCTTCATTGACTCATCTTTCTTCTCTTCTTCTTCTTCTTCTTCATTGTTGTCATCCTCTTCCTTCTCCTCATCTTTGACAGATTCTCACAGCATCTTTGACAGTGTCTTAAAGTTGAACTTCTGCCACCACACAACAGAGCCAGAGGCCCTGGAGGTGATGGAAGTGGCAGTGTGAGTGGCAGAGGCAGAGGCAGCAGACACAGCAGAATGAATGACATGACAGACAGGAGTGGCAGTGGGAGCAGCAGAGTGAAAGTAGTCAGCTATTTTAATTGACTCAAAGAACTGCAACTCAATCATGAAGCTAATCTCCATAATCAGATGCATATTCTCAGCATTAATAGTCATGTGCTTCCAATATGCCATTGTCATAATTGAGCCTTTTCAATTTGCATTAGTTATATGAATATCAACTTATACAATTGTTAATACTCACACTTGAATAAAGTAACAATGGTTGCCTCTGCAGCCTCTTGAAGATTTTCAATAACAGTACATTGTCAGTGGATATTATGATCTCAGTCACAGTTAACAGTGATTTCACAAACCAATCACTGGAACACAGTCACAGAGATAATAAGATCTGTAAATCTTTGAAGATGTTTAATCTCCTGAATCACACCTAAATGATTCAATTAGCATCAGAACTGTTACCAAAATTTGTTACTTTTTCACATATGAGTACCAGCTTTCAACTGGTGTTGGAAGAGTTGAGAGTGGAAAGTCTTCTTTTTGAAGATCATCAAATCAGTTTTTGGGTTCATCTTATATCAAGTTATCTTGGCAGCTTCCCACTCTTTTAGTGCAGTCTCATGCTGCAACTCACCACTGGTTTTGTACTGGTCAGCACAGGAAAACTCAACACAACCCATTATTGCAGCAGTAGAAAAATGAATGAGATGGAGCAGACAAGAGCATTGAAACAGTTCACAGAAAGACCAACAAACAGCAAACAAAATTGATAATGATTAGTCTACAGAAAAGAAAGAAGAAGAAGAAGAAGAAAAAAAGAAGATAAAAATACTGATCTTATATCTTCTGTCTGATATCATGATACTGCAGCAACTGGTCACAGATTTATAGTAAACAAATTGACAGCTTGATATCACATCAAAACAAACATATCACATCAAAATAAACATATTCTGATATGACAACAGTAGACAGCTTGATATTGTGTCAAAACAAACATATTGTGTCAAAATAAACATATCTAACATTGCATGGCAACATAGTAAACTGCATAGCAACAGTAGCCAGTATAGAAGCTTGATATTGCATTTAAATATTTCAGACATTCTCATCTCATCTCCATCACAAAGTCAAACACATCTCAAATCATCCAACATCACTACCAACAGACAAAATGACTTCACAAGACAGATATTCAATGTGTAAGAAGACCTGCACCACATGAGAGAATAGACAGGCCCTAGCTGGACAAGATTGAAATGTTTTTAAAGCTGGGGAGGCAGATCACAAGACACACCATGATACTCTCTGAAAGCTTTGAGCTAAGAAATCATGATGTGTATCAGACTATCAGCAGCAAACTGACTTATATTATACTGATACAGATTACAGAAAGAATGTCAATGAGCAAGAGTATCAGACAATGAAAGATCAGACCATCAAAAAGCTCATAGTCAAGTGATTTGCCAAGAGCAAGTTCAAGAAATATCACAAGCACCAGATGCTAGTGGCCTGCAAGAAGCAGAAGACTGAGGAGAAGAAGAAGCATGATGAAGAAGCCATGCAGGCACAAGAAGAGATCAAGAATAAGATATGTCAAAAAGTAATGAAATTTGATAACAGTTCTAACACATTTAGATCAAAATTGAACTTGCAGCACATTCAATTGCTGCATGCATTCAGACCCACACTCATGCAATGATGGCTGCTCTTGAAGTTAAAGTTATAGCTCATGAACACAATCATCTTACTGCCACTGATCTGTTGAAGAATGAGATGGAGAAGAAGATGAAAACATTCCAGAGTCATTTGCAGACTTCATTAGATAAGGAGATGCTATCACCACCAGAGAAGATGAATGAGGAGGAGTTTAAGATTGTCATCTCTTTTAATGAAGAGAAGGAGAATGAGAAGGAGAAGAATGACTGAATTGTTGATATCTAAAAGCAAATAGTTTACTTATAATTCAAAGTCATTGTTGGATATTTGCTTCATGAAAGAAGCAATTCACAGATATTATCTTCATGCAAGAAGTCTTCATAAATATTCTCATCATAAAAAAAGTCATTGTCAGAACATTTCCTCTCTCTTTTATAATATAGATCATAAAACTCTTCATCATACTCACTCTCAATTCAATATTCTTCAGAATCTTCACCTTCAATAAATCTGTTGCTAACTTGTCATCATGAATCCAGCCTCTCAAGAAAGTATTGTTATAGACAATAATGCATCATCTTTTACTGAAGTCTCTTCTGAATTAAGCCAGATGCTAATTAAGAAAGTAGTATATATAAAATGACAACTGGAGCACATAAAGATTTTTGCTATCTGATGATCAACAACAGAGACTGCTCAGTTGGTTGAGAAGAAGAGAAACTGAAATCCAAATTGAACTGTCAAGAACCACCACTCAGACTTTTAAGTCAAATATGATCAAGCAGCTGAGCTTTCAAGTGGCACCCCAGTGATGATCTGCAATAATTGTCAGACAGTTCTCAAGCACCCAAGCTTTACTGAAAATGGCACAAGTGAGTTGAAGAAACATCTGCATAGTGCAGAGTGTGATAAGACAGAAAGTGGATCTCAGAATTTACAGCAGTTGATAGTAAGTGGTTATTTCATTTCTTTATATAAAAAAGTAACAAATTTTAATAACAGTTCTGATGTTCTAGATGTCAAATTGAAAACATTCTCAAAATATATCATCTATTTCTGAATGCAATCTAGAAAACTTCCAGCAGCAACTTGTGCAAACTGTAATATCTCTAAATCTCTCCTTTCATGCAATTGAAAATCCAATCTTCAAGACAATGATGTCAATGCTCAATTCTTCAATGGCAAACAATATTCCAACTCACAAGACACTGTATCAGGTCATGAACATCATGTACAATAATCTTTTCAAGACACTGCTGACTGATCTCAATGCAACAATAAAGATGTCTTTGGCAGTAGATAATTGAACAAGTCCCAACAATCTTGCTTTTATAGCAATTAATGAATATTATATTACAAAGAACTGGGAGTACCAGAAACATTTGCTAGATTTTGAGAGCTTACATGAAGCTCATACAGAAAAGAACATGACAGAAGTTCTTACAAAATGTCTGGCTGCATGAAAGCTAAACCACCAGCTTCTAGCAATTACAAGTGACAACACATTCAATAACAATACAATGCAATCAGAGCTGAAGGAACAACTGCAGTCAATATTGACAAGATTTAATAGATCTGCTGAATGAGACTCAGAAGCTGAAATAATATTCTGTCTGGCTCATGTGATTCAACTTGTGGTTCAAGAGCTTGTCTGCAAGCTCAAGATTCAGCCAGAGAATGATATGTTGCCAACAACATTTGATGAAGATGATCTTCAGAAGAATTTCTCATCAAATAACATCTTTGCAAATACACTCAAAAAGATAACAAATTTTGATAACAGTCTTAACACATTTGAAGTAATTTACTAACTGTGTGACTGATCTCAGCTTCAACTCATGACTAATGCCATCAATGCATCATCTCAACTTGTGGCTTAATTTCAAGAGTATCAACAAACCAACAAGCAGAAGATAATCCAGAATGTCCAAATTTAATGAAATTCAACATATGAAATGTGCATACAAGTGTTAGCTCTTCACAAAGCAATAGATGCATGAAATCAAGAATCAGCAGTCAAATATCAGACTCTACAACTTTCTGAGAGTGAATGAAGTCAGATGAAGTACATGGAGAAGCTTCTGTTACCATTCAACCACTATATCAAGACAATATTGAGAATAAAGAGACCAACAATTCATATGGTGTGGGTGACTTACAATCATCTATTTGCTCATTTGAAAAATGAGGAGATGACAACAAAGCATTGGAATAATATGAGTGAGGCTATAACTGCAGTCAGATGCAGTTCAGAGTACTATGAAGATACAGAGCACCTCAAAAATGAGCTGCTGGCAGTAGCTGCTGTTCTTCATTCAATTCATCACATGAGGGCATATGATCCAGAGAACTGGGAGAAGGAAGAGTGTGAAAAATATTGGCAGCACATTCTCACATATTATGTGAAGCATTATCAACAATATGAGAAGCCAAGAGAGGTGGCAGCAGCTGATGATGAAGTGTGTCATTACTCAAATAATAATTACTCTATAAGCTATACTGATGCTACTGTTAGAATATTGAGAATATTCTGTTCAAGCAGTCACATCAGAGTCAAGTCAATTCTCAGAATGAGATGGAGCAGTATCTTAATAATGAGAATCTGATGACTAGTTCAATGTCTCTGTTGGAACAGTGGCAGAATCTGAAGCCTGTCTTCCCAACCATGACTCATATGGTGAGAGACATTCTGGCCATACCATTAACAGATGTGGGTGTGGAACAGATCTTCAATACTGTACAAGATATCTGTCATTATCAACAGTCACAACTTCATGAGTCCATCATCAAGAAGATCATGTTGCTTAAATATAAGAATAAGAAGCACATGTTTGATGAAGTTCTAGTCTCAGAGAAGAAACTGGCAAAGAAGATTGATGGACTGGAGGATGAAATAGCAGAATTTCTCAAGACTGAGGCTGGGGGTGAATTAACAAGAGATGAGGAGAGACAATCAGCTTGCTTGTTGAAATAGTGGACATAATAGTGTAATTAAAATAAATTACTCAATTTACTTTCTCCAATTGCTCAAATGGTCTTAAAGATGCAAGAACCATTATCAAATTTCATTACTTTTATCATGTGATCTGTTAAGATCAGAATTCCAGTCTCAACACTCTTTACAACTGTTTCCATCCCACCAGCAATATGATGTCTCATAATCCATCTCATTGCTAATGTTTGAACTCAGTCTCAGATTCCTTGATGAGACCAGATTCCTGAAACTGTTGGAATCTGAAGAATCAAGTCTCAAGATCCATCTCTCCCAGACACCATTAAATCATGTCCTGTTCCAGATTCAAGATTTTGACCCAGTCCCATTCTGGAGAAGAAACATGAGACAGAAAATGAGAGATTGATTCTGAGATCCCAGTCCCATCAGCCCAGTCTAACTACAGTGAAGTGCCAGGTGACATAATCAAATTGTTGTTGGAATTTCAGAAGATCAAGAAGAAACATCAGACAATTTCAAGCTTCTTACCTGCAACATCTGCACAGTACACAAAAGTTGAATGTCAGAAATTACTGGATAAATATTTCAGTGCAGAATGTATCAATGTGATGATTATCTGTAAAGAGCCAGTTGAAGATGAATCCTCAAACAAGAAAGATGAACCAGCAGTGAGAATAAAAAAGAAGATTCATGTGAAGACTGAAAAGTCAAAGCTGCCAGCAATCAGTCAAGCAACTTCTGATCTATCTGATCTCATTTCATCACCACAACAAAGTTCTTTGACTGATCTGAATTCAAGTGATCATGCAGATGAGGTGGAAGCTGCAGCTGCACTTTTGAATCTAGCCACTCAGCACAACAACAATACTTATTCTCATAGCCACAAGAGATCACATAGTTGTGTGTCTTAAAGTCCATCTGCATCACAAACACATGCTCAGAAGTGATGAGCACAGCAAATGTGAGTAAAATGGAAATTTCAATATTATGATATTCATTTACTGACTACCAACATTAGGACTGAGGAAAATGAGAAGGCAGAGAGAGTGGTTGATGAAATTGTTCCACAGATGCATCCAGTGTCAAAAATCAATATTGATGATATGATAGCATGAAGTAATGAGGCTATGAAATTACTCAATGCACATTATCCAGATCTTAGTGTTTGATGTAGACTGCAAGCACAATCTATATTGACACAGATGTGGGCTGATGAAGATGTTTTTGATCAGTGGAATCTGAATCATCTTTACCAACATGGGCATTTGACAACAAGTGCTGAGGACAGTGTTGCTCAAAAGATGAGAATTTCAAATATGTTTAGATGAAATTTGTGATGTTGAATGTTTATAGTATAGTTGATATCTCTCTTTTGACTTTTCAGAGATATATTGTGTGTTTTCAAGTGAATCTGGAAATCTTTTGGTAGTGATATGATATTAGGTGGGTCTGGGGAAGCCTTCCAGAAACTACACATGAGTGATCTGGGGAAGCCTCCCCATCATAACCATCCTATTTTGTGACAGCACTAAAGAAACAAAAAGTTTGAAATTTAGTGTTGTTAGAATTGATGTGTTGTTATGACTCATCACAATGGCAAAATTGGATTCTGCCATTTTTTTTTTGAGAATTTTTTATAAATGCGGATTGGCCGCTATGGTATGCCGTAGTTGTCAACCACCCAACAATCTTTACCACCCAACAATCCATGTTACTATCAAATTGAACTGCCCTCCTCCATACTCCATACAAAATCCATATTTCAACAACAACATAAAATATTCAAAATAAGATTTTTTAGCTAGTAGATCAAGCGTCTAATTGAACAGCTTTAGCAGCTTTTCCAGCTGCTTTTAAATATTGAGTTTTGATATGACTCCTGATGAAAGTTTCGAGGCCACTCCGCATTCTAACCCGCCATACGATATTGTCAACTTTTGGTGTGGTGATCAAGATAGAACCGAAATGACTGTGATGTGCTACGGAGGGCGCTTCGACATTTTAGCCCTAGCCAAAAACATGGAGGAGTGTCCAGCTATCGAACGTGAATTTTTGGGTTTGGTAAAGGACCTCTTGTCTATGAATAACGATGACTTCGAGTATAAACCTGGCGAATCAGACCCAATGGAAGAGATGTGCCACTGGATGGCAGAGGCTTGTTTTGCACAATTCCGTGCCCTGGCGCCTCGTCCAACTGAGCCGCGGATAATAACAGTGGAGGAATACTACACAACACCATCAATTCAACTGACCATAACAGTCAATGATGGCCAATTGACTGCAATCCAATCCTCAGGCAACCCGGGTGACCTTATGCCTCGAACCCGCCTTTCGTCGTCGTATACTGCTCTGACTGCTAGCGTTCCTCTACTCGAACCGTCGATGGTGAAATTACCCTGGGATTCGGAAAATGAAAGGCCATCACGACCTTCAAGAGTGCTTGTGGGTAATGAGGGAAAGGAGCAATATTTCAAACCAGCTTATCGAGAGATATCAGAACGTACCGAGCGCGAAATCAAGACACTGCTCCGCCTACATCAGTTAGGGCTAAGCGACAAAATTCGGGTTCCTAAAATTCACGGTTTTGTTTCATCTGGGAATAAGAGCGACACGGAAATTTGTGGCATCTTAATGACCTATATCAAATTTCGCAGTACGTTGTCTTCTCGAGATGAAATCCGAGAGGCAGCACCATATCTTCGAGAAGCATGGATTCATCAGTTGAAAGAGATGGTCAACGAGTTTCACAAAGCTGGAATTATCTGGGGAGATGCTAAACCAGGAAATGTCCTCATTGACATGGAAGACAACCTGTGGATTATAGATTTTGGGGGATCTTACACGTCCGGCTGGGTTGATGAAGAGTTGATGGAAACAGTAAAAGGGGATTTGCAAGGGCTATCGAATATCATAGAATTTATTAATGGCGGGGGGAAAAAGCCCAAGTAATCCGTTCTTATGGTGGATACGCAATCAGCCATCTGGAGCTTCTTCTGTATTTTCCCTTACTAACTAGCAGTTTCAATGTTTACCAAGTTTGCTGCCGATGTGTTTCCCCAAAGGAAGCGGGCGAGCGTCCTGCGATGGATGGGGTGATATCAGGGCCCGTAAATAATACATATGTAGTTGAACATGCAATCAAACGTCTCAACTACCTTCAGAGATATGAAGGTAACCCCGCCGCTTTATGCAGTATATACTTATATTAAAGGTGTGTACGAGGATGCTGCTAGAAAGCATCTCACGGAGCCAGGACAGTCTGTGGTAAATATCTCACGAACCGGACTCGTGAGAGCCATCTTCTGAATTCGCCCCAAAGACGTTTTAACCTCTCCTCTGCCCGCCGGTCGCCTCGAAATCGCATCCAAACACAAAATACGGCAAGGATAAGAATATCCCAGCAGAATTGCCTGATGGCAACCCATACCAGCCACTTCAGCCATACCCATGCCCTCTTTCTACGCGCGTTATGGTGCGCACGCGCCTCCATGAGCTCTCTCATGGCAGCGATTTCGGCTGTCATTTTGGTCAAGGCCTGCTCAACCCGTCTTCGCCATCGGCGATTTCGTTTCTCGCGGTCGATATCTGTATCGATGTGCTGTTGATGCCCCATATCGTCTTCATTTTGTTCCTCGTCCCCGTAGAAGCTATCCCGTGCCTCTTGAAACTCCTCTTCGTCCTCATCTTCATCATCATCTTCCCCCTGATCTTCTCCTGGCATCCGATCTAAGTTCCGTCTTCTGGCCATCTGCTCTTCGGGCTGGCTCACTGGACTCAGGACCCTCAGACGTGAATCTCTGCCAGAGTATCTGCCCATATGGTTACCATCTGCCCGAGACATGCGACCTCCGACGGAATCGTATTTCCGGTGCGATTGCGGATGGTGTGACATTCCCATCTGAACTGGGCTCGAGGACGAGGAAGACGCCGTATTCGACTTTATCTGATCCCAAACAAAACTCTAATTCCCGAAATCTATTCTCGCGCCTCCGTGGTTGGAGCGGCGTATCGTGGCATCGTTTCTATCAACGTAGTAATATGACGCCGCTTCCCTTTCGTCCCATGATAGGTTTCTTTGGGC